TCTGGGGTCAGGGTGAATTGGGTATGTGTATTGTAATATCATTATGGTCTATGCTCATGATCACGTCCAGAATGTGCTGTTTCATTGTGGCAGGCGGGCTCTAATAGGTGTGACTGCGACAGGCAGTCTGGTATTTACAAGATTATATGTACTGTATATACACAGTGTCTGTAGATAGCATTGCAATATATGCTTCATTTTCTTATTCATATGCAAGGAGCAATAAAATCAAGCAGCTGTATGAAATGTGAAAGCCCGCTGGCCAGAAAACCCGCTTTCTCGTTGTCCAGCCCGGATGTCAGCTTGATAACCGACTCCGACCTTGACTCGACATACGAGTCAAGTAGAGGCCAAGTTGATCCTCGGTTTTTATATCGAGTCGATGTCACGCGTAGGGCCTGGTGGGGTCTGGCGTCTGACCTTGCCGAAACCCTTTTTTAGACTGGGCGTGTAATGAATGGTTCTCGTGATCGCTGGGGACGAGCATTCGTTCAGTCGGATGAGGTTTCGAGGAGATGGTTACTTGCCGGATTGATGAGATGCGTCATTGCTCGCGCCACCAAGGTCGGGCTCTCCCAGACCCGCCACCGTCGCTGGCTGTACCAATCTGTCCAACTCTACATGCTCATAAACCGCACTTTTGAGCTATTACTTGCCTGCCATGTCCGCCTCTCTCCAGTTCCTTCCGCCCGAGCTCTACTACGCCATCCTTAACCATGTACCCTCCGACAACCTGCAGCAGACCATCCTCTCCTTGTCCTGCGCACTACCCTCTTCACCTGTCCCCGTCCACCTCTTGTTCCATTCCATCCGACTCAGGTACCCCGACCAGGTCGTCCGACTCACCAGACGCCTCAAGAAAGGGCCGGAGGACGCTCTGCTCGTCAAGCAGTTCTCGCTCGAGACATGGACGGTGGACGCAGATGTCCTCATCAATCTCGTCAGGACCCTCCCGAACTTGACTTCCCTGAGTCTCTTTGTCGGCCCGAACTTTGCGCCCGAACACATGGAAGACCTCTTTCACAGTCCCTGGGCGAAGCTGCGTTTCATTGGCCTCCGGTTCAGACCATAGTAAGCTTGTCTTGCCATTGCATAGATATCTTTACTGACAGTATATTCAGTGTGCAGAAAGCAACCTACTACCAGTTCATGAAGGTGAGCATATATGCTGAAACATTCGCATTCATCCCTCATATCGGGCCAGGGCGCCTATTTCGACAGCATGCTGGACCACCTCAGCAAATGGGACCCCGACTCCCTCCCCGTGCTCTCCGTCATCCAAGACCCGCTCGACCCCGCCCTCTCCAAGATGCAGCACTTTGCCCAGCCGCTCGTCTTCTTCCGGCTGGACCCCTTCACCTCCCTCGTGCGCGCGCCCGTCCTGCGCGCGCTCACGCACTTCCGCCTGCGCGTCCCCGCGCGCCAGGTCGCGCAGTACGTCTACGCCGCGCCGGGCGCGCTCGCGCGCGTCGAGCACGTCGACCTCTCCACGTGCAACGTCAGCGAGCGCGAGGTCGAGCTCGTCCTCGGGCGCTTCAGCCGGCTGCGGCATCTGGTGCTGGACAACTGCAGTATCCTCCGGGGCGAGTTTAACGAGGTTGCGTGGCGGGAGCTCGGGAAGGACTGTGCGCTCGCGGGGGTGAGGCGGGCGAGGGACCGCGAGAAGAAGCTGAAGGCGTGGCTGGAGGTGAATCACTCGAGGGTGGTGGAGGATTTGGGCGGCGACGCGCCTGTGCAGGTCGCGCGCAACCCTGGGCATGCGCGGGCGCCGAAGAGGGGGAGGAAGGGTCTGGCGACTGCCACCATCTCCTTACGCGAGCGCGACGAAGCGTCTGCCGCGGGGCCGTCGACCATCCTCCCGGCGGAGGCAAAGGTCAAGGTGCCCAAGATCCGCATCCTGCCCCGCCCGCCGACGTTGCTCTCGCTCGCGACGACCGTGCGGCACGACGACAAGCACGACGTTATCCGCGCCGAGTATGAGCGCGGGTGGGCAGAGGGCGTCGCGCAGCTGGCGGCGACGACCGCGCGCCTGCGCACGTCGTTCGCGAATCGCGTGCGCATGATGAAGTTTGCGGAGGACGCGGACGGGGTGCTGCGCGAGGAGGGGATGGCAGGGCTCGAGGATGTCGAGGTGGAGGATTTCGAGATGTCGGTGCAGGGGGAGGGGGTGAAGTGCCCTGTGCTGTGTCTTGCGGGGCCGGGCAGGGGCGGCGGGCATGTGCCGGGGTGTGGGCACCAGGCTGGGTGGGATGTGTGGAGGGACGAGCTGTAAATCACGTTTGTATCATAACTTTATCTATTGTGGTGTATCGTACAGCGGTCTATTATTTGGGAGGTGCTCGACGTCGTTCGGACGGTCGGACAAGTTGCCTGAGCACCTTCCATATCCGTCGAACATACGGGCAATTATCGAATTCCCACACTTACTAGATCCATGCAATGAGGTAATGGCGCTCCCGCAACCTTGACCACTTGAGCTCTCCTTTCCCTCGTTTCTTCAATTGATTGTGCCTTGTATTCGACGACTTATGACAGAATGTCCACAGATACGCAAGACACAAACCGCAGGACGTCGCTATCTGGCTCTGTCTCCAACTTGATGCGCGCTCTGAGCCTCACTCGGTCCTCGCGCGCGGATGCGCAACTGAACGCGACGCCGGCGCAGGATACGACGAGTGAAGCGCAGCCTACCTCCTTTGACCGATTCCTGGAGCTGCTGAACGTGAAGCGCCCCGCCCTCGCGCCCTTCCCGCCGGCGAACTGGTTCACCGGTGGGGACAGCAATACCACTGCAACTCCCACTACGCCGGCCGGCGATGAAGAGGTCGCCGCTGCAGTAGCCGAGGAAGTCGATGAGGTGCCCCCGCCGCTCACGCCCGCGCCCGAGGCTGAAGCGCCTGACAGGCAGACGTCGAACGCGGACGTTCCCGAGCCGACGTTCCTCGCGCGCAAGATCCGCGACCTCATCACCTCCATGATGCCCGCGCCCCCGTCGGGCGACGCGCACACTCCCGGTGACGCGGACCCGCCGCCGCCCGCGCCCGTCAGGGATACGCTGCTCGTGAAGATGCTCTCGTCGGCGACCATCATGAACGGGACGTTCTCGAAGGGGCGCCAGTCGGTGTTCGCGATCCTGGACAGATTAAAGTCGCCGTGGGCGCATAATCATCCGAGAGCAGATGGAAGTGGTGGCGCACAGGAGGGTCATGAGGAGCGGCTAGAGGAGGACGATAACTCGAGCGTGATGCTCTACGGGCCGCTCTCGCCCGACTCGGACTCGGTCGTCGAGCTCGCGCAGTCGGAGGTGATCTCGCTCGGGGAGGACGAGGAGCCCGGGACGCCGACCGTGGTGGGGTATAATGATAATCCAGAGCAACCTGCTGCTGGTGAGCCCAGTCAGAACAGTGGCACCCGGAAGGGATGGCCCAATCTACAGTGGCCGTGGTATGGGATGAAGGGGAAGGCGAGGGCTGAGGCGAGTGAGAAGAGAGTGCATGTGGGTGAGAAGATATGGGTGCCTTCGAGGACAAAGATATCGTTGCAGGTGATGTGGTGGGGGTACCGTATGTAAGTCGCAGACCACACCCCGATTCACGAGCGGACTTACTTAGCATGTATTGTCCTTGTATAGCTACCTGCCACCCCCAGTACTTGCGGTTCTCAGTAACCAGGAACTGACCGCTGCGAAGCGCGCAGCGATGTTCACGACTGCGCTCAAATGGTTGTGCGACCACATACCCGTGTCGTTGTTACCGCTGCAGCTGCGACCAGCAGCTATTCTAGTGCGCCGTCTGATCCCGTATGTTGGCTACATCGGGGGATTCGTTGCGTGGAGCTGGTCTGCGGTCAAATCTTACGACAAAGGTACGGAAGTTGTGTTTCCTCTGCGGTATAGGAACTGACCGGGTATATGCATAGGCAATGGTGTGGTGTTGACTGCGACGTGGCTGCTTTCTGTTGCTGTTATACCCTCCACCTGGGAGCCCAATAATCCGCCTACGTCCCCCGAGGCGCCTGGCTTGACGGTACCGCTGCCATCCCAGCCGCAGACTCCGCAGGTGGGCACGAGCAATCGAGCCTGAGGTTAGACGACCTCAATCTTGATTCGCGACCATCAGACAGGAATTGTGTATTCTAGGACTGTGCTGTTGGAGGTGGAATGTAATTCTTCACATTCACAATGTTTCAAAAGCTTTGTTCGTATTTCTTTTGTACTCTTAGTTCACTCTAGAGGCCCTTGTATTTCATGTATTCAGGACAATCTGTATCTAATCATTAGTTTTTGTCTCCCGCACCTCATACATCGCACAGCAACATCCCCTCCCCTCTCACGTCTGCTCGAAGAACGTCTTCAACCACTCCGCCTCCTTAACCATTTCCTCCATCGTCCGCGGCTTCCTTTCCTCATCGGCGTCCATCTTGATCGGCGCGCTGTCCACCGACAGCTTCCCGCCCGTAGCGGACTGCAGATCTCGCGGCAGCGATCCCTCGGATCGTTCGAGCGCGGGGTACACCTCATCGTTGTTCTCCTGGAAGCGGTCGCCTTGGAGCTTCCTGGGCAGGAGGTGGAAGTGCACGTGCGGGACGCTCTGCCCAGCTGCTTTACCATCCTGCACATTATAATGTGTTCAGTGATGGGCAGTATCAATACAGAGAGGTGTGCGACGCGAACCTGGCATGCGATCGTCAGCGCATCAGCGCCGTACGCGCGCTCGATGACCGAGCCGACTTTCTGGACGGAGGTTATCAGGGATGAGAGCTCGGACGCGTCCAGATCTGCGAGGCGCTGTACGGGTCTGGTGGGTATGACCAGGACATCTGCAGCGCGCCGACCCGTCAGCTTCAGAGGTGCAGCCAGTATGCGGGATACTCACGTCCGGGTACGATTGGTTTCAGGTTGACTATGGCATAGGAGAGAGCGGTCCTGTAGAAGGCTTGCCGAGTGACCTCGATGGTCGAGAAGAAGAGCGGACCCATCATCAAGCCGGCCGCAACGCGAAGTACGATCACTTCATATTCGATGGTCAGAGTCGGACGTCATTCGAGAGGGGGGCGTACAGATGAATTACAGAGCCAATAAAAGTACAACAAACACTGCAGAAAGCACACAGGATAGCACGTACACAAGTAGATACCAATGTAGAAGGGGCACAATCATAACGATTACCTAGACCAGAACCTCTCACTCCCCAAACCCCGGACCTAATCCAAGCACTCCTTCCAGTCCGCGTCTAAGATCTTGATCCCTCGCCGTCCGAAGCGCCTCTTCCATTCCCGCATTACACCCTGAACTCCGGCTTCCTGAGCTCTGGAAGAGATTCCCTTCCGCAACCAGTGCACATCCCTAGCCCGAACCGCCACTAGTGAAGGAAGTCTTGGCAGAATACTCTCCAGGGTACTCAGGAACTGCGCACTCGGCCGGGGAACCGAGAGAATTTGAAGGGGATGGATGCTCCCATCTGGGAGAGCCAAGGCTGGGATGGGGTTTTCCAAGGACAGATGTTTGAGACGAGGGGACGTCTGCAGCAGGGTGGACGGAGAGGTACGCAGGATAGTCGGCCACGACTTGGGCGTGTACAAGTAGAGAGACCGAAGGTTGGTCCCGTGAACCTTGATGAATTCAGAGACCAGAGACGTAGGATATGAGATGTCGTGGTAAGGCGTGATTGTTAGGCTTGCCAGGGACGGCAATGGGGAGTGCAGGAGGGCGAAGAGAAGTGGAGAAGAATGTGTTGACAAGACCGTCAGAGTTGTCAGATGGGGAAGTGTTAGCGGATGGAAGGTCGCAGACGGCAGTGGTTCGCCTGCCTCCCACAAATCAGGGTCTGAGAGGTCGAAGCCAGGCCCGACGACTTCTAGTTCTCTGAGATCTTGACACGCTCGAAGGACACGGACGAGGGGATCTCGACAAGCAGCGAGCGCCGACCCCGGGGAGACCGTCCCCTTCAGGCCCCTCAGTACCCTCAAATGGGTGCTTGCATCGCTGCTAGCTAGGGAGTCCCACATGCGGCTGGTAGCTTGAACATTCGGACTGAAGTAGAGCTCCTTGAGACATGGCACTAGAGGGAACAGTTGGGTCAGAAGCGTGTCTATACGGCACTCCTCCCATCTTGAATTGCCATTCAACGTTGAGATGTCCAGGGTTTGTACCCAGCGGCCCGGCGTGGAATAGGGTATCCTTCTGAGAGAATCCCACTGTTGGTCGGATGCGTATAGGTGGTTTGTGAACCCTTCCAAGGCCTCTACGGAGCTGATTCTGATATGCGAATAGAACACTGGTAATGCAATGCTCTAGAAGACCGATGCGTCAGATATATTCCTGAAAGTTATACTAAGCTGCGTATAGGAAATTATTCCCAATAGCTACAACATGCAACGCAAGACATTTCATATGAGCTACTCACGTTAATAGTCTTGCATACGAGCAAGATATCCCTCCGGCGCGCCCGCCGTTCCTTCCACCTCGATAATGTCCAATTCGCCTCGTCATGCAGCAGTTCCTCGATGATACGCTCCCAAACTTCCACTGGTAGCTGCTTCGGCGGTGGTCGTCGGGGAAGAAGGGGTAACAGGACAAACCTGCCTGAACGTTCCTCGAACGGACGCGGTCGCAGGAGAACAGTCTCAGATTCAGCGTAGGTGACGCTCATCGCGGGCCAGGGGACGTCGCCTTCAATTGAAGGGGTGACTATAAGGTCGGTTTAAGCTTCAGACTGAGCGTCATGCGCGTCCCATTTAAAGGCACGCGTCGTCGGATAGGCTCGGATGCCATGGGAAGGGAATGGGATCACAGAATCAGCACTAGCATGCTCTTTGTGGGTGTGGCCATTCGGAAGGAACGGCATAATGTGGCTGCTCGGACATCCCAAGAATACACTCGGCATTGCATGCGCAGCTGCACGTACTGATTCTGCAATACTAGTATTCAACTCAACAGAGTATCCGGTCGATTGATGATGGGTCAATGCACTGTGTATACATATGGAAGAGTTATGAAGCGGGGAGGAGAGATGGAAAAGAACTGCAAGACGCTATAATATATCCCCCATCTCCTCCATGAACTTTGCATAGTCATCTTTCCCGGTGCCCTTACCTGTACTACCCGTTTCGTGTTTGTCACCGGACTTCACCTCCCCAAGTGTCCCCCTCAATGCAGTCATCAAATCAGGCCTCGCCGGACCGGCCTCTGCCTCACCTCCAGACACGGACGGGGCTGCGTTGATCTTCCCTGCAGTAGCCGTGCTAGTACCAGCGCCCACCTTCTTCCGCTTCAGCGCGGTAGGGACGAACGCCGTGCTTTCCTTCTTGAAATCGCGCAGCTCGGGCGCAGCAGTTATCGTAGCTGCGGCAGTCACCTCTTGACTAACGCCCGCGTTGGGTTTCGGCGGAAGCCCTGCCGCAGGTGGGGGTGGGGCAGAAGCCACGGTAGCACGATGCGCTTGGAAGGTCTGGTGGGGAATTGATGATAAGGGGTCTTGCATAGACCCTTTCGACTGCTGGCGAGGGAAGAATCCCGGGGGCGGAGGGGACATGGGTGGACCTGACGGGAAGGGGAACCCTGCAGGGGGTGGCGGCGGATACGACATTGGCGGGAACCCTGCGGGAGGCGGTGGTAGTGGGAACCCCGCAGGAGGTGGTGGCGGTGGTACCTGCCCTTGGAATCCTGGCGGAGGTATTGGTATACCTGGCGGTGGGGGAGGAGGCGCGAAAGGACCAGTATTGTGGGGTGGAAAGGGAGGGATCTGATTCGGCATAGGCGGAGGTCCAGGCGGCAGAGGGGGGTCTGAGGGAATACAAATTGAGACGAGACGAGACGATGATGACTAGGTGAAACGGAACTTACCTTGTCCAGGCTTGGGTGGGGGAGGTCCCTCAGGCATTGGAATATCGTCATCACTATCTACATTACTTTCATTACCCCCAGGAGGAGGGCCCTCGGGCATGACAATATCATCGTCGGACTCAGCTGGTAGGATGTTGAGCCGGTGAAATGGGCACGCAAGGGGCACTGCATGTACAGACCTTCTTCCTGGTCGCTCGCGACCTCATCCGGCCTTAATGCTAAAAACTCTTGATCAGTCGTGCTATTGGAGATCACACTACGAGTCTTACGTCGTTCCATGTAGGGCATCCCGGGAGGAGGCACACCGTACGGATTATAGACCGGGTCATAGTAGATACTCCGTTCGGGATGCCTAGGAATCCCATGCTTGTCGAAGACGTTCCGCGTCTGAGGCCCCTTGGGCTTCTCAGGTTCCTCTTCTCCCTCCTTCGCTTTGCGGCGCTTGAAGACCAAGTGTCGGTGCTCTGGGTGCTCCGCTACATACTCTTCCTTCTTCTTCTGGATGGTTTCCAGCTCGGTTTTTAATTGCTTTATCCGCTCCTTGTCTTCCTTCGTCTGGTCAGATTTCTCTTCTAGCTTCGCAAGCTCATCTTCCAGTTCTTTGATTGGAGTATCAGTATTAGCACCGATGGCAATCCACAATGAGAAAGTGCGTACCAGAAGTATCCTTCTTCACTAGGGCAAAGTCACGGTTCTTCTGTCTCTGCTCTTTGTTCTACTGCACGGTACGGAGATTAGAAATGGGAAACGCGAGGAGAGGCATTATACTTGCCTTCTTTAACTCTTTCTTGCGTTGCGCCTTGCCTGTATACCCACATTCAGACCCTGCTTATTTCATTCTCAGGAATCAAGAAACTCACGAAAGGCATCCGCTGGGTTGACACTCTTTCCTTTCGCCATTGCAGTGACTTGCAATTGAAGTCGGTACGAGACAGGTTCGGGGGCTCGGGGACAAGTACGAACCACTGCGTAGCCTTACGTAGATTATTAATAGCCACCTCAAGGCGAGAGATACGGCACAGAAAAAAGGTGTCTATATTTCGTTTCTTCTTTGTCTGTCACCAAGGGTAGTGTTGGATCAAGCTTCAAATATGCCTTGATATTTGCAGCTGCTCGTCGCCATGAACCGGAATACTTGAGGGCGAGGAGGGTCAAAGGACGTTGGTGAACGGCTCCTCCGCGACCGACGCACGTGGCTTACGAATGGGCGTTATTGAGTCATCGTTGCCTATCGCGGGTCTTCACCGACCCCCAGTGGTGGTAGCTTCCCAACACTCAAGGGAGGCTCCCCACTCGACTGTGCACGATATCACCGACAGCGACAACTCCGTAATCTACTCTATCATATTCAATGACGTCCCAGGCGGGCACGACGCCGTCCTCGACCCCGAGGAAACGCTCGTCAAACTCCAAGATGGCTGCTAATCAGTCTTTGAATCACCTTCTCAACTTTAGCTTGCCACCAAGGCAGTCGCACACGGTGCAGAGTATTCCCCGGAGGAGCAGGAGGACTGGGACCCAGCAGGGTGTGTGGAACAAAGAGAGTGAGTACTAGGTTTCCGGGCGAGTCTCTTGTTGCCATACTGATGATTCACTAACATTGCAGGGTACATAAATGCTCAGTATCGGTTCGTAATGAATCCCAGTGGTGATTATACTGTGCACTTTGCCGATCCGGACATGTAAGTTCTGCATCTACCACCGCTACCATCTTCCTGACGCTGGGTGTAGCTTCTTCCAATGGCAAGACATCCTGCAGATAATTGTTCCTCGAACATCCGCGGTCGCCTCTACATCTTCCAATAGCACGGCTATCAGTCATGACCAGGGCCTCCAGACGTGCCCCATATGCTTATCTCCTCCAATTGCGCCTCGTATGACGAAATGCGGACATGTAAGTCTTTACCAAAGATCTCAGTATACGTGTGCTAAGCCCTAGCGCTGTAAGGTATTTTGTTTCCCTTGTATTCTACATCTCATTAATACCTCGGACAACCTCAAATGGGTTCGCTGTCCCATTTGCTTCGACTCTATCAACGAGAAGCAGCTCAAGAGCGTAAAGTGGTACGACGGACCCTCGCAGACCGAAGATGATTCAGACCAACCTCTTGCTGAGTCATCTTCCTCGGGCTCGAACGCAGATCTCAGCGCCTTTCCCACTGGCCGCTCTGGTACTACGATGCGTATGCGGCTTATGCAACGTCCTCAAATCACTACACTTGCGTTGCCTCGGTCTTCGACATGGCTTTCTGAGCTTCTGCCTCCCCACCAGGCGCCATTCCACTTCCTCCCAGATGTCTACGAATTCTCGAAGTTCATGCTGGCCACCCCTGCGTATCTTATTCAAGATCTGACTAAGGACCTCGATGACCTGGCTACTGAACGGCGTTCTTTGGTTGGAATGCGAGACGAACTATCGATTACCTTCGTGGATGCTGCGTCAGAGAAGGTTCGGGTTCAAATTGCGAAAGCTGCTGCACTGGAGACTCCCATGCTACGAAATGCGATCGATAAGGCAACACGAGACCAGAGCGAGATCGAGGCTCGTGTTTCTCGCGTTGCTCAGCGCAAGAAGGAGGAACAGGTCTCTGCGCAGGATCATGCTGAAGTTCCTTTAGAATTCTTGGCTACACAATCTTCCGGCTACCCAGCAGCTCCTACGGCTCCTGCCGGCGTCAGGTCCCCGTCTAATAACCCGACTTCGAACCGGAATGGACGGCAGAAGCGGAATCTCAATCCTCCGCCTCCATCCACGCAGACATACTATTACTACCAGTCAGCCTCTGGTCTGCCGATCTTCCTTCATCCGTTGGACATCAAGATCCTGTTCGCCCACTTCCACAGCTATGCCTCTTTCCCTGATGCAATCAACGTCCGCGTCGAGGCCTTCTCCGAGGGGAGCGTCAACGACGACCTGCGGAAGCGGTGCAAGTACCTTGCGCATATGCCGGAGGGTGCGGATGTCGTATTTGTTGAGGCGGACCTGGAGGGCGTGGTAGGTGAGGAAGGACTGCGGAACTTCGAGGGTCATCTGAAGAGCCGCAGAGCACGGAGGAAGGAGAAGGAGCGGAAGGACGACAAGGCGAAGTTCAGAGCAGAGGAGCGGGAGAGGGAGAAGATCGCCAGCGCAATGGGGGTGAGAGGTGACGAGTGGGGCGGGTTCGCGCCCGCGGTCGTGCCATCCCTTATTGAGATGGACCGGGCACCCACGCCCATCGAGGAGGTGGCCATTCCTGAGCGCCGAGCGTCCCCTCCTCAGGTGTCTGGAGCCTGGGGTGCGCGCAGCTTCGCGAGTGCGGCGCACGCTGCCTCGAGTGGGCGTGCTGGTCCTGCTGGTACTCAGCGGGCGAACCGGAGGGACGAGATTCGAGTTGATGACGAGGAGTGGGATGCTGCTTGGCATGATCTCGAGTCGCGGAGCACTGGGAGGAAGAAGAAGAGTAAGCTGATTCTGCTGGGAGGAGGGGGAGGCGGAAGGAGACGGTAATTTATGGTGCGTCTTGGGTGTTACGGCGGTGTAGCATGGGATTTTAGAGGAGGCGCGGATATTCGTAGTAATACGTCTGTTTGTCCTACCTTGTACAGTATAACTTCCAACAGCAATTTGTGTAGCATTATATTCAAGCAACCATACATACATACAGCCATTGCATACACACTTTGGTAGCATGCTGGTCTCACAGATTGAAGTTGTTCGGTGCGGTCTATGCATTGCAGTTGTTTTTACATTACTATAGACAGGGTAAAAGAAAGGACTACTAAAATCCAATAGATAGGAGGCAAGAGGCATGGTGAGCATCGAAACTGAAAGAAATTCATGCCGTGGGCTACAGTGGAAATAAGGCGTCCATGGCCAGTCCGTGCATGGTAACCAGATGCGGGCAATTTGATATGATATGCGGCATGGAAAGGAATACGCAAAGCAGACGACGGGTGTTGAAGCAGCAAGACTTGAAAGCATTAAAAGTTGCCAGAAGGGTATACGCATGCACGCCAGCCATTATAGCACGTAGTTTCTTGCAGTCGTGAAACAGCATTTATACAAAGACCGAGAGCGAGTTAAGATTAGAGAGAGCGCAAGAGAACGTGACGGATATGTATGAGTAGAAGCAGTGTATCCACTGGATCAGATGATCTGCAGGTAATTTGAGGGTGCAACTGCACGAGGCGAGGATTTTATTAATATCAGGGGAAGTTCGGGGAGGTCATGGATACGCACTTCCAACTGTCCCGTCCGCCTTCCTAGCTTGCCACCACTTTCCTTGCTTGTCCAAAATGTCAAGAACTTCTCCTTTTGTAAAGGAGATTTCGTTAGGGTCGTCGGGTGAAGCGGTGTCTGTAACGAGTATGTTAGTAACAAGCTTGATGGAATAAAATTAAGCACGCACAAGCATAGAGCGCTTTAGCTTTGTACGAGTAATTCTCCGCTGTGGGGTCTACTGGGTTCCCGCTTCCGGATGGGCTGCTCATACCACCTCCCGCCCCAATGCCGGCATTGCCACCCATCAAAGGCGAAGTCGCCCCAGGCTGGTTATCGCCGTTGATCGACGCTCCGCCACCTCCAGGTGCGTTGCGCAGGCTCTCAGGCCCAGTGTTGCCCGTGATGCTCCTGGTGGCGCCGCCCTCCAAGCTGCCGGCGTTGATGCTGTTCTGACTCCTAATGCCCGGCCCGGGCGCGAAGCTGTTGTTCGCGCCCATCTTCGTATCGTAGCCAATACCGCCGCCGGAGGCGTAGCCTCCGGGCCCGTAGCCGTTTGCCCCGGCCATGTTGTGTACAGACTGGGCGCGCGTCCTGCGACGCCGGGAAGGGGGGGTGAGGCCGCCTGTGCCGAGGGAATTGAATATGTGCAGTGCGAGAGAGTCCTCCTCGGAGGTGAAGTAGAGGACCCAGAGGATGTCGACGATAGCGAGGATGAGCCAGCCGGCGGCCATGGCGTCGAGCGAGGATGAACCGGAGAAGATGCCCTGGTTGACGCCCATGACGGCGAAGACGATGGCGACTGCGCCGAACACGGATATTTGGAAGCGGTGCATGGCTATGGAGTCGCTCGCGAGGGTGTGGAGGACGCCGAGGATGAGGAAGAGCTGGAGGAAGATTGCAAACCATAGGACGCCCACGACGCCATGTCCGACTGCAACAGAGTCAGAGCAGGCCGACGTTTGGGGATAAAGTAACTCACAGAATGCATTTGCTATCGCTTGCGATATGAATGCTACAAACCAGCCCACCTGCAAGGACGGAGTGAGTCGAACGACATGACTGCGCTGAGAAAGCTAGGGGCGTACCACAGCAAGGATTGTCGTGAACAAGAAAAGGTAATGGGTCAGAATGGGAGTAAAGTCGTAGCCTTCGCTACCCCGGGGAGGCATGGCGGCTGGAAGGGAGAGGGAAGAGGCTCTGGTGGGGAAGCGGACGGTAACGGTGAAGGGTTTGCACGTAGCTGCGTTCGCACACTGAGGCAACCGCGAGCGCACGTGGCCGACGCGAACTCGTACGTGAGAGCACAGCTTCCGCGTCACCCTCGCTGGGAAGCCGTCCGCGGAAACGATGCGACCAGGAAACGCATTTGTACTTGCGCTACTGCGGCTGGGACTAAACTGCACGGACTGACAGTTGTCGGGTTTGCAGGCAGCAATAGGCGTGATGTCATTTGCTTTATGTTCCACTGTATCGCACGCATCATGATGGTCTGTCGTCAACAATATTTGCGTATGTGCTAGCCAAATCACACTATAGCTAACGAGGTCGGTATAAATTGGGTGACGTCTCCCCGTCTATGTCATATGCTGCTCGCTGGTGGCTGGGTATAACTGAGATCAGTTTGAAGTATTCGCAGCGTTGCTAGCACTCAGTCTACCCACATGCCTTGCCTCTGAGATACATTTTTGACAGGGAGATGCTTTGTCAAAATACGAACATTTGAAGGTCACGAGTATCGCAAACAGACGGGGCGGATGCCACCCGGGGCGGGGCCGCATTGATGTGGCACGCAGCGGCGTCGCCACCGCAGGACATCCCGTAACACCGCTGGTCCTTGGAGGGCATCCGACCGGTGCTACACAAACAGCGGGCATCGAGTAATCCATCCTTACATCGACTGTCCCTCGACGCATACTCCGAGGAGAAACAATGTATATCCCGAAAAACATTTTTCTGAGCCTGTCACTGCAGTCATCCTCCGACGGGTGGCGGAGACTTCTCATTGGCTGGAGGGATCTTCGAAAAACATATGCTTCGACCGTCGGAAGCAGCCGAACCGGTGTGTATTACTGTCGAGTGGTTACTGACAGCAATCGGCGAAACGATAGAGAACTTTCAGAATTCTTCGCTCAGGCAGCCGAGCCCGGAAAGGTAATTATACCCCACTCGGGGCCACAGTGCACCACGACTCACCACTCTTGTTGATCAGGACACAGCATTAGCGGAGCAAAATTGGTGATACCCTACTCTAATAAGTAAGCCGCGGAACGGCTGCTGAGTGCAGAAAATACCAAGCTTCTCTATCGTTTCGCCGATTGCTGGAACGTCTCACCAACAAACCTCACAACAACGCTGGCCGCCATGACCGATGCACATCTCCTATCCACCAAAGCAGCCAAGCACCGGTGTCCATACTCGTCTTTCCGCACAGCTGCTGTAATATCGACCGGATAGCCCAGCACTTCATCAATTCATTCCAGGATCGTGCGGACGGATGCGGCAGGTGCTTACGCATTGCTGCTGACCGGCGACCGAGGCGAGCTTAGGCGCCCATGGCCACCCGCCGGTGGTCTTGCGCGGCGTTGTCGATCGGACGAGATCGCGGTCGGCATGCGACCCTACTATATAGCACCGGGTTTCTGCATGTCTCGTCCCCCCCTCTCGCCCACCTGCTCGTCCAAACGTTCACTGCTTTACCGAAGAAGAGGAGTGATGCCCGCGTTCGCATCTTGCCAGGGCTGCTTCTGATTCTGACGCGCTAATCGAGCGATCGCATTGCCTTGCTATACCGCCCGGGCTGCGTGCAATACAATATCATATCGTATCAATTGTTCAATCGTCGTACGACTTTCCCCGGGTGCCCTGGGCTCTTACGTCCAGTGCGTTTCTGGCGCACAGCACGAGTATACCGACTGGTTTGACTGCGCACCAGGCGCGTTTTTTGCCATGGACTACATGTACGGCGTGTCGACGGGGCTGGCGGTGGGGGCTTTGACCGTGCTGGCGGGCTCGGTTGGCTTCGCTCTGGTGAGTCATTTGCTTAGCACCGCGAGCGACGTAGTACGGCCCGGCTGATATTGTATGTGTGGATACCAGAGCCTCTTGTCACTCGTATTCAATTATGTTATTCCTGGCTTGCCGGAGGATGCATCAGGAATTCCCGTCAGACCGATTAAATCTCTCCCCGCATCGACCTCCCCAACCAGACATGCATGCGAGAAATCCCCGAGGAGCAGCGTCGGCTCGTTCTTGTCGCAGACGACAGCCACATCATCCGACGCTTCCCATCCGCACGCGCCTCACCAGGAGGCATCCACATCGCTGCCACCACCTATACACCCCGCCACCCCAGCGTCGACGCCGCATCGCGTGACTTTCCAGGAGAACCTCGTTCTGCCACCCACGGCGGATATGCAGCTGCGACTGCCGAGGGACAGGACGAGGAGCGCCGGCGGCGGCGGCGACAAGAGCCGCTCGGTGTCCCCGAAGACGCCGATGCGATCCGCGACCGACCCTGCCCAGAGCAGTAAGCCCGCTCCTCCCGTGGCGTCCACCTCGGCCACGCGCCTGGACTCGAACGGCGTGATCGACCCGCTCATTTCGTCCGAGCCTGCAAAGCCGGAAGCGAAACGGCGGCATACGTTCGGGCTGCTGGGGAAGGGCTTCTCGTCGATGGAGAAGCGCAAGAAGCTGGAGCGCTCCGTGAGCACACCCCTGCCGAAGCTGTGCGGTAAAGGCAATGGGAAGGAGAAGGAGAAGAGCGCGCCGCCGGCGAGTGATGGGGAGGGGGAGGTCGTGAGGAGGGAGAGGAAGGGGCCGGTGGCGGCGCCTGAGAGGAGGAAGACGATGCCGCCGGAGATGCTGGAGAGTATGACGGAGGAGGAGCCGGAGGACGGCGCGCGGGTGCACCGTGCGCGGAGTGTGGACCGATGTGAGTGGTCTGGTCGTGTTACTTTCCTTGTATGCCGACAGCGCTCGTTATACAGGTTTGAAAGCGAAGATCCGCTCGCCTTCCCAGCCAGCCGCGCCCAAACTGCCCTCGCCGCCACCGCGCACGAACCCCTACGAGGCGCCGTACTTCTTCCCGCAGCCAGGGTCGCCCGAGGCGCAGGACTACGTGCGGCGGGTGCGGGAGGACCGGATGCGCGCGTCGAAAGCATCGAACAGCAGCCTGCGCTCGTACTTCCACTCCCACCAGCCGCCGCCGCCGACGTCGCCGTCGTCGATGCTGCAGCCTTTGCCGACGCCGCCGGGGAGCGGGGCGGCGAGCCCGCGGAAGAGTGGCGGGCGGCTGCCGCCCACGCCTGAGGAGGTGGGGGAGGCGCTGGCGGCGGTGCCCGGTACGGCGCGCGGGAGGGGCATACTGAAGAGGAGCAAGACGGGGTCGTGATTTAGAGGAGTTCTGGATGTGCACACCAGCTCAGAGTTCTGTTGACGTTGAAAACCTAATCACTCGTTTCTTGGCTCGACAAATAGTTTATTTATTATTTATCTGGTAGTAGTAGATCTCGTAGTGTAATCAGCAGTACTAGAAGCAATACCGACAAGGTTGAGACTATTCTTGAGCAGCGAGATTGAGTTCGAGGTGAACCCGGAGATAAGATAAGATGTTGCGTACGTATTGTTGCGAAGATCGAGCGCCACGCCTTGTCTTGTTTCATTCTCGGCCTTCGCCCGCGTCTCCTGCCATGGACGGCCCTCCTCCCCCTCAGCCCGAAGTCCCTGCGCGCCCTTCGCCGCCGACAACGATGACAGAAGAGACCGCGCCGGCGACGCAGGCTCCGCCAGCGCCAATACCCGCAGACCCGCCCAGGGAAAAGACGCCCGTCCCCGCTCCCCGACCAGAGCCTGAGCCGTCACGGCTGGCCTCTCCCCCACCGCCGCCGCCGCAACAACAACAACAACAACAGCGAGAGCCAGAGCCAACAAGGAATATAGACTCGGGTCCATTGGCGAAGATAGAGGAGGACAACCCAGCAGACACCGCGACTCTGAGCCAGCCCGCGACGAAGCAGCCCGTCTCCATGGGCGAGATGCGCGACCCTGCCGCCAACGCCAGTCGCGCGAGCTCGACGTCCAGTGCAGCGAACCCGCCGCCTCCTGCGCTCGCCCTCCCGCCTGAAGAGACCAAGCCGTCGACGCTGACGCCGAAACAGAGTGCTGCTTCCGCGAGGCCACTAAACGTAACCGACGCGCTGAGTTACCTCGATGCTGTCAAGGCGCAGTTTCAGGACCAGCCGGATGTGTATAATAAATTTTTGGACATTATGAAGGATTTCAAGAGCGAGATGTGAGTTCGTCGTTATTGGTACTGAGACTTGCGGTGTCTGCGCGGGGGTGATCGACTTGGAGAGGGCTGTCTCTGACTGTGAGGAACTCGGCATTGTATGATCAGTACGGATTCATAGTCAACCTTCAGCCTGTTGTGTCTCTGCTCTTTCTCTTGGAGGTTCTTTCCTCCAGATCCGTGCTAACGAATCTTCTGCCACACAGCCTAGACACACCCGGCGTAATACAAAGAGTATCTATGCTCTTCCAAGGCAACCCCCAGCTAATCCAGGGATTCAACACCTTCCTCCCGCCCGGCTACCGCATCGACTGCTCCGCCGACCCGCGCGACACCAACATCACCGTGACCACCCCCGAGGGCGTCGTCACCCAGTCCACGCAGGGGCTCCCCGCGCACTTCCAGCCCGCCACACCGGTGCACCCCATGCACGCGCACCCCTTCGACCCGCTCGTCCCACGGGGCATCGGGCGCGAGCAGCTCACCCCCGGGATCCCCCAGCACGCGCCCGCGCCGCCCCCGCCCCCGCTCTTGCCGCCGGGGTACGGCGCGCCTATGCACCCGGGCCTCGCCGCCGCCTCGCGGCCCACGACGCCGTACCACCCCTTCCCCGGCGGGCCCTTCCACCCGCAGCCGCTGTACTCGCCGGGCATCCCGGGCGCGAGCACGACCGCGGCGGCGAATTTCCTGGGTGGGTACGCGATGAACCCCGCGGGCGGCGCGCCGCAGGGGCAGGAGTCGGCGCAGTTCCGCAACGCGATCGAGTACCTGCACAAGATCAAGAGCCGCTTCGCGGACGACACGGAGGTGTACAAGCAGTTCTTGGAGATTCTGCAGAGCCACCAGAAGGAGAACGGAGTGGCGCAGAGCAAGGATTTGCATGACGTACGTGCGGACACGCTCCCTTTGTTCTGGGTGATCTTATATAATTGATGGGATGCTGACAGGCTCAGCAGTCGCAAGTGTATGCGCAGGTGCATATGTTGTTCAAGGACGCGCCGGATTTGTTCGAGGGGTTCAAGGATTTCCTTCCGGATGCTCAGGGTCTTAGTGCATTAGGTGCCCAGGCGATCCTGCCACAGCCGGAGGGTGGCGAGAAGGAGAAGCCGGGGACGGACAAAGAGAACCAGAAAGGCGCGGGTGCGGAGAAGAAGGCGGCCGCGAAGAGGAGGAAGAGGCCTGCTCCCGCCGAGAAGGAGCCGACGCCTGTCGGTGGGAAGGGAGGCAGTAGGGTCAGTCAAATTCTTTGTGTTCGTTGCGCCACTGACTGCACATTATGCACGATTTTACTCCTCTACAGGCTAAACGACCCAAAACGCAACACAAGCCAGAACCGGCATCACCCCCTTATTCACCGTACCAGCGGCCAGCCACACCTCCCCATGTACACGCTCAGCAGCAGCAAGCTCACCAACGCGACCACCGCAACCACGCCTCCTCTTCACAACCCCCTCAGCACCCCCCTCCTCCGCCGGCTGGTATGCAGCAGCCCCCGGTAGCATACCACCAACATGTCCCCGGGCATCTCACACCTTCCGCACTCGACGCGGTCACGTTCTTCGACCAGGCGAAGGCGCTGCTCGAGCAGCGCGGGATGTACGGCGACTTTTTGAAGTTGCTGGACATGTTCGGGCACGACATGATCGACGCGAGGGTGCTGATCGAGAAGGCGGAGCCGTTCATCGGGGAGAGCGCCGCGGGGACGGGGGACCTGATGCGGCGGTTCAAGGAGTTCGTCGGGTTCGACGAGAAGGAGGGGAATGTGGAGATGGGCCCGCCGGGGAGTATTAGGACGGGGCCGCCCGACCTTTCGGTGCCGAGAGGGAATGATGTGGAGAATAGCCCGAGTTATCGACGGCTGCCTGAGAGTGTGAGTGTCTTACGGTTGTGCGCACTGTCAGTGTTGGTTGCTGAATTGCAGTAGGAGCGGCGTTTGGCCTGCTCGGCGCGAGACCAGCTCGGCAGGTCTGTGCTCAACGACGACTGGGTGTCGCATCCGACGTGGGCGTCGGAGGATTCGGGCTTCATTGCTCATAAGAAGAACACAAACGAGGATTGCCTGCACAAGAGCGAGGAGGAGCGGCACGAGTACCGCGTGCACCTCGAAGCGATGGCGCGCACCATCGCGATCCTCGAGCCGCTCAACATGCGCATCGACGAGATGTCGAACGACGAGCGGGCGGTGTTCAAGCTCAAACCCGATCTCGGCGGGTACAGCAAGGCGCTGTACCAGCGCACGATCAGGAAGGTGTACGGGAATGCGGGCGCCGAGATTTACCAGGCGCTGCAGGACTGCCCGAGCGTGGCGGTGCCTGTCGTGCTTGCGCGGCTTAAGCGCAAGGAGGAAGAATGGAAGAAGATGGAGAGGGAGTGGAGTCGTACTTGGCGCGATCTGGATGCGAAGAACTTTTACAAGTCTCTGGATTATCAGGCGATCATATTCAAGCAGAACGATAAAAAGAACATCACGGCGAAGCATTTTGTGCAGGATATTGAAGCTGTCAAGGCTGAGCAGGCAAAGGCCCGGGGAGACGATCCGCACTTGTCGTTCACGCGTGGCTCTCTGGGATTCCAACTGGAGTATCCATTGGAAGATACAGGGATTCTATACGACGTGCTCAAGATGGTCGACCATTTTCTGGAACGCTCGCAGACGCAGTACAGCATGCAGGAGCGCCGACGCCTGGAACGTTTCCTGCGTTCCTTTATCCCGCTTCTGCTTATGCAGCCGTATTCAGAGCTGACGCCTGAATGGGTATCTGTGGAACTCGGTCCGGATGACGAGGACGATGCTGTGGACGGCAGTAAGGGCGGTCGTAGATCGGCGAGTGGGAGACAGACTGGGGGCGTTGCTGCGGGTGATCTTCGCAGCAAGCTTCTGAAGACTGCTCGCGAGCGGCGCACTGCCTCGGCGCCAAACTCGAGATCAACATCTCCAGGCCTGTCGCGCGACGAGCGGGAGCTGCAAGCTGGGTTCGCCCCGGAGACGGATGATATTTGGATTCAGGAGTCTGCGAGCAGCTTACCGGAGGGAGTGCCCAGGGCGGGACTGACCCCCGCGAAACGCCGACCATTCTTCGCTAACACGACGTTCTATACGCTCTTGCGGTTAGTCCAGGTAAATTTTTGCGACCGCTGTGTCGGGTTCCGCTGCTCGTTCCGAGATTAATACTGTCGTTCCTAGCTCCTATACTCCCGCCTGCTGCTCTGCAAGGGGATAGGCGCTAAGCTGGCGGCTGTGGACCATGAGCCGCTCCGTCCCAATCCTATCGCGGTCGAGTTAGGCCTCGAGGAGCCAAATGGGCCTGCCTCAGTTTTGGAAAGAGCCATCCAGACATTGTCCGAAGGCCCCGGGACGAACGTGCTTTACAAATATCTCCTCGAGTCCTGCGAAAAGGTCTTCGATAATGAGATGGACCAGCAAACATTTGAGGAGCATGCTAGATGGTTCTTTGGCACGCAGGTATGCTGAGGTTTCCGCAGCACTGTCCTATTTCCTGCACATAACTAATATTGCTTACACTTGCAGGCGTATACCTTGTTTACTATAGACAAACTAATTTTAGCCCTCATCAAGCAAGTGAGTGTGCTACACACAGACTTTATCTGATTACGGACAGCGATCTGATCATTTTCGAAGGTTCATACTATAGTGACAGATAATAAATGCCAGGAGTTGTGGTTCCTCCTTCAGAAGGCTCGGCGGTTGGAAACACCCACAACGCACGATATTATCCGTTATCGGCGGGAAGCCGAGCGTCATGTAGGATCAGATGATAATCTGTATAGGATTGAATGGGTGAGCGGGACCTATCCTTTTCATTTTTACTACTACTAAGCCCGAGCCCCTGAACATCTTTATAGGATCGCCTGGGGAAAACAATGCGCATTCAGCTGGTAGGTCCGGATGACGCAAGCGTGGATGAAGGGACTTCTCCCTCGGAACGTTGGAGAGAGTATGTGGACACCTTCATCATGCGGCACCGCACAGAATGGATGCCGTTGGCAAGATCCAGGAAGCGCTCGAGCCCTGTGTTCATGAAGAGGTTTGTTTTTGCCACGACTGCCTGATGTATTTCATTTTACTTACGCTATTATGAATATGCAGGTGTTTGCCGCCGGATGATACGCCCGCGACAGACAGTTGTCTGGTTCAAAACAAGATGGCGATTCGCATCAGTCTGGGGACGTACAAGATATTCTACGAAGCTGGTACCGAGGACTTTATCTGGCAGCGAAGGAGTGCGGCCGACGACAAGCTCCTGCGCGAGCGCGCTGCTGCTCGACACGAAGAACGGAAGCAATGCCGTCTGCTACAATGAGGCGGACACTATTCGGAACCTGGCCCTCAAAGGAGATGAGGTTCCGGATGGTATTGGCGACGTCAAGTCGCAGTGTCTTCCATACGAGTGCGATTATGTTGGGCGAGGCTTGCACAGCTGATTGAACTTTGCTCAGGGTGGGGTCCAGGTTGGGCCGTGTATGTTAGAGGGCTGCTGGCCCATAGTATACACGCGGAATTTCCAGAAGAGGGGGACACGGGATTGATTAGCTGCACCGAGTAACCTGCACTATTTGCGAGACTGTTGTATTTATAGGAAGGAGGTATACATAAGACATAGGGCTAATAATAGAGTGCTTCATCAACCAGAAGGGGCTAAAAGGGTGTGTATGAAAACACTCCGGCGCCTGGCCTCGTCTTCGCCTTCCTGTCCTTGTCCTCGCCGCCGCCGCCACCGCCGACGTTGTGCGCCCCCGAACCCGTCACTGAGCGCGTCGACGACAGCGGCAATAGGCCGGATTACTTAACATCATAGCCCTGATCCGAGGAGCGCCGGCGGGCTGCCCTTGGCGCGATAGAGTTCTCTTAAGTCCTTGCCAAGCCCATGGCTGGAGGCACCTGCAGTGCCCATATCTCTGCTTCGTCGGTCCAAGCCAACCAAGCACGCACAACTCAGTCTCGGCGTCGTCCTCGGCGGTCCAACCCACACATTTCGTCATCGTCCAGCCCATCGTCGGGACTGCTGGCGCTGCTCGCGACACTCGCATCATCGTCGTCTGTTGATGCGAAACCGCTCGTTGCGCCACCGCTCACCTTCCTCTACCCCTTCATCGAGGAGCACTCCTCGGAAATACGTGTTGAGACTCATCCGACAAGGACCCACTCTGCCGATCCGTTTCCGCCACCAACAGGGCAGTCTTTGTCTCGGCGCGGCGTGTCACTTGCCGATAAGTATGCATCTGGCTCAGACGGTCGTTGGCGCAAGTTAGACGAGTACACATTATACGGGTCCACGATTCGCTCGGTATGTGCTTGGTCGTCGCGGCGGCACGTGTCCTCATTGTACTCGCCTGCAGGTCCCTACCTCTATGTCAATCGAAGATGACGCTGCCGGCGCTGGGCCGACGCCATCAGCTTCAACCTCAAGCTCCACGAGCGAGGTGACAGCCAAGTCCACATCCATTGATGACCTCTATGAGTCTTTGCCAGTCGGTTGGCAACCGACTGACAATCCCGACCGTCCAACCGCTATCATTGCAGTCCTATCGGTCCTCCTTGCATGCCTCATAATCATCGTCATCGCGTTGTCTGCTTACTGGCGCAGGAGGCGGAAACTAGCTAGGGATAAGGATCCAGAGAAAAAGATGTGCCGCAAGGACGATGGTGAGGATGTTCCAGTGGCTGATGAGGATGCAGCGGATGCGCAGCAGATTCGGTCTCAAAAAAGGATGGTGGTCAAAGCAACGGCGAGGTGGAAGGCTAATGCACGGCAGTCTTTTCGAAAACGGCGACCACGATGGGCATCGCGAAAATATGCTGCATCTAGGCAAGACCTACGAGAGAACGACTCCAGCGTCGCGCTACCACAACCGAGATCGCCGTCGCCTTCGACAACAATCTCCAGTAATCTCCCTACCACACAGCTTGCCCACTCGCCATCACCCTCTATCCCATCGCAAAGCCGGGCATCTCTGCGTGAGTCCCAGTTCCAGCCCCCTGACCGTTCCACGACTCCCCCTGCATCTCCGACATTCCCCCCTGCCTATTTCCGTAGCTCACGAAGACACTTGGCTCAATCAGGCGGCGCCCCTGGGTCGCTACATATACATATCCCTGTTTCGCCATTCACAGATCCGGATTCACAGTCACCTCCGCCATTCACGGGCACCGACGATGAGGCGCCTGTACCTCCTCTGAATACGGTGGCCCACGTGGCTACGGATGACAAGGCTGTGCTAGCGCGCATGGCTGCCATGTCTAGTTCCCCTCCTGCTGCTGACAATCCAGGAGAAGCGTCTCGAGACGTGCGACCGTCTGTTCCATCGTGGTATGATGAAGATCACGAAGACTATAGTCGCCGGTCTTACGATCATTCGTTGGCCTCGGGGCGTTGCTATGAGCCCTGCACGATGCCTGAGATGTCCACGGCGAACTCATGCGAGGCTTCGACGTCGCGGTTGCTACCTCCGCCTCCAGAAAAGGCGCAGCTGACTGCCCCCCTTTTCTACGACTACCCGTCTTCGTTCGAGGAGGACCTGACAGAGCCAGAGCCATCCGCACCTCCGTTCGAGGAGTGTGTCGCCATGCCCAGTGCTCCGCCGCTAGAGTCCGAAGCACCTCCCCCCTCAGCACCCCCTGTGGGGGAATATGAAGAAGACTTCAGTACTTGTGCGGTTTCAGCACCATCAGCACCCGCATTCGATGACTATCCGGAAGAGGCGGGGACTTTTACTGCGAATACTCGTCCCCGAGACGATTTATGGCATCGACCTAGCTCTCCCAGGATGGGCGTCGGGACTTCGTCTTCCTCCGAGTCGTAGTTACTGTTGGGCTTTTGTATTATGGGACTCTCTTGGAATTTTCGCCGTGGACTGGATCAACGACCGTATGTAACAGATGTCTTGGTCAGTTCTTGCTTGGTTTCGCACCTTGTTTGGTGATACCGCTGTGTTTAGGTTATCTTTATGCATTTGAAGCATCGCAACTGTAATTCGTATATACAATATCAACAAGCATGGCTACGGTCTCGATAATGATTACTGCCCACTGTCTGACCAGACAGTGTGACTTATCCACTGATATAACGCTTGAACCTGACCGAACTTCGTGCTAGAAGTGTCGACGGATGATACTTACGTGCTCTTCGTCTCGCCATGGCCACAGTTTTAGGTAATGTTCCCTCATCTTTACGATTTATGTTCACTCTTTCTTGATTTCTTCTTTCTTCATCTTAAAGGGTGAGATGGTTCCGAGTGAACCTAAATGGGACCGTGTCCTCTCGGAACGATCCTCGTGGCTGAGTCCGTGTATACCCATCCCGCTCTGGGATATCGGAAACTCGGCTTTCTGATTTGTTCACCACAATGAATCCTAAGATCCAGTCATCGTTCGGCGTTATCTGCCAATCATCCCGCAAGTAGGTGACTTCCTTTTGGTTCTCCATTGCATTGCCGGGATTCGTGAGCTCACGCATACCGCCTCCAGGTCACATACATCTCAGAGTTCCACCAATATGCCGAAAAATGTGTGCTCTGTGGTCGTTTGAGGCAACAGAGGGGGCCTTCTGACCGTATTTATTTTTACTTGTCTCTCGGCTTCTCAGGCACCCGTCCTCGACAGTGGCGTTGGTGAGCTCCGGGAAATTCTCGGTGCATTGCGCGCACTGGAGGATTAGTGATACACGTCCGTCCTCACATAAGTATCGGCTTGGTACGGTCTTGCGTTAACTCTTCCCCAGTTGATACTACTTGGCCCTCACTCAGGATCGATCAAATTTCCAGTGTCACGCACGATCATGCCCGGAGAATACAAGGAGTTCGACCCGAAGAACATGCCCTTTCGCAGGCTTGGTTCTAGTGGTCTGCGTGTGCCTGTTTTCTCGCTTGGAGGATGTGCGTTCCCTGCTGTACAGTAACCTTAATTGCCGTCTAACTGTTGTCTACCCAGGGTTGACACTTGGGGGCACGGTCATTGGTGATCCGGTCAAGGTACGTCTTGACAACTGACTCTTCTGGAGTCACCCTTTAACACATGGGATTATGCGGCACTGTCGGCAGGAGATCATCAAGGTCGCGTTTGAAAATGGCATCAATATGTTCGATACCGCTGAAGGTTATGCGCAAGGGAAGTCCGAAGAAGAGATGTGAGCTTTTCGTGCCTGATGTGTATTAGGAATTTATTGGCTTACGACAACCTACAGGGGTCGTGTTATCAAAGAGCTCAATCTACGACGAAGCGACTTGGTTATCAGCACCAAGATCTTCTTCGGTACACGAGAGGGCCCTAACGACAAGGGCCTTTCAAGGAAACAGTAGGTACCGACGACCTGCTAGAGGAGAATGTAGATTAATTCCAAGGGCAGTATCATTGAGGGGACGAAGGCATCTCTTGAGCGACTTGGCCTCGATTATGTCGACATTATCTTCGCGCATCGTCCTGATCCCACAGGTCAGTGCGGCGCTGTTCATCTGCCCGCTTTGCATTTGACGGATGAGTTCTTGCCCCAGTGCCAATGGAGGAGACTGTCCGCGCATTCAACTATGTCATTGACCAAGGCTGGGTATGTTAAACCACGGTACTCTCGGGAATTATTCTAAATGTGGAAGACAACAGGCGTTCTACTGGGCGACATCGGAGTGGACTGCTCAGGAAATTGAAGAAGCACACCGTGAGTACTGCGTCAGATAGACGGCCCGGAATGATACGAGACTCGACATCCAGATATTGCCCATGTCTATGGGCTTATAGCTCCGGTGGCCGAGCAATGCCAGCACCAGTACGTCTTTCTTTGATCAGGAGGAAGGGGTTTTCCCCCTTAATATACATATTATCTTCATAGCATGCTTCACCGTGAGCGGCCCGAGAAGGAATATGAGTAAGTTATCGGCATTTGCTTCCAGGCGGTTCATTATCTGATCGTCCTGTCATAGGCCGTTATACAAGAAGTATGGCCTGGGAACCACAGTTTTCTCTGCTCTAGCCGGTGGCTTGTTAACTGGCAAGGTAACTCGGGAAACACCTGCTTTTCCATGCGCAATTATTGACCCCGACTGGAGTATAACAAAGGTATCCCGCAAGATTCCCGCCTCGCCAAGCATTCGGACTTGCCCTTCTTGAAGCAATTGATCGACAGTTTCGGGGAAGAGGAGGGCAAACGTAAGCTGCAGGTGGTGCAGCAATTGAACGACCTGGCGACAAATGGTTGGTGCTAGTTATTCTCGTACAAAGCAACGATATTTAATGGAATGCAGAACTCGGCTGCAGCGTCGCGCATCTAGCGCTTGCATGGGTAGCGAAGAATCCGAATACCAGCACTGTCATTCTTGGAGCCTCGAAGCCCGAGCAAGTCCTCGATAACCTCAAGGCCATCGAAGTCATCCCGAAACTCACTCCAGAGGTCATGGACAAGATAGAGAAGATTCTGGGCAACAAGCCCGAGCCAATTGTGTGTACCTGCACCCTTAGGCTGATTCAGAGTTGCAGCAGTGCTGACTCTAGATGCAGTCGACTTGGGGCCGGCCTCCCTTGGATAAATTTGGACGACTCTGAGCATTGTTGTCTATGTAATTCATGTGTGCTCGTAGTAGCTGTAATAAATCTATTCGATTTTGTCCAATTTGAATCAAGTTTGGGTGTGGGTATGAAGGACTCGGACGCGTCAAAGACGCGTCAATTTAGGTCTTCTATGATGACCACGTGCCACGTATACCACTAGGAACGCTGGACTTGTACATTGCATCCACTTGCCAGTGCCAAACTCCATCTCGCGGCCCTGGCTCGTCATAGACCGCTCCCCATAAAAGCACTTACTGTGCGGAAAACCCGATTGGATTGAGTCTCAGGATGGTGAGAGTTAAAACGTTACAGACTGGCGCTGGGTGCGCTGGTGTATTCACCCGACTGCCGTGCTAGGTTGTTCTTGCGGCGTCAATATGCACGAAGGGCGGCAAGGGTACGTCTGTTCGAGGAGGTAGTGGTTTATCCGTATTGATAACATCCGTCTGAAGCCGTTGTGTCACGGCAATTCCGTGAAATGACAAGAGCCCGGATCGAATCACTCCTTGCATCCTTCCCGAAGTTGATACCCACGAATACCCAGCATACTACTGTCGAGACCGCCGATGTCCGTTATGTCTACCAGCCGCTGGAAGACCTGTACATCCTCCTCATCACGAACAAAGCTTCGAATATCCTACAAGACATCGACACTTTGCATCTCTTCGCGAGGGTTGTGTCCGACCTGTGCAGGAGCGCGGATGAGCGGGAAATATCAAAGAATGCGTTTGAGCTGCTGAGTGCCTTCGATGAGATTGTGAGCCAAGGCTACCGGGAGCCCATCAACCTCATGCAGGTTAGGAGCGTGTTGGAAATGGAGAGTCACGAAGAGAAGATTCAGGAAATCATCTCGCGAGTATGTCTCCCCGTACTCCTCATGCTACTCAATCTCACTCTGCAGCCTAGAACAAAGAAGCTGAGGCCAAGGAAGAACTCAAGCGTCGGGCCAAGCAGCTCGAGATGCAGCGACGTGAGATGCAAAAGCGGAATGCTGGTGCGCCCAGCAGCAGCTATATGGGTGGTGGTGTCACTGGATACTCCCCCGTATCACGATTTGAGCCACCTTCTGAAACCACGCCCGCCCGTACTGCCTCCCCGGCTCCCTCGTCGTTGCGAGCACCCGCATTCAAGGGCAGCGGTATGAAGTTGGGCAGCAAGAAGACGAGGCAAGCAGAGCTCATGGACGCTCTTGGAGCTGAGATCCCTACACCCGAAGACATTTCGGTGCCTCCGACGCCAGTGGTTGCAGCCACTCCTGAGCCCATCCGCAAAGAAGCGCGGGGCAGTTTACCTCCTGTTACCACTGAAAGGTAACTTCGAAGTGCTTTCACCTCTCTCGTGTTCCACTTACAAAGATGTGGATCGACAGCGTACATATGATCATCAAGGAGCAAATATCGCTGTCACTGGTTCGGGAAGGTGGACTGAAGTCGATGGAATTGAAGGGTGACCTCAATCTCCATATATCGGATCCCGACTTGGCTCGCGTGAAAATCCATCTCTCCCCTCCGAACACCGACCTGGGGAATGAGTTGCAGTTCAAGCAACACCCGAAAGTCGAGAAATTCGCTCCTTCGAAGGAGCGTGTTATCGCTTTAAGAGACCCCTCAAAAGGATTCCCGGTAGGCCAGGCGCTAGCTGTTTTAAGATGGAGGTATGCGGGGACCGATGAAAGCCTGGTACCGCTGTCTAGTACGTTTCTCACTATGAACTGTTTGATCGACCGCCTGATGGGACAATATCTCAGTTAACTGCTGGCCGACGCCGAACAATGATGGCACATGCGATGTCAATATCGAGTATGAACTGGAGAACCAAAACATCACACTGTATGACGTTGTCATTTCGATCCCTCTTCCGTATGTTCCCTTCCTTGGATCTCGCAGTATCCGTACTGAAGCATTCTTTCACTGTTAGGGCTGGGTCTTACCCCACAGTGTCTTCCCACAATGGGGACTGGGCTCTCAACCCCTCCGGCCATTCGTTAGACTGGAGCATCGCCAAAATCTCTCCAGACGAGAGCTCTGGTTCCCTGGAATTCAATGTTGCTGGAGATGATGCGGGTGCATTCTTCCCCGTCAAGGCTACCTTCATCGGACAGGGTAGCGTGGCTGGTGTACATGTCTCTTCGGTGACTCAGCTGGATAATAACGAGGAGATCGTCTTCTCCGAGGACGCTACTGTTACTGCAGAGGACTATTTGATTGTTTAGACACCTGTATATTGAACGTGCCATACATTATCATGGGCTGACGTGGATCCTCCCTGCGCAATATTGACGGCAGCTCAAGCTGCAGGCGTGAGCGAGAGGTCTTCGTTCCCTTCCATGTTTCCTTCCAGCTTCGGAGATGTGGCCCTGGCATTGACACGGATCAAATGCGCACGTGTGTGATACGGAAGTTGTGGGGAGAGTGATCGGACGCGTCGACCATGGCCGCTGCTCCCGCGTCAGTGACTGAGCAGTCTTCAGCTGATCTGGACAATGAGAGACTCTTAGATACATCTGTTCTCAGCGAACTTGCTAAGAAAGACTTGGTGGATGCACTAAACTCTGTGTGTGCAGCTTTCGTCAGGTTGGAATTGTCGTAGAAGCTGAGATCTACGACGCGCAGGTTAATGGAGCTAAGACTCTTGTCCTCGACCCTTCCATAGCCGGTCCACTTGGATTGGTGACGGAGGTCTCTTTACTAAAGGTACGCTACTGTGCTGCTGGTATCCAATCCGTGTCATACGACGATGTGTTAGCAACATGGCGTGGACAAGATGTTCTGGCTAGAACCAGGCCCCCTGTCCGCCCCAACGACGAATATCGTGTATCTTTGCCGTCCATTAATAAAGCATATCAAGATAATTGCTGGTACGTATGGCTTACTTGCCAATGCGTAGAGGGGCAAATAACATCCGTAACACAAGATCAGGTCAAGCGGCATGCCAAGGAGTCTGCTAAGCACACGTATACCTTGCTCTTGGTTCCACGGACTTCCATTCTGGTGACACGTATTCTGGAGGAGGAAGGTGTACTCGGCGAAGTCAACGTATCGTCCTACAACCTCCAATTCATACCACTAGCGCAGGACGTTGTATCGCTAGAATATGATAATGCGTTCAGGGAGATATGGGTTGTTCGTATAGTATGCTCCCACTGCCTTGTTTACTTCTGATGATCCTTGTAGGACGGAGACGAGACTGCGATATATAACTCTGCTCAGGCCTTGTTAACGCTCAGGAAGATCTACGGGCCATTTCCCCGTATCTTGGGAAAGGGGGATCATGCTGCGGTAAGTCGGGGTTCGATCCATCTACAGTCACCCGTCTACAAACCTCTTAGCGTCTAGCTACTCTACTAAACCGATCCCTGCTGCCACCATCAAGCGTGTCTCCCCATGCTTCAGCGGCAAACACGGAAAAGATCGACTCCCTCATAATCCTTGATAGACGCACAGACATGATTACTCCCCTCCTAACACAGCTTACCTACGAAGGCCTCATCGACGAGATGCTTGGGATTAAGAACTGTAAGTATCCCAGCATGTCCCGCTGTTCGTCAATGGTTTTATATCCTCGATACAGCTCATGTTGAGGTGCCGGCATCACTCCTTGCTCCTCCGAATCCCCCAGCCAACCCGAATGCTTCGTCTACATCTGCCTCTACCTCAGGTCTTCAAGCAGTGCCGCTATCGAAGGAAAAGAAAAAGAAGCACCATTTGACCACGGCGAACGATCCGCTCCTTGCGGAACTCCGCGATCTCAACTTTGCGTCGGTCGGGAAGAAATTGAACAGGATAGCGCATAGGCTGGACGAAGACTATAAGGTTGTCTTTGTCGTCTGCGCCGAATCTGGCAGGTTCTGACAGCGACACAGGCGAGGCTCCAAGCAAAGACCGTGGCTCAGCTACGTGATTTCGTCGGGAAGCTCGGCGGGCTGCAAACCGAACACCAGTCTCTTCGGCTTCGTGAGTATGCACGAGTGTACGTATGGTTGTCGAGCTGACCTCTACGTAGATACCGGTCTTTCCGAACTGATCGTGCCACAGACGAGAACAGAGATATTCAACAAGTCGCTTGAAATACAGCAGAGTGAGTTCGGTGGTTTTGCTGTAATCTTCGGTTCACACCCTCATATCTGTCACAGACCTGCTAGCCTCGTATAACGTGAATGACCAGGTGTCAGCGATAGAGGACCTTATTGCGCAGGGAGCGGACATGCAACTAGTCATAAGACTACTCTGCCTTGCAAGCATAACCGCTGGAGGCATAAGAACGAAAACGCTGGATAACATAAAGCGTGAAATTCTTCAGGTCGGTGTCGATTCAACGTGACGCGGATTGCAGCTTAACGCATATATCACTTCGCAGTCGTATGGCTACAACTTCTTGCCGCTACTCCTCTCGTTATCCGCGCCTCCTTTAGCAGTCCTACTGCCTAACCCTTTACCAGCTTCGACTACTCCGTCAGTCGTCGCATCCAAATATCCATACACCAGCCTGCGAAAATCCCTCCGTCTCTTGATGGAAGATACAGATGCCCTCGATGAGGTCGAGAATGATATCGGCTACGTGTACTCCGGGTACGCGCCCATCAGCATCAGGCTGGTCCAGTGCGTTGCGCAGAAGGGCGGAGTCTTGAGCAACCCCGCTCTGGATAAGGAGAAGCCGGCAGATGCAGGGTCCGCGAATGGTAAATCGACAAGCAAGGTCCAGGCTCACCCAATTGTTGGCTGGAAAGGCTTTGAGGATGTTCTGGCTACTATGCCGGGCGAGACCTTTGACATTACTCCCAAGGACTATGTCGGGGATGATTCGGCAAGTACACTGTGTAAGTCTCGAGATATGCATTATTTTCATTCATCATGTTCATGGATGGTGCTAGTGCAAGGCAGAGACCGGACGACTACGACGGTCGTGTTCTTCCTGGGTGGTTGTACGTACACCGAGATTGCTGCGCTGAGATGGGTCGGTCGGCAGAACAAGGGTCAGTTACTGCCTCGCACAAATCGTGATCCGTTGACAATGTCTGCTGCAGGTCGGAACTTCCTCATTGCCACCACTGGCATTATCAGTGGTAACAGTCTCGTCGACAGTGTTGCAGGCATCGGAAGAGGCAGCACTAATTCCAGAGATGCCGGTATCTAGGTCTTTACTGGTACTATCTGCACCCACTCCACATGTACTTGTTGGATGGCATCCAACTATCAGACCTCCGCATCTACGGTGGTCCACCCTCGACAGTTGTGGGAACTCCAATGCAATATTCCGCATTATTCTACCGTACAGTGTGCTAAGCTTGTGTAACGAATCTCTTTCTACATGATATTACAATAATCGTCTAGGAATGCACGACTAAGGATACAGACGTGATAATAACGATATGCCGCTACTCGTACAATATCAACCAATGTTTCGATCCCTCCCGTCCGAGTCTGTTCTGTATCCAATGCGAAAATATGAGCGCAAGCAGTAATATGTATAGTGTATCCAACGAAACAGCAGCAGAATCCAGACAAGCAGCAGGCGGGCATGAATCACATCGCGGTCTTGGGTCTTGCGTAGCTCACAGGCGCTGGCTTCCGAGCCTCCCAGACGCGGATGGCGCGCACGAAAGTAAGGTCCCCGAACCGCTCCCGCTGGTGGTCCACAGGGCGCGACCTCGGCCCATCGAAGGTACTACTCCGCCTCCGATGGCCCCTCTTCCCCTCCTGGTCCTCCTCAAAATCATCCTCATCCTCCAACGGCCGGTCCGTGCTCAGCCCGAGCCGCTCCCGGCGAAAGCGCTCGTAATCCCACACCCACTCCTCGAGCTCGCGCTCCGCGACCAGCGGCGCGCCGCGCGCGTCGACGTGCTCCGCGGCAAACTCCACGAGCGCGGCCTTGGCGCCGAGGAGGACGTGCGCGCCCTTGCCCGCCGCGTCGTCCAGCTCGCCGGGGGACATGCTCAGGAACGTTCCCGGCCAGAGGACCAATCCCTCCGGCTCGCGCGGGGCGGGGGCGTCGCGCAGGCCCAGGAGCCCCGCGGCCTTGGACGGGATCGTGACGGACGCGCCGAAGCTGCTCGTCGTCGTCGGCGAGGGCAGCGGGAGCGCGGGGTTCGCGGGCACGGGCGGGGACTCTGCGATGCCGAGGATGCCCGCCGCCTTGGCGGGGATGCCGCCGGGCGCGAGCGAGGAGACGCTCGAGCCGCTCGAGCGCCGGTCGGGGTCAAAGTGCACCGACGCGCTCGCGCTGCGCTGGCGGGATACCGGGGGCGAGTAGGAGAGCGAGTCGAAGCTGCCCGTGTCGATGGACGACGTCTCGCCGTCCCGGTCGAGGCTGCTGCGCGCGCTGCCCACCTCAGCCGGCAGCGCGAGGTGCATGTTGTGCGTGCGCCGCGCGTGGCCGCTGAACGCGGTCGAGAGCGCGCCGTCGAGGAACTCGTGCGGCTGCGGGTGGACGCGGTATTTCCGGAGGAGCATGTTCGCGAACACCGTCTCGAGGGCGCGGGAGGCGCTCGCCTTCCTCTCCCAGGGATCTTCCCCGTCTGGCGCGCGCTCCTCTGCGGGGGACTCGAGCTCGAGAAAGTCTTTCTCCGAGGCGGGCGTGGGCGGGAGCGAGGCGCGGCGGGGGTTGCGGTACGGGAAGATGAGCTGGTCGTCTATGAGTTCGAGCTGGCCGCCCGGGGCAAGGATGCGGTGCGCCTCTTGCAGGAGGGGTGCCCAGGCGTCGTAGGGGACGGCGAGGGCGAGGTCGGCCATGCGGATATAGTCAAACGAGTTGTCTTTGAACGGTAATCTATGCGTGAGGCTGCCGAACAATTCATACATGAGGTATATGCGAGAATTGGGGCATGGCGGACGTACACGTTATGCTGTCGGAATTCTACACTCTCGGCGATGGATTTGCTCAGGTCCCACGCGTCCGTGCGGGCGTCGACGAGGTCGAGCGCGACGATCCGGCTGCCCTTCCAGCAGCGCGCGGCGTGCGCGACCCAGCCGCCGTGCCCGCACCCGATGTCAAGCGCGCGGGCGGGCGGCTTCTTGTGCAACCAGGTGAAGGACGGCGAGCCGTGCGGCGCTAGGCGTGTGTAGAGTTGGAGGGTGCTGGCTTCGCTGTGGCAGGGATGTATTAGTGAATATCACTCTAGGGCGATCGTGCGACTGACGTTTGCAGCATTATGCTGTTGTACGATACCACGTACGGGGCCTCTGCTCTGGGGTAGGCGTGGAGCTTCATGCCCCGCCGATACCGAAAGGCGTGCCGCGGCTCGCTGCCCTCCTTGGACCATGGGACGCCGGCGAACGTCGTGGCACGGGGCGTTGCGTCAGAAGTCGCCTCGGACGGCGGCGGGTGCAGATGTGATAGGTGGATCGGCGTGCGCCGCGTGCCCGGCGGGGACGTGGGGACGACATCGAGCGAGGGCACGGGTTTGAGCGAGACGGCGGACTTGCGCGTGAGGACCTTCTTCCGCCGCGATATTGACTCGGAGGAGTAGCCGGGGGGCGTGCCCGAGACGCCGTCCTGCTTTAGCTCCGGGGAGACGGGCGGGGAGTGCGCGTCCTTGTCGCGCTTGAGCAGCCTGGCCTTTGCCATGGAAAAGGCAGAGTCTGTGGGGGAGCAGCGCGGGGGGTCGGCGTAGACGGGGAAGGGGACGATGTTGGGGAGGAGCTGGGACGTGGCGCGGCGGATGGAGAGGGCCTTGGCGGAGGCGGCGCGGGGGCGGGATGTGGCAAAGGGGCTTGTTGTGGACGGTGTAGCCATGGCGGGCAGCATCTTCGCATTAATTATAATCGGACAAGGGTTGCGAGCGCGAGAAGAACACAAAGCAGCGAGGACTAGCAATTCGAAAGCAACGAGAGCAGAGCAGAGCGGACGAGAGCGTCACAGACGACTCGCAGCGATCGCAGCGCAGTGGCTGACCAAGACGGCGTCGAGCGAGTGACAGCGGGGAACGGCGAGGCGGGACCGTCAGCCGCGGTCGAGCGGGGTATCAGACAAATCACCCGCACGCCAGCGCCCGGCCCGCCCCCCGCCGCACAGCCACTGGGCTATTCGATCGCGTGCATGGTTTGCTTCCGGCGTCCCAACTGACATGGACGTCTCCTGGAACTACTTTCGTCTCCATCTCGTCTTCTTCACTGTCCATCCCGTCCTCTGGTCCGCGGTCCTCTACGCAGCCAATGGCCGATATCCCGTGTCCTACCTCGACTCTTTCTTTCTGTGTTTCTCTGCCCAGACCGGTCAGCGCACCGCTCGTCCGACGCCCTGCCTGTGCTGACACTCTGCAGTGACGGGGCTGACCACGGTCAACCTCAGCTCGCTCACCGCTTTCCAGCAGGCCATCCTCTACTGGCTCATGGTGTCTGGCAGCTACACCACCACCAGCTGGGTCATGGTCATGGCTAGGCGGTCCGTCCAGGCGTCTATTTACGCGCTCATCTCTCATCCTATGCGGCAGCTATTACTTTGTTCAGAAATGCGCGCACGTCATCAAGAAGGACCCCAGCCGTCTCAACAAGAGATTCGAGCGCTTACGCTCGAAAACTATGGACGTCTGGCGCAGCACCACGAACGCCCCCGGCGTCTCCGAAAAGTCCCCCGACAGGGGCAATGGTGTCACGACCGCCGTGCATTCCCCTCCTGCCAGCGGCCCGGTCTCGGAGCAGGACTTGACAACTCAAGTCCACCACGAAGGTAAGCATCTGCTACGGATACGAGAGACGCCCGCTGAATCATCCCAAGCGGAGCCCTCGTACACAAACACCTTGGTCGGGGTCCCGCTGGAGCGCACGCAGTCCCCCTCCTCCATCGGCAGCTTCCAGCCCACCACGGTAGCCTTCGCCGAGGCCGACGGCCCCCGCCGCCAGGGTACGCGCTCTTCTCCCCCACTAACCACCGCCCTCTCACACCGCCTGGTAGTCCTCCGCACAGCAACGGGCCTCACCAACCGCTCCGCCCGCCGCCCTCCGCGCCTGCAAACCCACGCGCCGACGATCCTCGCGCCCAAGTCACCCACCGAATCGACGCACGAGCGCGGCTTCGGCGGGTTCGCGGGTCCCCTGACGCTCACGGGCAAGCTCGCCGCGCGCGTCGCGCCGGGCGTCGTGCGGGCGCTCGAGCGCAAGCTCACGCTGCCCGCGCACGGCGCGGTGCTCACGCCCGCGTCGCAGTCGACGCTCGTGGGTGCCGGCGACGAGGAGAGGAAGCGGGCGGAGAGCCGGGACTGGCTGGACGACGTCGGGGCGCTGCACGCAAAGACGGTGAGCTACCTCAAGAAGGGCGCGCTCTGGGTCGGCCGGAACTCGTTCTTCGACGCGGAGCATCTCAGCGACGAGCAGCTCGAGGAGATCGGCGGCGTGGAGTACCGCGCGATCAAGTTTCTGTCGTGGCTCGTGCCTGCGGTGAGCATCGGAGTTGGCATCGAGCATGGGGGGAGGTTATCTGATGTGAGCGGGTAGTATTTTATAGGGACACAGCTGTGCACGTTCATCATATACACGGCGTACCTCGAGTCGGTGCATACCTACGACTCCGTCTTCGCCGCGCTCTTCCGGCCGGTTCCCAAAGCATGGTGCGTCCTCGCTCGCCTTCGCCACCCGCCCGCTAATACCCCGTAACGCCCGCAGGTTCTCGGCGTTCCAAGCGGTGAGTCGCACCTCTCCCCGTCGCGTGTGGATGGCTAGCGAGGCCCACGACAGCTGAGCGCGTACACGGGCGCGGGGATGACCCTCGTCGACCAGGGCATGGTGCCCTTCGTGTCGTCGTACACCATGATCATATCCCTCGGGATGCTCATCATGGCGGGGAACATGCTGATGGTGAGTGACGCGCACCCTGTGCTTGGCCGATGCGTGCGTGCTCATCACTGTTCGCTTTCGTAGCCGGTGTTTCTGAGACTTATCGTGTAAGCTTCTATATGAGATGGAAAGCGGCGTCGAGTTTTGATTTTTGCTGATGAGGAAGCTGGATCATATTCCGCATGCTGCCGGAAGGCTCGTCGACTCGGGAGCCGGTGCAGTTCCTCCTGGACCACCCGCGGCGGTGAGCTGCTCTCCATGCCGGTTAGGTGGGTTAGCTGCTTACGAGTGTAGGTGTTACCTCTACCTCTTCCCATCGCATCAGACTTGGTTCTTGGTCGCTGTTTTCATGTTTTTGACGTGAGCATTGCCATGAACTTTGTCTCTGGAACAGAGACGTACTGATAGCTTGCTTTCTGCAGGGCGATCGAATGGGCGGGCTTTGAGCTGTTTGATGTCGGTTTGCCAGTGGTCGACAGTGGGTGATCAGTTGCCTCATATTGTTCAATGTTTGGAATTTGAATATTCCAATCAGACATACCTCGGGGTCCACGAGTACTTGCCGGCCTATTCCAATCCCTCGGAGTCCGCGCTTCCGGATTCTCCATCGTCTCCATCGGCTCTCTCGCACCCGCAACGACGTGAGCACCCCCTCCCCCGGATCCGCACCCGCTAACCTAACGCAATAATCCAGCCTCCTGTACATCGTCATGATGTACATCTCCGCGTACCCGATCGCGATGTCCATCCGCTCGACGAACGTGTACGAGGAGCGCTCGCTCGGCGTGTTCCAGGCGACGGCCGAGGACGAGGCGGAGGAGCCCAAGGGCGAGATCTTCAGCAAATACCTCGGGTGGCACGTCCGCCGCCAGCTGGCGTACGATCTGTGGTGGCTCGCTGCGGCGGTGCTGCTCATTTGCATCGTAGAGGTGCGTCGGGTTGGCGTTTTGGGTGAAGTGAGAGGCTGATGCATATGGGTGGGTGGGTAGAGGGGGAATATCATGAACCCGGAGAATGATACGTGGTTTAACCAGTTCTCGATTCTCTTTGAGATTGTGTCTGCGTATGCGACTGTGGGCTTGTCCATGGGTATACCGACCGTGAGTGTGCCCCGCAAGTGCAAATCGAAAGGACTTACAGCAGATGTTACTTGCAGCAAAATTACTCCTTCTCGGGTGCTCTGAAGCCGCTGTCCAAACTCGTTATATGTGCCGTCATGCTCCGAGGACGGCACCGCGACCTACCCGTAGCCGTTGACCGTGCTGGTACGTTTCTCCCGACTATCTCGTGACGACCCTCCCCTGACCCGCGTTCTCCAGTGCTACTTCCGCAAGAGTTCAGCAGGGTATCCACCGCTGGGCGGAATCACATTATACCCGAAAACGAAGATTTCACTGTTTTGTCTCCGGTGGACGAACCGCACCATACCGCGGCATGAAGAAGACATGCTAATAATACTCATAGAACTTTGGGACTTTCATTCGTTCGGGATATGTTGTCATCAATCGTACTATCGCACACTCTGACTGCATTCACTTACATCCATTCACTGTAACTTAACTGTACGCATATACCGTAGACCGCCTGTGGCAGATATATTATCTAATTATAGTGGATACACGCTGACGAGCTACATGCTTAGAGCTGCAGAGAAGACAGTACTTGCATCGGATAAAACAGAGCTGCGCTCCGCTGACTAGTCTTCATCCTTTGCAGGAGGAGGGCCGCACGGTTGTAGCATACGCTGGATCGCATTCCATGAGCGAACGACGGTCATGACGGGCTGACACTGGGACGCATACCTCGGTCATCTCAAACTTGACTCGGCCGATAGACTCGTTGTCGGCGATGGCGAGGTAGGAAGTGAGAGTTGGATGGCCGACAATTGAGGCGAGCGTGTCACGGTGCTGGTGCGTGAGCCATTCGCTTCAAGCAGGTTAGTGGGTAATTGCAGGAGTTGGAGTTGGGATCCTCACTATTTAGTTATATCAGCGTGACCTGACTAACAATCAGCTTCCTGTGTAGAGCGAAAACAGTGATCCTACGCACCTGTGCCAGTGTACCGAGCATGCACTATCGAGACCCACAATCTAGTCAGTTCTTCTGGTCCACGTGGGATCATGTGCGAGACACTCACAGTGCTCAAGCTGAGTGTTCGCGGTGTATCTGAGTTCTGACGACTAGCACGAGGAATCGTTAGTAGACCATGTAGGCCCAAGACGAGAGATGAGCGTACCATGTAGAACCCGCTGTTTATCCTTGTTGCCGCCGGCTCGCAGGATTTGTGGCTGCAGCGCCACAACTTCTTCAGTTTGCACTCGGCTCTCGCGTTTGACGTCGGACGGACTGTCGGACGGGTCGCTGCCACACTACTCTCGGAGTCTCGCTTCAAACATGGCAAACGAACAGAAGAAGCTCAAGTCGCGACTGGCCGCTCTGAATGGGTCTCTGGACGAGCTACAGGAGAAGCTGGAACCTTTACTAGCTCAGACTCTGCCTGAGTCTGTGGTCGCTCTGGAAACTTTACAACAGGCGAAACTCCAAGTCGCATTACCCTATCTTGTCTATGACTTGATTTTCAGTACGTTGCCTTGCTTCGTTCATGGATCTGAAGTTGAGTGCAGACAAGTATACCTCAAGACGAAAGGAATAGACCCTAAGACTCATCGAGTGGTCGGAGAACTCGTAAGTCTAATCCATCGATTTGTTCTGTATGTGTCTTAACTTAGCAGTGTACAGGATCGTATCCGTCAATATTTCGAAAAGATAAAGAATGCCGAAGACCCAGCCAAACGTGAGTATGTTTTCGGCGACTGTGGAAATTCAATGTCGAATGTATCATCTATCAGGCAAGAGCGCTGTAGATAAAGCAGCAGCGACACGATTTATCAAGCATGCCATCACCCAAATTGAGACGAACGACGCCCAACCTAGCCAAGCGGGTCCTTCTCACATACGGTTCACCGACAAAGACAGTAAGCCGGCCGCGAGTGCATCGATCCCGGTCCGAGTTACCAGTAAAATGAAGGCAAGGGCACGGTACGAGCAGGAACTCAAGGAGATGGGAAGCGAGGAGGAAGAGGACCTTCAGATGTTCGACCACACGGAGGATCATGACAAGGCAGCTGACACGGACATACCATCGGGGGCTGAAGACGATACGGAAACAAAATCTGGACATCCCTCTAAGCGCAGACGTCCGCAGCTCGATCCGTTCGGAGGTGAGTGGATTGCCAGAAACTCTGCGCTAATCTGAACGTACACAAAGGTTATGGCTCCGATCACGAGTCAGCAGCCCGGTCTTCGAAGAGAGGTAAGGTTACACTAGAGGAAGCTGCCTCACCAGCAGGCGCCGCCAGCTCGGCTCCTGGCACCTCTGAAGAGGTTGGAGAGCCATCCGCTTCAAAGGGCAAAAAGAAAGTGAAGAAATCCAAAAAGAAAGAAATCCAAAAAGAAAGCTAAGAAGATTGCAAGCGAAGGCAAGACTTGACACCTCCGCAGAGTTTTGTTTGCGTACCATCAGGCCATGTCATGTTATAACATTCATGGATAATAATCAATGCACCACCATCACGGTTTATACAAGAATACAAGAGGTCGTTACAGTAAATAATATACCAAAAGCCATGCCGGCTACAGATTGTACAGAGCGGGTACAGAAGGGAAAGAAAGATACAACAGATACACGATACAATATGTTACATGATGGTACAGCCATCCCGGTCGTTATTGACATCCAAGAGGCTCGGTGAGTTATTCCCCGACCGTCGCCGTCCGCCTGGTGCCCACCACTTGGAACGCCCCGGCGACTTGGACGAAAAGTAATCTTCTGCGCTACTGCCAGATGAATTCAGGGCCCTCCTAGTCTTGCGCTTCCTGTCTCTCGCGACTCGAACCGCATCAACTGTCTCCCAAGAGTAGAACGTCTTCACCACGACTCTCTTATCATCGCACTCGTCTTGGCCGACGCCGAGATCCTCATCGTCCCTGGCATCCAGATATGCCAACTTCTTCGCCTCATGCGCTCGCCAGCCGAGCCGCGGCCTCGTCAGCTTCGAGACGTCCGTAACAGCGCTCTCGCTGACGCCACGACAGTCGATCGCTACGACTCCGGCATCCGCCATTCGACGACTATGAGCGAGGCGCACAAATTCCTGCAGGGTCTTACCAGTCATTCGTGTGCTATCCGCCTCTAGCACGCGCAGCCTAGGGCAGTTCCGAATTAAACCGAGTAACGCCTCATTGGTGATGTTGACAGCGTATGAAACCACGAGGTGTTCCAGTTCTTGACCAACCTGGGGCGTCTCAGGCGACTTCCGTTGCGAAGGAGAATGGTTGACTGGAGTGAGACTTCTCAGGACAGCGTCACTGATATCCATGGCGTCTTCCAGATCGATCTTCCTGATATGAGGAGTAGTGTTCAGCATCCGGATTAGCCCTTCATCGTTCAGATGCCCGCCAATACCGGCCATCTCAAATAATTCCAAACGAGGTACGCAGTGCGCCAAATTAGAGCATGCGATGTCGGTAAGCAAGAGGCAATGCGACAGTGAGAGATGTCTCAAGCGAGTGACTCGTCTCCTGTATTTCGTCACGTCGCCGGGATCGCGTCCTATCTCGCGGGAGGTCAGGACGATCGAGTTCGGGTCGTCTTCCTCCAGGGGAAGCGACACGAAAGCGTCCAAGGCCGAGTTATGAAGGTCGCGAGTGTAGCTGAGGTCCAAGACCTCCAGGTGGGGCATGGCTTTGCCCATTGCAGCCATGATGGTGTCAGTGATATACTTCAGTCCAGAAATTCGCAGTTCCTTCAGACGTAACCGTTCTCCACGGGCTGAGGCGCCAGATACCAAGGAGTGAAGGCCGCCGGCATTTAGATTCAAGCATCTATTGAGATTGAGGGAAACAAGGCTACGGCAATGCGTCGATAACAGTTCACAAGTGGTGTTGTTGACGACGCTGAGCCCTTTGAGACACAGGTTCTCTAGGTGAGGGGACCGAATCAATAGATCGTGGAGGGATCGGGTCGTCAGGGCCGTGCAGCCCTGTAAGTTAATGTTCTTGAGTTGAGTGACAGCCTGATTATCCGGAAGTGCGGGTGAGATACAAAGAGAGTGATTGAGCTTGAATAGGCTCTCCGGAGACAGTGTTGTATGACCCGTCAAGTCGATGGTGCTCATGAAGGCTCCCGACTGACTGACGACGCGAGATAGAGCTGGCAGCGGGAGCTTGGGGAATGCTGTAACGGCCAATTCCGACCACAACTGCCCGTCAAAGACGAGGCTGCGCCAAGATTTGGACACCTTTGCACGGTAAATATCGGTTATTCGACATGAATCGTGCCCGCGCACAAGTGCTTACCCTGCTGAACTTGACCAGTTCTCGGACCCCTTTGTCCTTGCCCACCCACCGATTTCTAGACGCGGACGCCTTTAAGGCCGTCCAATTACCATCAGCAATGCGTTTCTCGTACTCCTGCTCATGGGAAAGAACCAGCAGCTTGAATACATGTAACTTGACTTCCCTGGGTAGAAGGTCGTCGAAAGGTCTATGAACGGGGAGCGGGATGGGAGTAAAGACATCAAGAGTCGGAGGAATTACGATGTCAAGCGGCGACACAGGGCATGAATATGAGCGTCCCTGGGTACGCAAAACTCGTGCGCTGGAGCGACTGTCCAACCCTTTGGCAATCCCGGCTTCATAACTCAGAACGGGGACTGGGATGCAATCCGCACCAGACTTGGGCCGTGCCTTGCTATCTGTCTTCCATGGCATAAAGCAGTTGCCCGCTCCATAGTCCACAATGCCCAAGGCCTCCAGGTCAAGCGTCCTCGAGTCATACAATGACCCAAGATCGGTCGAAGAGTCCGGTTCTCCTCGCCTCTTGTGGGGCAACTTGCGAGCCAAGTTGCTCATACCCTTCGCCGGTTCGAGCTTCATGCCCGATGGAGAACGTTCAGCTAAAGGGCGAGCGGAGTAAATGGATAGGTTAGAAAGGGATCTGCGCCTGGAGGGAACACGCGTGAGGATAATGGGCGCTGGCGGAGAAATAGCGGGGGAACGCTGAGTCTCCTGAGGCTTGGGGTCCGAGTTGGATGCGTAGCTCGAGGCAAATGAAGACGGCCCTGCACCAGTTGATACCGAGCTGGGCGTAGGCCAATTGATCGCGCTGTACTCGAATCCAGGAGTGAATGTTAAGGGAGGCAATGTGGGCGATACTTCCCTCCCTTTGCCCTTGCGATCGGGTATCCCCATCGCCGCGGGGTCGTCGTCTCGCCTAGCGCCGAAGACACCTGCGGAACGTTCGTCGGCGGCGGATGGATCCTCGTCGTGGACTGACAGGTCCCCAGACAGGGACGATGGGATGCGCACTGAAGCGGTCATCGTCGGAGACGACTGAGCACTCATACTGCGGTCATCAAACGAGACACCCTCCTCCAGGGGCGACATGGAGAATATATCTTCTGTCGTACCAAGGTCACTCCACTGTATCCCCACCGGCCTCGAGGGTCCCTTCCCTTTATCAATGGAAGATCCTCCAAGCACGACTCGCTCTGGCCTTTCATCAGATGAAAACTGGTCCTCATCCGTGAAAGAGCCTTGAGTTTCGTCCCCGATCTTGTCAGTGTTGAACGACATTGAAGAGGTCCAATTGCGACTGATGCTGCTGGTGCCGAGCGACACAGTCGTTGTAAACGATTGTACAGCAAAACCTATGGTTTGGTTGGGTTCAAAAGGCTCGTCCTGGCGTGTATCAAACGAATCAAACGAGAATAACGCCCGCTCGTTATCGATGTCATGTGGGGTGCTCATGTTAGCAAGCCTGAGGAATCTATGTAAGCTGGTTCACAGACGATGGGAGGCGATAATGATAACAGATACAACGGTGGCAAAGAGGGATGCTGGAAGAGCCGCAGATGTCATACAAGAGAGAATACAGGAGCACCAGAGAAAGAAGACGGTTAGAGCTTGGTTAGAGCGAGCAGGGCGCATGCAGCGCCCGTTGTGGACGCTGAATGAATCACATCAGGCGTAAGACTCGCACTAAGGATTACGATCCGAGACAAGCTCTGCCGCGCGTCGGCATAACCATAGCGGTGCCTATATACGGCAAGTCCTTACGTTCCTCCATTCCGAATACAGACAGGCCCTCCTCCCGACTGGCCGTAAAACACGCGCACTCCTCCGGAGGATCTAATGAATGGGAAACGCCAGGACACAGGAGGTTCATCTAACATCTTCCAGCCTCGTTGTCTCCGGTGCCTGAACAGCGATCCCTAAGTGGATCACCGCCAGACCTTGATGGGAATGTGGTTACCCGTAGGCGAACGATATAACGATCTCCAACGCCAGCATTCTCAACAAGACTCCTGGAGAAGCATGCAAATGCATTAATCATTGTAACAAAGTCGACGGGTACACTAGCTAAGAATAACAGCAAGGAACGACACCTGAAAGGGATACCCATAAGCAGGCACCGCGGGGCGAATAAGCGGCCAACAGCTTAACCTCAAGGTAGCAGTACAGTAAGGGCGGGGTAACGAGCAGTCGAGGCTGGCGGAAACCTCGAGGGATATCAAACGGTATAGGGGACAATAAATTAAGAACTAGGACTCCACCGAAAAAGAGGTGAAAGGCAGCGCGTGGAATCACTTGTCAGCCTTGGTCTTATTTTTGTTGGAGTTCCAGTTAGTCGTCGCTAGTTTGAAGCTGCAGAGACAGGCGAATAGTCAGCGAAAGCACGAATGGGAGCGGTGACAATACTGACCGCTCCTGATGAGGCATGTCGGGCTCCTCCTCCTTAAGACGCGCCATCTCGGTCTGCATGAATTTGTTGAAGGCGCTGAGCTTTTTCTTGCCGCCTCCAGAGGCCTCTATACGCGATATCAACATCAGGACGCGCATCGACGCGACGGACAGGGGCAGACGTACTCTTCTTGGGCCGCTTTTCCGTGGCGGCCTTTTTCTCGGTGTTCGAAGCCATGGTCAGAGGCAAGGAGGCAGACTTATCAAGCTCGAGTGTTGTGGAAAAGAGCAAGGAGAGTGCCGTCCAATATGCGCACGATGATTCAAACTGCGAAGCTAGGCCTAGACCAAAGAAAGATAGAGTTATAGCACGGGAAAACTACGAAACTTCAGATACACACGGCACGATTCCAACGATGCGGGGGAGCAGGAGGGCAAGAGGGAAGGTGGTGGTTAGAACGAAGGGGAAAGGCGGGCATTTTAACTTATAACAGTTGACGGGCTTCTTCTGCGAGCGCGGTTCAACAGACCGCTGGATTTCCACTTCGATCATCGTCTCGGGTCCATCCGAGCCCTGGGACCCGATCACAACACATGACGAAGCTATTCCTTTCCTGCTCTCGTCTCCGCGTGTCCTTCCCGCCACCGACGCGGACGACGGGCGCGGGTCCTACGATGTCGCAGCGCACGACGAGGACACTGCTGCGATGGTATTCGAGCACGTTCTGGAAGATAGCGTAAGTGCAGTGGACGCGTCAGTCAGCCACAGCATTTCAAGACGCGTCATCGCCGCGCTTATCTACTGAGATGGGCTGCTGTGGCTGGAAACCTCACCTTCAAGTCTTGTCTCTCGACGCCTCCCTGACTACTACAAATGGCTCAACTATATGTGAAATCCTTCACTCACTTGAAGGACCGTCCAAACGCAGACCAGGCCCTGGCAATGCTGCAACGTGTCGCATCGTTGGTTAAACCGATAATGCGCAAGCACGGATGGATACTGCCCGTGCTGTCCGAGTTCTTCCCAGAGAGCCCAAACCTTCTTGGTGGGTGTGCACATCCAGCTCGTGGACTGTAAAAGGGCCTGACACGTTGATCTGTAGGTCTGAGTGAGTCCACTCCGAAGATTCAACTCTGGGGTATCTAATCCTCGACAGATGTTAACGGCGGGGAGAAGATCCTCCTGAGATTGCGCCCTGCCTGGGCGCCCGATACTTTCTATGATCTCGAAGATGTCGTACATACCATGTTGCACGAAGTAAGTCCTTAAAATTTGTTTGGAAGTCAATATGCACTTAATACCCTGAAGCTCTCGCACAATGTCCATGGCCCTCACGACGAGAAATTCTATAAATTCCTTTCGGGGCTGGAGGAAGAGTACGACGCACTTAAGCGTTCTGGCTATGCAGGAGAAGGTTTCTTCTCGCCGGGACACAGAGTCGGCACTGGCGTGTCGCACGACTTGCCTCCGCATATCGCTCGTCAGAAAGCCCTGGAAGCAGCTGAAAGACGGCGGAAGCTGGGCACTCTGATGAGCGGAGGCCGTCGGTTAGGCGGCGCACCGGTTCGCAGAAATCTCTCCCCCAGGGAGCTCGCTGCTGAGGTGAGCACTCTCTGTCTTCTTACGGCCGTATATTCTCATACATTCGGTGGCAGGCTGCAGAGCGTAGAGCTAGAGACGAGAAAGCTTGTGGATCGGGCGTACTAGCCCAGTGGGAGGCCCAGAAGGCTGCCAAAGAAAGCGTCGAGAGTGAGGCGATTGATTTAACAGGCGATGCTTCGGATGGGGACTCGGATGTAATCATCCTGGATCAACCTCCGTCCGAGCCACTATCCGCTAAAGTCGTTGTGCAACAATCAAAGGGTAAAGCCTTGGCAACGTCTATGAAAAGTGATAGCAAGCATTCGAAACGCACTCCTAATGCACAGCAAAGCGCAGTGCCATCGGGATCCGGTGCAGTCCCCATTGTCGATGGAGTCTGGTCGTGTCCCGCTTGCACGTACTTCAACGCTGCAGCGGCTTTCCGGTGCGCAATGTGTGACACAAGTCGGCCGCAGTTTGGGTCTTCCGAAGGCTGGACTTGCAGGATCTGTGGCGAAATGGGGATGCATCAGGAGTTTTGGACCTGCCGATTTTGCGGTACCATGAAACCGAGTAGCTAAAGGGGCGCGTGCACAGTGGTAGACTAGATTGTACCATACAACGTCATGATTATCATGTTTTCGCTTTGCGCCAGAATTGTATGATTTTGACATTACGAGTGATCTCGTTTGGGGTCTCTTTCCCTTCGGGCAGACCCACGAACATTGATAATTCAGGCGTTTGCAGTTGCTGCATCGTGAACATTTGGGCTGGAAAGATCAGGAGGGCATAAGCTTTGCGGTTGAACGCAACTCACCTGCCAGACGCTCGAATGCTTCGTATGTCCGTTCACTGCGCACAGTCAAGGCTATGATTGCTGTTGCAGCCGGCACGACACTGCCAGCACGGCCTTGCAAGGCCAAATCGATAGTCTCTACCAGAGAGGGGGTGAGGTCGGGATCAAACACCTGTCAACATACATGAAGGTCCGTAGAATGGGTAATTGGGGTAAATTCACCAAGTCTGCTCCTAGGATTAGTTCTGCGCCTGTATCTGCGAGAAGCTCTTTGAGAGAGGGCCGCAGAACAGGGTCTCTCGAATTTGACCAATCCAACGCGTGGTAGTGCACGTTACCGTGCCGGCTCGAAATATCTATGCCAATACAACCTTAAGAGGTGCGACGAAGATGGGGTTGATGGCATACTACAGGGCAAAGCTACATTTTCTCGGCAGCGCGACAGCACTTCTTCATTCACGTCGGATAGATGTAGGCTTGAGCTCCTATTATTGTGGAGAACTTGGATGGAGGCCAGGATGATACCCAGGAAGCCAGCGCCAGAGCCAAGCTCCAAGACATGTTTGCCGGAGACGGTGTCTGTCGTTCAGAGAGATGGTCTTCGCCTGTAATTATATCACATTGAAGCGAGTGCAAAGTCCTTACCTTTGTGCGCCAAGACATACTCAGCTAAAGCAAGGCTAGCAGGCCATGTTCGGAGCCCAGTGGTCCCCCTCTCGACGAAAGCGCGAGATTCTGCTAGGGTCGCTTTCTTGAAGATCGTTGGATCAATGATATGTCGGGTCAAGTACGACGGCTCTGTGGACCAGAATTGTGTCGTATACGAAGGTGAGGGGCTGACGGTATCCGAAGGCGCCCTAAGTTTGTCATAATCGTGCGCGCTCTTTCAAGACGATAGAATTTGCTATCGTACGACTGTGACAGCAAAGACATATATCGGTCGTATATTCTGTCATCGATTTCATCTTCCTTTCGGGCACGGTAGTTGTCAGCGTGTAATTCGACATTCACTCAGGTCCAAAACACATGCCTCGTTTCGATCCCCAGCGTAATTCTCGAGGTACTCAATAGCGTACTTCCAGAAAGACCGCTGGTACTCCCTGGCGGGAGGATACGTTTCAAAATGCCGATTCAAAAGGATAGAATCTATAATGAACGTATGCAAGTCCGACCACTGAACGTCAGTAGGAAAGGTGAAGAGTCTAGGAGGAAGCAGAGCGCCATAACCACGTAGAACGTCAAAGTACTCCTTTCGAAGCATATTCAAGCCGCTGAAGAGTTGCGTCCGAGGCGAAGTCATATAATTATCATATAATTATCGAATGAAGGTGCCACATTGCGAAGTCGGAAGCGCCTGCGACACTGACGGTTGATACCCTGCCCTAAACAAGTCACATGACCGCATCGTTTTCCTTAGAAAATTTCAGCCTTTCCTCGATGCGTGAAATGCTGGCCTACCTACGAGGAGTTCCCTCGCGAACGGCTCGGGCATGGTCCGTCTCATACCATCGTAGTATTTCTTCTTCTCGCGTCGTTCGGGCTCAAGCGGAAGAAGATGAGGTCGAAGAGGAGTACGCTGAGGACTTCGAAGACGATGAGGGTCTCGACGAGGATGAAACCGACGCGGATGGGAATCCAATAGCAAACAGGGAAGCAGATTCGGACAAGCCATACGAGGACTGGCTGCAAGAAGACGCAGTCCGGTACAAGGACCCTGTCCAACCAAGGAACTGGCTTGGTGGTCGTCCAGTTGAGTTCGTCTCCCTCCGCAGTCTCCATCTCCCGGTAGCTGATCCCTTCGTTCGTCGTAGCATCCGTTTCCTTTGAACCCGTCGTTTCAGCCCCCGGCACCTCTGTCTGACAAGCTCCGGAGTCGCTTTTACGAAGAGTACATGGAGGACCCGAATGCCAACAGCGTCCGGGAGTTGTCGTCACGTTATGGTTTGAGCATCAAACGTGTGGACGCCATCCTCCGGCTGAAAGGCTTGGAGGCTCACTGGGAGAAGGTAAGCGTTACCGATCCAAGTTCGATCCCATGGGCGTCCTTTGCGGGTGTTCTCTGTGATGAGCACAAATCGATTAGTCTTGAAGACTCATACATGGTTAAAACCTCAATTACATGCATGGCTTTCTGAACTTCTACATAACATTTTATTGTCCTCGGTCCTGTACTAACCTGCACTCTTCCTAGGTAAGATGATAAATCATGTTGGACCGAACTTGGGCTGACGGATGTCGTGGATGCGCTCGAAAATGTAGGAGGTGAGATTTGTTTCCCTATGGCGTAGCAGAAGTTCTGTGATGAGATTATCATGATCATTCGCGAAATGGAAGACACCCTTGTGCCTTACATCACTTGGGCTTTGGTTAAATCGATTTCAACCCCATCTGACTTGCTATGACTTGCGCTTTCGTCTCCTATATTCAGTGCTGACTCTGGACTAAAGGGCAAAACACTTCAAACTGGTTTCCTAACTGGGATGGAGAAGGTGCTTGGCGTACCCCAACTGCCTGCGAATGTCGAGGCGGCGATTCAAGCTCGGCATGATGTCTCCGAAGCCGACGCGCTTGACGAAATCGAGGGCGAGGGAGTGGACCGAGAGAAATACCAAAGGATGTTCTGGGAAGACGTAGCGGAGGGCGAAGTGCGTGCACTTGATCTCTTCCTTCCCTTTGATATTGATTCCCTTGGTAGGAAGCTATCCTGCCCGCTGCTCTGGAACAGGCCAAGACCGATGCGGCGAATGCTCGTAAAGCAGCTATCGACGCGAAGTCGGACCCTGTTCTTCTCGGCATACCGAAACACCTGTGGCGCCGGAGGCTAAAGCACACAGAGCCGGAGGAACTCCAACCTGAGCGTAAGGCCCGCATGTTGCGTGATCGCTACGAAGCTCTTTTCTACGAGCCAAGTGTTCACCGAGATGTACGTACCATGCACCGTCTTGTTAGCATTATTACTAATACCTTGTCTGTAGGATCTGGTTCGCCTGGAGCGAGAGAGGGCGGGTGAAGATCCCTGGTCGTTTACCAGTCAGCGCAATGCGTTCGTGGTGCGCAGCGGTGCATCCCCTGCTCGGCCGCATATCAAATTCGAGGACGTGGGTGGCAAATTCTTGGATGTCAAGGATCGCGTACGCAGGATGAAGGAGAGTGAGCGGAGAGCTAAGATTAAGGGACGCAAGAGGGCAGTTGTGCAAGAAACTATCAAGGCTGCTCGTGTTGCCGCTTAGCATGCATTTTATTTCCTATGTTGCTGTCATGGATTGTAGCATATATCTGCGTTGTAGGATACCGTCCTACTCGATTAATCACCCCATATTTCATCTGCCCCTTCAGGCTCGTTCTCGTATTCGTGTCGTTCTACAGTCATCGTTGCCCACTAAGATTATGTACAAGTATCAGTATACAAAGCGGAAATCCATCCTGTCGTTTCCTTCGTCTTTTGTGGTCTCTAGGTAGGTTTGTCGTTCCTACGCAGTGCACGGTAAGCCAGAAGTTATTGATAAAACTGTTCGAGCTTCGCACCTTCTCAGACCAGGAGTTCCAAACCCTTTCTCTACGCTTGTTGAGATAGCGATAGAAAAAGAACGTCCCGATGTAGAGTGTTATATTCATGCAGCAAATGCCGATTAGAGCGCGATTCCCTCTTTTATCTAGAATATGAAATGAGTATATGCCATCTCCATAGACGACCTTGACTCACATAGCGGCTGCGGGACGATGTAAAGGTCAGCCATGGCTACATTCCTGATGGGTGCAGATTATCTCACCTTGTCATCGGCCCTGTAAATGTTAGCCTGTAATGGGTATCCGTTAGTGTGAAGTCGTGACAATAGCACGATTATGTACGAACATATATGATAGCGCCGGCTTGTACGAACATGTTGTATACTGACGCCGACACAGTCCTCATGCGTACACTGTACGAGTTTCTGGATGTCCAAGCAACTTGGATAGGGTGGACGTAAGGGAAGCCTGTGATCAGAGTAACAACGGCGTAATACACCCATTGCGAAGTGTTCTTGTTGAACGTGTAAAGAGCAATGAGGAGCGGCAGGGCCCACAGCTGCAAAATAATTGTTGAAGCCACCCGGCTGTCCACTATTTCGCTCATATATGCTGTAAACAGCAGCATGAGAATCCCGATGACCGTAGATGGGATGCTGAGTAGGTTGGACTCGGTGGTGTTGAAACCAAGATTACGAAGAGATAAGGTTAGGTAGTTTTGGGGTGGTCCGGTTGGGACTGAATGGAATTCAACGAAAATTCCCGCGGGCTCATATAGAACACTTACTCATATGCACCAGGCCAAGGATATACAACGGCCACATCTTCCAGTCTTTCAATGCGGCAAAAATCATTTTTGGGCTTAGACCCTGTCGATTGTGCATGTCTGACTTCGACGGGTCATCTCGCAGCACCCTGAGAAAACGGTATGATACACAACGAACAAGACTCAAAAAGCAGAGGCATACCTGTTCACCATGATGACCTCCTCTCTATCGCCTTCGTCAACGAGAATTTGTCTGACTTACTGCGGAGCTTACCTCTCTGTAAACCAGCCTTTCGGCCGATACCATGCTTTGGTCTGTGTGGGACTTGGAGGCATAAGGAAATATGATGCCAGCCCCACAAGCAGTGTCATCCCTCCTTCAACGAGGAACAGGTATCTCCAGCCCGGCCTGCCATGCACGCCACGAAGCTTCAATAGACCTGTTTATTCGGCATCAGGACAAGTCAACAGAAAATCCAGTAATTTATCTCTCACCGGTAGCCAGGAATGCACCTACAATATGGTCGACGTAGTTTGAGACCCAGAAATAGGCGAGCCGAATGGGAACTGCAGCCGATCCACTGTAAACGGCAAGGACAATCGCTGATCAGTTGTAGGACCTACGTTCGGTTTTCGTGTAGAAATACGAGAGGTATAGTACCACGTCAGGAATGAAGCCTCCCTGTAAAAATCCTAAGAGGAATCTGGGCCTTGATCAGAAACGAACACGTGGGGCACCGTACAACCATACCTGGTAGCAAGGAATGATTTCCTACCACTCAGCCAGAATTGACTGATCGCTACTAGACTCCATAAAGACATCTGCGTAGGTATCCAGATGTCTGGGCCTACTCTCTTTGAGACCAGTTGTGAAGGAAGTTCTGCTATTAGGAATGACAGCCGGAAAAGGGTGTTCCCAAGGTTATAGTCGTCGGTCGTCATACCCAAGTCTCCTAAGAAGTTGTCGGTATTCGCCTGATTGATGTTTTGACGATCCATGTCGAGAGAGAAGAACATAAGACAGGCCCATATGGCGATACGAAAGTCTATCTTCCGGACAACAGCCTGGGGATGGTGGAGTTTGGAATAGATAATGAATCTCAGCCCGCATGCACGTACCTTCTCTTCGCGCCATGTCCACCTGGCGTTGGGGTCAAACCGATGTGCATTCTCATATGAAGCAGGTGGTTTGTATAACTCCAGAGTTACCGGATCGTCAAACACCGAAGGTTGTGTCGCAATAGCATCCGGATCTACTCTCGGTCCTCTGCTCCAGAAGCCTCGACCCCGAACGGGAGGCGGGTCACCCAGACGGCGGACAGATTCGCAGTCGCTGAGGGAGCGTAAGTCTGAGTCGACTTCGCCTTTCTCCTGAACCGAAATATCCGTCCTAGGTTGCCGTCCGTACAGAAGCTTGTCCGGGAGACGCGTCGACATAATGGGCGGTAAAGCCAGCTCCGTCTTAGCACCTACTTATACTGTCTTCTGTGGCCGCGATAAGCATGGATCTAGGAACAGAAGTATTGTGTGACCTGAGGAGAGTATTGCGCTTTCAAGAGCTGGATGGCGCAATGGCAGAAGGGTCCTTAAAGAAGTAAGCGGATTCCCTTATAAGGCAAATGCATACTTAGCTGCCTTATCGCGGAGGTGGATAAACTCTTGGACTGGAATTTCAGTGAAAGCAGGATGTATTACTATGACTTTTACACTTCTCTGTATCAACCGCCCTGACGGACGAGAAACAAGTCTTCACCGCCGAGGCATTCCCCGTCCCCTTCCCCGTGATCTTAAAGCTCTCTGGGCAGCGCCTGGCGGCGCCCTCGGCCCGGCGTTGGGCTGTTTATTCTGTCTCAGATTCTGAGAATATGCGACAGGGAAATCACTCACCTGTTCACTCTGTGGATTCCGGACTGTTTCATCCACGCTCAAGATTAAGCAAGCAGCTTCGGTCGCACTGTTGATTGCGTTGACCTTGATGAGACTAGGTTCCCAAACAAACGCTTCCATGTTGTTGCGAACGCCTTCAGCACCATCAACGTCAACACCATACCACTTTTCCCCGTTGGCATGCCTCATCCGCAGCTTGTTGAGGATGTCCGTAGAGTCCAGACCCGCATTGTCGCAGATCTGCCGAGGGATAATCTCTAGAGCTTTGGCAAAGGCTGCTATGATGAGCTGCAGTTTCCCGGGGATGGAGAGAGCGTATTTCCGGATGTGAGCCGAAAGATCCATCTGTGCCGTATTTGAGCCTTGTCCTTCACGAGACGCTGAAGTAGACGCACCTCGATTGCACCCCCACCTGCGACGACTTCGCCATTCTTTACGGCCCTCTTGACAACCATAATAGCATCATGGAGGGATCGCTCCACTTCTTCTATGAATTGTTCCGCGCCGCCGCGGAGCACAAGCGTGCACGTCTTGGTCTTAGGGCAATCTTCGAATACATTATACCGTTCACCCCCAATCTGCCTCTCTTCAAACCTGCCACAGGTCCCAAGGTGTTCGCGAGAAATGTCCGTACATGTGGATTGGATCGATCCACCAACAGCTTCCACAACTCTCCGTAAGTCTGCGGCAGGGACACGGCCAGCGCAGAAGATGTTGCGATCAGCGAACCACTGAGTCGCAAGATCACCGATGGGGAGCTTGCTGAGGACGACCTTAGCGCCAGTCTTCTCCAGCGCCTCTAGCTTGCGGTAGATAATTTCCCACTCCGCATCCACGATGGCTTGATAATCCGATACTTGTTCAACACGAACTTCGGCATTGTCCTTTTCAGCCTTAAGCTCGAGCTCCACGTTCAAGCAGACGATTAATGGGTCTTTGAAGGATTTCGGCTGCTGCTCCGCCCCCGCGTACGTGAATGTTTTCTTGAAAGCGACGCCACGGATCAATAGAGAATCCTGCGTCCCCCCTCCAGGTACCTTTTTCACTCCGATCAGAGATTCGTCCAAATCGTCGGGGTCGAGACATTGCACGGCGTCAACGACCATTTTTGAGAAGAAAGGTTTTTCGGAGTGGATAAGTTTTGAAGACATGGACGTCGAGGCACATTTTAGAAGGAGAGATCGGAAGCGTCTATTCTCAAATATCAGCACCGCGGACTCATGGTTCGAGCACAAACGAGCGTACTCAGGATCCGACTTATCAACTGTCACTTGCACTTCTTTTATACGATCAATAGCCTTTTAGACGGATGGGATCAGTGCGGTTGGGAAGGCGGCTAGGTTTACGTACCAGCTGAGCTGCACGTCTGAAGCCTTTCACGATGATGTGCGGGCTGACGCCCTCTTCGATGTAGCCACGGACTTCTTTCAAGAGCTGAGCAGCGAGCAACACTACGCTTGTTGTCCCATCTCCAACCTCAGCATCCTGGGCCCGGGCAATATCAACCAACGTCTTCGCAGCTGGATGTACGATATCCAATAACTTCAGGATAGTGGCCCCATCGTTGGTGATCTGCGCTTCACCACGCTCATTTATAATCAGCTTGTCCATACCCCTGGGGCCAAGGGTACTGGACAAGGTTTCCGCGACGGCAAGGCATGCAGAGATATTCGACAATAATTGCGGTGTTCCTTGGGACGTGTCCGTACCCTCCTTTAGGAGGACTACAGTCGGTTGCTAACAAGACATATTGTCAAGCCCTAAACGCACGACCTACAGGAAGAAACATACCATAGGAAGGCCGCGCTGCATCTTGCCTAGCGATTAGACGGACTCCAGATCTGGACGCGCAGACAGTGATTCTGACAAAACCGTAAAGGCACCTGTTTGTACTTGTTGACTCTTGTGGATCCTCTCCATCGACGCGACGCGACCGCGTCCGAAATTGCTCTCCCGCGAATCGCACTTCTGCGTCTCGCAGCCGCCGACACGGTGCCTCGAATGGCTGCTGAGGGGCCACTCTTTTTTGCAGTATCTGACGACGAAGATGAGGCTATGAACATCCACGAGAATCAGGCAGAGGCAGAAGCGCGCCCCCTATCTCCTGCCGGCTTGTTCCTCGAGCTCAGCGACGAGGACGAGACTCCCTCCGAGGCTGCGCTTGCCCACGATGATTCGAACCTTATCCATGATCAGGCGGAAGATATGGACGCTTCTGGGGATGTTGATATCCCACCAGTCACTTCTGACCAACCAAGATCCTCGAGCGTGACTAGCATATCCTCTTCGTCGAGTCCAGCCACTTCTCCTCCTTCTGTCACTAACATCGACAAGCCGAGCCCAAGTAAAAAGCGAAGGTTATCAACGGCCGCCCCCGCGGCAGCTAATGCTGTCTTTGAGTCCGCTTATTTGGGCTCATTCTTGGTTGGCAATGCTTGGAGCACTGCGAGAGGGAAGGGATATGTGAAGCCTGGAGATGAGATTTGCGTCGAAAGAGACGTGCCCAATGAGACGGACAGAAAGCTAACCAAACTTGCAGCGGTAAAGCCCGGCGCCAAGGCAAAAGCTATGGGTGCGAAAGGCAAGCAGAAACAGCTGTCCATTGCGACGCTAGTCAAGACCCAGCCGCCTAAAGCGAAAAAGAAAGACAATGGATCAGTTGTACGACTGACCAACAAGCGTGGCTTTGGTTGGGTGGCCAAATTCGTCTCGTATGTTGCCCATTAACCATGTGTATGCGCAGAGTTTGGCCGTCTTCCCCAAGATGTCGCATCTTGGGTCTCTACACTTCTGGACATGAGTATGTTTTGCTGCATTTCCTCCGAGTCTTACTAATCCGCAGAGCAGGCATCGTGGACTTCCGCGGTAGCACCATGATAGACTGTCCAACCAGTCTTCATTCCGGCGCAGATCTTATTGTGTCATTATCTGTCTACCTTCGTGCTTCAGCTTTCCGAAAAGCATCTGCGTCCTCGGAGGAAAGTCTCAAGGTCATGTTTAATGAAGGACAAGAGTCACAGGACGAACAGGCATTACGACAGCGCAAGACTGCAATACTACGTCTTTTTGATGCTGTAGGGCTGAGGCCCAGGAGAGGCAACCCTCTGCGCCGGAACGGCAAGACTGCCGAAACCAGTTTAAGCGACTCGGAGTTGAAGCAGATGTCCCAACACCCCAAGGGATCCAAGCCCGAGAAACTAGCAAAGCCAGAAATAGTCGGCGATGGCGAGGAAGTAGAAGTAGAGGGCGAAGGTGAAGACTTGTCGGAAGACCAGCTAACCATGATATACAATAGGTCATGCTTGTCTTGCCTGCACGCATCGGAATCGGTCTAACTTGATCCACTACAGGGCACAAAAGAATGACCAGACGATGCAGCGGATGGATCCCGTGGACACATTCACTCTGAGCCTCAGAGGGTACCAAAAGCAGGCTCTCAAGTATGTTGTATCTCCTTGTCACTATTCCCTCCACTGACGGAGACAGGTGGATGCATTCTTTGGAGACGGGTTCGAGCGATGCACGAGAGCTAACTTCACTTCATCCGCTGTGGAACGAGTACGTAGACTGACCCATACTGAGTTGATTGGACTCATGATCATTGTCGCTGATCATCTCTGTCTGTAGATACATATTCCCGGATACGCCGGAGGAAGGGGGCATAATCGATTTGACCGCAGACGACCAACCCTTCTATTTCAACCCATATTCGGGTGAGCTCAGCCTGCAATTCCCTACTGCAGTTAGGAAATGTAGGGGTGGCATTCTTGCGTAAGGCCATTCGCTGCCGGATATTATATGACGCTGACATATTGCCATTCCAGTGACGGTAAGGGTCCTATCCTCGAAAGTGCATATATGCTGACTTCTTGTCCCGTATCCTGTAACCGCCATCAGAGAGTAAGTTTGTGTCATGTCTGCTTGGAACATGGTAATAACCCTCGTTCCTTCCAGTGGGGATGGGCAAGACAATCATGCTTTCGGCGTTGATTCATACGAATCGTGAGCCAGAGGAATCAAACGAGAACCAAGATCATCCAGCAAAGAGGCGACAACTGAAGCTCAACAGTGCTTTCCGACCCGCAGAGAAAGATCGACCTATGAAGACTACTGTTAAGAGCACATTGATCGTGGCACCTACGTCTTTGTTGACCCAGTGGTCTGATGAGCTCATGCGATCGAGCAAGCCTGGGACTCTGAAGGTTATCGTCTGGCACGGCTCCAACCGGTCGGATCTCGAAGCTGCCTTAGACAGCGAAGACAACGCCGACGTTGTTATCACTTCGTACGGAGTGCTCACGTCGGAGCATGCGAAGTCTGATAAATCTTCGAAGCAGTCTCCAGTATTTCAAAGTGAGCTACGAAACTCCTGTAATACTGAGTGAGCTCATGATCACCTTCAGCTGAGTGGTTGCGAGTAATCCTGGATGAAGCCCATCACTGCAAGTCGCGTCTAAGTAAAACAGCGCGTGCCGTCTATGCTCTCAAGGCCCGCCGCCGTTGGGCGGTTACGGGTAGGCTATCCTGCCGTGCAATTGGGCATGTACTTACTGTTCGACTTAGGCACACCCATAGTAAACCGGCTTGAAGACCTATTTTCTCTTTTGTCGGTGTATTCTCCATACTCGACTCCGGTTTGCTACTGACATGGTCATTCCCAGGAAATTTCTTGATTTCACACCATGGTCCGACTATTCATTCTTCCGCTCGTGAGTAACCCTTCGTACCTACCTGACTTGTACTAATCGCCCAGGCCAGGTTCATTACACTCCCATTCCTTGCACGGGATCCCAAGGCAATCGAAATTGTGCAAGTAATTATGGAAAGCATACTGTTGCGCAGGGAAAAGACCATGGTAGATACGGATGGCAAACGTATCGTAGATCTTCCTCCAAAAGAGGTGAGTTTTGCCAGACCAAGTTGGCGAGAAACCCCAATCTTACATGTATGACAAGGTAACCGTAGACAAATTGGTATTCACAACCGCCGAGAGGAAAATCTACGACTCAATCTACAGCTCGGCGAAAAGAAATTTCGAAGACTTGAATGCTCGAGGTTTGTTGAGCAAGAACTACACGCACATCCTTGCGATGCTTATGAGGTCAGCCTGTTGAGACCTGGCGATAGTTTAATACAACTGACGGGCTCTAATTAGACTACGTCGTGCAGTCCTACATCCGAGTCTTGTACATTCCACTGAAAACGACAATCCAGTAGGAGATGAAGAAGTAGACATCAATGCCATGATCAAGGAATTTTCGGAGGGTGTCGAAAATGGCAATGACACATTCGCTGAGACAGTTCTCAATAATCTAGAACAGGATGATCAGGTGGAATGTCCGCTCTGCTTAGATGTCATGGACACCCCCGTGATACTCCCGGGATGTTTACACCAATGGTCTGTGTCCATACTCTGATCTATAAACCACTCCTGCTGACGTCCTGCAGCTGTAAGGACTGCATCGTGGCTTACATTGCGGCTTGCGAGGAGAAGAGTAAGGAAGTAGTGTGTCCGACCTGCTCGCAAGGTCCAATCAAGGTGGGCGCTCTGACTCTTAATAATCCGCGACGTCTCCCCTTACTCTCGTAAGGCTTCTGACCTCTTAGAAGTCGTGCGTAGGAAGAAGGAAGATGGAGGCACAGACGGTGGAGATGGATCCACGCCCAATGCGGTGACGCTAAGGAAGAACAGCTTCCGTTCCTCTACGAAACTGGAAGCTCTGCTGCGAAACCTGAGTAAGTGAGGAAATACGCGCGGCGCTCGGGCTTAAGATTGTCCATCTAGAACGATTGCGAGATCAGGACCCCTGCTTCCGAGCTGTCGTGTTTTCGCAGTTCACGAGTTTCCTCGATCTCATTGGCAAGGCATTGCAGAGAGAAAAATTCACCTGGTACAGATTCGACGGCTCTATGAACGTCAAAAAGAGGAACGAAGCTGTTGCAGAATTCAAGGCTGCTTCGAGGAGTCCCAAGGTTCTGATAGTGTCTTTGAAGGCTGGTGGAGTGGGCTTGAACGTAAGCTATAACGTGTAGATCAAGCTTTGTGGGCGACGCTGATTGATTGCAGCTGACAAACGCCAACCACGTCTTTATGGTAAGCCGCCGGTATAACGGGCGAGTGATCGTGCTAATTCACGTCCTGCAAAGATGGACTGTTGGTGGAACGCCGCCACGGAAAGTCAAGGTAATGCCCCAACTTTGTGCTTCCTACAGTATGCTTACGACGTGTTCATCCAGCCGTGGATCGAGTGCACAGAATAGGGCAAGACAAGACAGTTTATGTGACCCATTTCATCGTGCGCTCGGCAGTCCCCTTACAATCTTGCTAACCCTTCTGACGCTTTGTCAATAGGTCGATAACACCATTGAGGGTCGTATCTTGCAAATACAGAAACGGAAAACGGCGCTCGTCAAAGAGGCCTTTCGTGGTACGGGGGACAAGGATCCTGACAGTTTAGAAAACCTCAAGATCATGTTCGCCGACGAGTAAATGTGCTAATACTGATTGTTCACTATCATTACTTTTAATACATAGTACAGTGATTCACCATTACTTGGGACACCACTTGGGACACTCCCACGCTTAGTGCTAACAAATCTATAGTCTCGGGGAATTCGGACGGGTCAGTCTGCTGCTTGCTCGACAGCTGCGACGGTCAGCCCTCGGGGACAATGCAAAAGTCCTCCCCTTTTCGCGGCGTACTCAGCAGCATCGCAAGGAGGTCCCGGAGTCGTACGCCGAGTTCATCGAGGGTGCTTATCCCGCCTTCCAAGGTCGAGAATGGACAGTCGAAGGCCTGGAAGGTGCGTATCGCCTCCGCTTTAACGTCTTTGGGCTTAATGTGTTTGGTGCCTGCCGGTGTATCTTCAGATCGTCTTTACTTCTTCTTCTGTCGTCGAGTGGAAAATTCCAGGTCCACCAAGCACGAAGGGGAACGGATGTCCTATCAGACCATGGTGAAGCTGCGATGGGATAATATCCTCCTGTACTTGGTGTGTTTGAGCCTGCACAATGTCATTGCGCCACTCATTCTAGCCGTCGTCTACTACAGATGGTAGAATTCACCGGCGCCACCGGTACGCCACGCGCCGCCCACTATCGCGACGTGACATGGACCGTAAGTTGCCACTCCAGACTGCATATCAGTTCAGTTGTCTAATGGCAGCGTGCAGTGGGTCTTGCAACTCTATAAACGCTTCCAGTTGCGCACAGAGGTCAATGAGCAACAGTACTTGGGCCCGTCGGAGGCACGCATTCTGATAGCGAGAACACTTGACAATCCCCCTTGTTTCACAAATGTACGTGCGCAATACTACACAGTCGAAGTATTGGGTTATTGATTCTCCGTGGGACAGGCAATTCAACAGTGCATCTCTGTGGTGCTTGGTCTATATGTGGGCGCGCGCGGCTCTTCGATTCCGTCAGAGGGTATCGCGATGTTTTCCTTCAAGTCCAGGTGCGAGTTACTCTGATGCCTGGTCTCGCCTTTATAATCATTAATGTCCAATGCTAACCCAGCATGTGAGACTGAAACGAGAAGCTGGCCGGGGCAGATTTACAGTCGAGTTGATAATGCTCGTTTTCAAGGGCCGTCGCACCGATCGTGCCGTACGGATCCGCTATACGCTGCGTTCTGTTGAGGCCATTGAATATCTCGAATTGGATATAGGCGGCCTTGTCGCGGTATACGGAATTCGTCGTGGTGTATTCGATGAACATGAGACTATCGAGAGCCTTGTGAATGGCGACGAAATCAATATCCGGTGGAAAGATGAAGCATTACAATGGCCTTTCTTTGTTCAGGCCAAGCCTAGGGGTCTCGGCATTACGAAGGAGCCTATGAGGGACGAAAATCAGCGCGAATATCTTCAGCGCATTGCCGATCAAGTAGGCCTTCGAGGTATGTACAACTCATTGAAGTATACGGGCTATTCTTTGTTCCTGACAGGCTCTGCCAGCGACGGACGGCCGAAAGGTCACGATGTACGGGTTTCGCAGAAACCTGGGTACTGCAATCACTCGAGTGTACGGGGCTGACAGTGCACGCAAAGCCCTGGGCCATGAGCCGAGCTCGACAGCCTTGGAGCGCTCCTACGATGATGGGCTCTCGTACCTTGACTTCGTCGGTGGCCTCCTTGGGGAGGAACAGGTCGGTCCTCTTGAACTGCGAGCTGGCATGGATTTGGCAGTTACAGGCGAGCTATTTGACTCACCCAAAGGTATTTTATAACCTCTGCTGCAGACTTTCAGCAGCGCAAAAGCCTCCGATCCTCTCATCAAAGGAATCAAGTTTGCGAGTTCCCGTGCTCCCCTTGTTAGCGCGGCAAGCGCATGATCTTTGGTGTTGCGAAAGGGAAGAACACGATAACTGGAGGGATTGTGTGGTACGTGAGTCTAATACCGTATCCAACGACTCTGACGTTTGTCTTCCCCTTCACTCGAATAGTACGATCCCCTCGCCATGCTAAAGGACGATGACGATGCTCTGTCGACTCTTGCCTGGACACAGCGACGACTCTTGAGTCGTGACCGCGCCAAGTTTGATTCGAGTGGCGGAGTGCGGCGTCGAAGGAAGTCTACGTTACAATGACCAGGACCGAACTGCAACGGCGGCAGGCAGAATTAAAAAAAGATGTCGGTACCCGAGATTCTTGAGCGAGCCCGCGCGAGCACAGACAACAACCAGCACATAGACGACGACGACGACGACGACGAACAAGATGGAACTTCAATCACAGACATCCACATGCCTGTCGTACCTCTAGATCCTGCCGAATTGTCCGGCGTTGACGCATCCTTCAATGGTAGCGAAGGAGGCGATCCTGACGAGAAAAGGGTGCAGTAGCTTATGTGAGCATTCACTCCTTTCGCATATCGCCTCGTCTTGATCTTTGTCATAGCACTCTTGCGAAGGCCGGGAGCGGTCCACGACAGGGGTACTACTGCGATCTTTGCGAGGATGACTTCACGACCCAGGAAGATTGGATAGGTCGGGATTGGGATTCTCCAGCCAGACTGAAGCGCCATCGCGAGGGCGCTTACCACAAGCCTGCGAAGCGAATGGAACGTTTGGCGGCAAGGTGGGGGTCTCGTCGATCGTCGGAGACGAGCAATTGTGAGTTGGATGGTCGTCAACCTACTCAGCCTTACCGATATCCTTCTGCCCAGCCACAATATGCTGTCATCTTTGCGGTGACCTTGAGGCGGTGAATGAAGAGGAAAGGTTCGGTGTCCATGATTGGCGCACGATTCAGAAGCTCGTGCAGCACATCCTAGTGATGCACGAAGCTTCGCTCTCGTTTGAGGAACGCGACACGCTCACTATGCAGATTGTTCCTCGGAACCAGTCTCAAAAAAAGGTGCTCTAGCTCATCCCGAAGCCCATGCCTCTGAAGACTCTGATGAGGCAGAAAGCAGCTGCGCTGAAGATCTTGGCTCGGACCCGGAGGTCACCTGCGACGAGGACATGGATGAGGATACTTCGACTGCGGTGGATGACGAAGATGTGGTTATGATCGCTTCCGGTCTCCGGGCATGTGTTGATGATCTCATGAAGGCGACAGAGGATCCGACTGCATTCAATGGTATGGAGGTCATGATGTAGCAACATCATGTGCTGTGTAATATACTCGATGAGTATGATGTGTTTACTTGGGTGTCTAAGATGTGTTTACTTGGGTGTCTAAGATGTGTTTACTTGGGTGTCTAATTCGCGCATGAGGAGAGGTGGCCGAGCGGTCCAAGGCGCTAGACTAAGGATCTAGTCCATTCGTGGGCGCGAGTTCGAATCTCGCCCTCTTCATTTATTTATTATTTATTTTCCTCCTTTTCGACTACTGTTGTCTAATTAGATAAGCCGGTATGCTCCGAAGAAGCACCCTAGTCTAACGCCTTGGACCGCTCGGCCATCTTTGGCAATGTCTATGTCATATATTAAATTAGATACGCTCCAACTCACAGCGGGCAAGGACCGGTGTCCCGCCACTGGTCATTCATCTTTCATGGCAAGGGTGGGAGAACACTTTCCTAGGATGCTCCTAGCGGGACATGATACAGACATAAAGAATGGAAGGACAATGTTAATTAAATGTCCCCTGACTTTTGGGGACCATAGTAAATGTCCCGCAGACCTTTCTTTGTTCACTCAAAGGACATTCTTCATGTCCAGGTTAAGGTCCAGCAAGGACCATTCTAGGAAAGTGTTCGCCCATCAGGGAAATGTTCCTGGCATGACCGCCGGCGGGACATCGGTCTCTGCCCGCAGTGACTCATTCTGCCCTCCCGCCCGAGGCTCCATCCGATGCCCGCTCTGCTCCGGCGCCCTGGATTTTACACCGATCTCCGGGCAAGCGAGCGCGTGTACAGTATTTCTTTCCAAGAGATCAATGAATTGTATTTTTGGTCTTGATTGCTCGGGCGGTCCGGCGCACTTGGTCTACATCATATAATTGGGGAGACAGGATACATTGACGTATATGCAGAACATCGATATCGTACAAGCTACTCGCAGCCGAGAAGAGCGAAACGACAAACAAAGAATACAGCGAACTCAGCAAGTCCAGTCACACACTCGTAGTGTTATAGATCATCGACTCCCCGACTGTGAAATGTACATGGTCTCCCTCGCCCAGCGTCAGTCTCACTGGCAGGCGGGGATCAATGCGTACCGGAGCACTGTTGCCAACGTAGAAATCCCCCCTACTGAAGTTTCTTGTGATAGCCGCAGCCTCCTCTTCTGTCAACGGGCGAGGACGTTTATTGGGCCGGAAGGTGGAAGTCGAGGCACCTGTGAGTGCGCCATTATAGTCATAGTATTGTTGCTGGGCGAAATTAGGTGGCTGCATAGGATAGCCCATGGGGGCGAATGGAGCGGGTACGGGAGGCGCTACATATTTGCGATCCATATATACTGTAAGCACAAACGCAGACGTACATGTAAGGGTATGGATACCAACCTTGGTGCTGATCCTGATGATCGGGGTCGGGGTAAGCGCAGGTGGCACCTAGCCCACGCTTTAAACAGCTCTATGTGCCATACAGTGAGCAAAAGACGTTGAAATAGATACTACAGCCCGAATTACCTGACAGGGTAGCACCTCGCTACATCTTGTCTTGCCTTGATGGCATGCAAGGCAGGCCCGCCTTACGGACGGCGCTTTAGCTGCGCATCGGCAACAACGGTGAGGACAGACGAGTTATTAGGCAGACGAGGACTACACACGTTTTCGGCCAGACTCATTTGAGGGAGTTGTAGCGAGATTTTGTTGAGAGTCACCATTTTGTTGCTGAAGTTGATGAGTGTCGATCGACGGAGGAGCCCCGTCTTGGGCCGGGGATTCGCTGAGGGCCGACATGGGTCGTGGCGGAGGACGGTCAAGGGCCGGAGGAAAAGACGAAAGCGCGGGTTTCTTCGGAGGTCTTCCTTCTCTGCGGGTCCGGAGCTCAGCCGAGACCGTCGTCGGCAATCTCCGGCTTCCGGCCCTCCCCACCGACACGGAATCACCGGCTTATCCGGCACACAAGTCGCCGGCCCCTATACTTTCTGTCCCTGCATGCGCACACTCGTACTCGACGCCCGGGCTGGTCTGCGTCCACAACAGATAATAACATGGACCACAATCAGCCTCCCTTTCCTGACTTTGACTTTGCTTTTGATCCCAACCTCTTTCCCCCTCCGCCGCCGTTGCCGCCCTCGGCAGGCCTGTTCTCGCAGTCAGAGACAACGGACCTCTTTGGCTTCCTCGACAACTTCAACTTCGATCTCGACGAAAACCTCTTCGTAGACCATGCCCAGGGCGATGGCTCATCAAATGGATTCGGGCCATTTCTCGAGCCCCCGTATGCCAATGGCGCGTCGCCCACATCGCATGCTCCGTTCAGCGGGCAAGTGCCATCGCGGCCAGGTGAAGGATCGCGTCATCCTGAACCTGAACCATACTTCTCGCATCCTCGAGATCAGACAACCCGTCGAACCTCGTCACAGTCGTTAACCCCGCCTGCATCAGCATCATCTCCACCATCCGGCAGTAATGCCCAATCGAATCCGCCGCGGCCCAAGACCCTCCTTTCGTCTCCGCAGAAGAGATTAAATCACATAATGTCCGAGCAGAAGCGGAGGAACGCGATTCGGGACGGCTACGCACAGCTAATAGCTTTGCTCGCGCCCGAAGGGAGTTCAGTTGCGATTGGTATGCCGACGCGAGGACGGCCGAAAGGGAGCGGCAATAGGGCCAAGGGTCGGAGTCAGGGAAAGAGTGGTGTGTTGTTCCGAGCGGTGGAGTATTGCAAGTTTCTGGAGGAAGGGAGGGATGCTTTGAAGGCAGAGGTTCTGCGACTTGAGGCTGCAGCAGGCGTTCTTGCGCCTGGTCCATAAGAAGATTGTGCAAGTATCCCTTCACCTTTTACAGCCATCTGTATCACCAGTCTCTGTAATTTAGCTCCCATTTGTACCCATAGTGCTTCTCACAGTCTATTTCCTCCTTCGTATACGGTATATACATACCATGTAGATCTTATCCATACCGGGATGCACGTGGGGGACGGATTTGATGAATGCTATGATGCAGTATGTCTCCTGTTCCGCCACCGTCACCATGGCCCATCCCACAGTTCAAGCTCCAGGTGGAAGACTTGCGACATCACGGGGCGTCGCTGTTCTTCGAGAACATAGAGCCGACGACAGCACTAAACGAGGCTACTCTGTCAGTATTCGAGTGGTTGTATACACCGGACACAGTCCCTTGCAAGTGAGTGCTTCGCATGTCAGAACAGGTCGAAGACTTCCAGAGTCATCCTGTCACTTATATTCCTCTGGGACAGAGTTAAGACAGTCCTCCTTGTGCTTAAGCCCATGGAGGGCGTGGCATATACGTTTGGTACCGCGACAGACAAGCAGATACACATGTCCCTGGACCACATAGTGAACTCGGCCAGCCGCGCTAGACATGAAATAATGGGCGTTCTGACTCACGAGATGGTCCACTGCTACCAGTATAATGGCCAGGGCAAATGTCCAGGTGGCTTGATAGAGGGTATAGCAGGTTAGTCGCGGTCATGCGAAACGACCGAGTCGTTCCCGGAGCTTATCACAAATCCGGATTTATAAGACTGGGTCAGGCTGCATGCAAACCTCTCGCCTCCTCACTGGAAGCGGGAGCCCGGTGACAAGTGGGACGCGGGCTACCAACGAACAGCCTACTTTCTCGACTGGATTGAAGACAGGTATGGCACAGGCACCGTCAGGGAGCTCAACGAAGCTATGAAAAACAAGGAATACACGGACGAGATCTTTCGCGACGCCACTGGGCGAAAGCTTAAAAAGCTATGGAAGTTATATCGCTGTGAGTTCGAGGACGAAGACGAACCACGACCCTCGCCGCAGCTCCACCCTGCGTTCATTTCAGGACCAGCAAACCCATCTATCAGTAGTGCCACTAATGAATGATACATACATGATAGATCCACAGCACACGAGACGATTAGGACAGATATGATACAACAGTTTGATACAGCTTGTCTAGGTCCGTGACTTGTAGAAGTACAGGGGCACGTCAGCAGGACTGTAGGACAGTGACTTCATACTGCGAGCGGGCTATCCCAGTTCTGCTTCCAGTTCGCGGGCTAACGCATCATCATCGAGCTCTTCGCCGTCGGTATAGTCATCCTCGTCGTCGCCTTCTTCCTCATCCTGATCCGCGACGACCTCAGGAACCGCCGGTGCAGCAGGTTTATCATGCGTATTTGACCCATTGATGACTGAAGCCGTCTCTTCGAGCTCCTCAGCATGAATAGCCTCCTTCAGCTTGGAAGATCCGGACCGTTCCAGAGCTATCTTCTTCCGTTTGGCTAAAGGGGACCGTAGGTTATCGGGATCGGTATTGCCGAGGCTGCCAATTTCTGAAGGTGTGAGGCTTCGCAAACGCTTCCGTTTCAACCGCGGTGTGGACTGCGTGCTGGAGAAGAGATACTGTGCGGTCAATGGCTGAGTGCCTGGAGCTCCCAAGCACGTCACGTACCTAGCAGCACTGTTGCTATCATCCGTGATGGATACGTCGTCTTCCTCAAATTCACCATTCGTCGTGGCGCTTTTGACACTCAGGTCATCTTCGCCGTCACTCTCCTCCATGGCAGCGTCCACCTCATCTCTCAGAGCGTCCCAGTCGACATCATTAAGTGCAAGGGTCTCACTCGAGGGTTCCATACCCTCGTCGGGATCCCAGTCGTCTGTATCTGGTTCTGGATCAGATGAAATCTGATTGGAATCGGCGATAGGACTCGAGCTAGCAGCTTCAGCAGGGACTGACGGTTCATCCAATAAATATGGTGTCTCGTCCTGACGCCGCCATAGCGCTATGGAGTCAGTAAACCATTTCAACCAGACAATCTTGATCCCACCGCGGCGCCGTGCTGCATCCACTTTCGCGGTGCCCCGCTGGATAGTAGGTCAGGGAATGCTCGGTTCAGCTGACAGACTACACTGCGTACCTTGGCAGCGACAACGTGAGTGACTTCGCTAGACAGTTCAGTATGACACTGAGCTCCGAATGCACAAGCCATCCGCCAAATCTCAGTATTTCGGGGATTAGTATCAAGTGGGATCACACTCGAAAACAGTATATGAACGCCCTCAAGTGTCCGCATACGTAAACGGGGTATTATATGCTGCGGAACGTTGAGACTGGATCCTTTACTCATAGACACTGGGAAAGCTGACCTTAACATCATAAGGCGGCGGGTCAGTGGGCTTCCGCCCTGTACGTGAACCTTCTTCTTTCCGGCTAGCGTCATAAATGTCATAGAAGAGCTGATGCACTTCCTCCAGGAGCTGCAGGGAAGAAGTGTAAGATGTATGGAGTTCTAAGGGATCATCGCATTTACCTGTTGCACTCTTTGCAGCTCATAGTCGTCATTCCTCAGCAATGCCTTCCGGGCAGCCTTTGGCTGCTTCGCAACAGCATTGTCTGGTTCCTCTTCGGGCGCAGCTTCAGGGGTAGTACTTTCTCTGGATCGTGGCTCCCCTTCCGTGGCATTCTCATCCTCCGTACTCTGCAGCTCTTCCTGTTTCTTGGCCAGCGGACGATCCTCTAGTTGAGCCTCTAAAGCAAGAGAGTTTTGTGTTATGAGCGCAGTCTTGGTCAACTCTTCGCGTTCTTCATCTGGACTGGGCGGCAAAGTGGACGACGTAGATGTCGCTGGCGAACTTGCTGCCAGAGTCGGCGAAGGAGATGATAGTGATGATCGTATATCGACGGACGCCACGGTTGGCGGGGGTACCACAGCAGCGGCACCTGGCGAAGGGGATGGAATCATGGCGGCAGCGAGTGCATTCAACTTGGGTAGAAAGGTGGAGTTGATATCCCCAATGCCGACAAAGAAATCATCTGCACGCCACCCACTTCAGCGCACCGCAACACGAGCGCACAATGAATGGTACCCACAGGGGACGACTTTGATGAGGTTGGGACACCACTCCCAGACGTCTGCGCGGTCGTCGATAATGACTACCATGGAAGTGTCACAAGGGAATAACCGCTGCAAGCTCTTCTGGGTGAGACCTTGGGATTTGACGCCTTAGCTATAATTAAGGGACTAATGAAAAGGATGGATGCACATACTTCCGCTCTCGTCTCGACTGAGGAGGCGACCTCCAAAGAGCTTACCGTCGGGGTCGACAGCTTTACATACCTCTTCCGCATATGCACGCGTCCCCATGGTATATACATGCATCTCGTATTTATGGGAGATGCTATGCAAGAACTCTTGCAACCCAGGCCTTGATATATGGTCAATACGCGGTCAGCAACGGCCCTCTCCAGCGCACCTAGGCTTGATATAGTAAAGACAGCCTTCATTTTCTATTAGCTTTGCCTTTCCTCGGTAAGGGCCTCTGCCAGGGGGTGCACCGAACGCTTCCGGAGCTAGCCTAAACTTCTTCACGTCCTTCAGCGCCTCCCAATTGGGGTTGACTTCCTCTTCCTCATCATCGTCTGAATCACTATCGGTATCAGCATCATCCTCGTCTTTCGGCGGAGTGGCTGCCTTCTTCGCCTGTTTTGTTTCCCAAGCTTCGCCTTCAGCTATCCATTCGCCAACGGTAGGATCAACCGTAGCATGCACGATTGTCTGGTCCAAGTCCACAATCAGGGAGAGTTTCCGCGATTTGAGTAAATGCTCCGCCGTCTCCCTCTCTATCCGCTGGGCTTCCTCGAGCGACACGGTGGGCCCATGCGCGAGATGGGTCATTTGGATAGACGCTCGGGACGCATCTGAGTACCCGGTGTAATCATACCTGCATACAGATCAGCTGGAGCTAATGTCAATCCCAACGCAACATACTCTGTCATGTCCTTGCCGCATAGACCACACAGTCCACCAATCTGTACCCCATGTTTGCATGGTTCAGTCACCAGCAATGCTGGTCGCTCCTTCGCTTTGCCCTGCGAGAGAATTTCTCCGCTCTTGATATTCCATTTATCGATTGTACCTTCCACGGTCGAATCCCATGTGCCGTACCGTGGCTCTGGCCGAGCATTGCGATCCGGGGAAACGTAAGTGAATGTGTAGGTCAGAAGTCGCGTACCCCGTTCCACAGATGAAGCAGCTCTAGCATCAATCGAGGCAACTTTGATAGGATATGGAAGGTCCGGGGGTAGGAACAGCTCGGTCGGCGTCGACATCGCGTTTGTCCGACAGCTGAATCGGAGTGGCGAGACGCGCTCGCGCCTTGTCCTTGTTGTGGCGGAGTTCGAACGATTATTGTCTCAGGTGTGCTACAGTAAGTATCACATCCACCATTCTACAGACTCCGTTCTCTTGGGTGCAGCGGACACCGTGGCGTAGTTCCTCGGCGCATATACGGGGAAACCGATTCCTGGTCAGGTCGGTCTGCCCGACTCTGCCGTCCACGAAAGTAGGATCGCGGAACCGGGAAACGTGGCTGTACTACTATACAGAGTGGTCAAGATCGATGTTGTATTTGCTGTTCACAGAGATATCAGACAACATAGTATCATCTAGTATCCTCCAGTTCATTATATATTGATGTAGAGTCGTCATATGCATCCAGGAGCTCGAAGGCAAAGAAGCCGCCGAGTGCGCGTCAGATCATGGTTGTGGGTGTTGAAATTGAACCTTCCTAGTTATTGACTGTTTACCGTTTATCATCAGGAGGATAGCTCTGTATGGGGCCTAGAGTTGGCGGTTCCTGTGGCAGTGAAAAGGTGAATGCCATCACTGAGTCTCGGCACCTAAGAGCCTGAATGCACGAAGCAATCTCATTCTGCAGCGGACAAACAACAGGACGAGACTCTACGAAATGACGATAGAAAAATGCAATGAATCATCTTGGTCAGAGTACAACATTCGTATTCAGAGACTACCGTGACGTAACAGAACCTTCCGGCGCTAGAAAACATGAAGAACGTACACTCCCTCCCATGGGCAATGTTTACAACTTGTCGTAATACGTGTCGAGAGAAGGAATTTCGGGCTAGAAAAGCAAGGTTAACATTTGATTCAATATTTGGTTCGACTACGATAAATTGGGGAATACAAACCTTGAGACCCTTGCGGGTACGAATGTTGCGGACAAGTTCCTCGAGCTTGCTGCCCTTCTCGAGAGGAGCTATGGCAAGCATTAGTTCGGCGAGATCATACCCGGCTTCAGAGTGACTTACATCCGTTCATCAACTCCCAGTGATCGAACACACTCTGGGGGAAGGCCTGTCCACCCGTTGCTGACCGGAGCTCACCGTTGAAACCGAAGGACTCCATAACAGGAAGGTAAGCCTTGACCGTGAACATGGGCGTTCCTGGCCTCTGCTCCTCGCTGAAGACCTGGCCACGACGCTTGTTCAAGCAAGAGTAGATACCACCGATGGCGTTCTCGGGACACTGGATCTCAACTGAAGCGACTGTCAGATCCTGACCTTGTGGAGGTAATCAGGATGACTTACCAAGGTAGACAGGCTCCTGGAGACCAGGGTTGGCCAGCAAGCAAGCAGCATAACATACACGGCGGGTGGTGGGAATGATCTGTCCTCCACCACGGTGGATGGCATCAGCGTGAAGCTACAAAGGTGGACATGAGGATTAATTGTTCCAATAGTTTATAGATCATACGTACGACGACATCCATAACGTTGAAGCGGATACCGCGCATATTCTCCTCAGCGCAGACACCCTCCTTCGTCGCCCACTGGAAACCGGCAACACAAGAGTCCTTGATCTCGTTCAGGTACTGCACACCCTTGGTGACATCAACCAACAAGTTGGGACCAGTCGTCTCGGGACCGAAACACCAGATCTTCCTGGCATCGGTGACGTCCCATCCGAACTCGTCGGCGAGTACACGAGCACGAGCCTTGTAATCGTCACGGGCGCTGACCTTGCCGGATTCGATGGCCTTGGTAAGCTCCTCGTCGATGGGCATAGCCTTCACGAAGAGACGGTTGTGCTTGTTCTGCGACTTGGAAAGGGCCACAATCGAAGACTCGGCCTTGACAGTCTCACGGTAACCGACGACGGGGTCAGAGATCTTGAGGGGAACACCAGCATGGTCTTCTTGCAAATCCTGTTATACAGGAGGACAGATTATAATCAGAGAAGGACTTCAACCTCGGCTGACAGGGACGTACCTTCAAGCAGATCTCCAAGTGCAGCTCACCGGCACCAGCGACGACGTGTTCACCGGTCTCAGACACGGATGTCTGGACGCAGGGGTCGGACTTGGACAAACGCTTCAGACCTTCGACAAGCTTGGGCAGATCAGCGGCGTTCTTGACCTCGACGGCGACCCGCACGACAGGGGACACGGAGAACTTCATGACCTTCATGTTGTGGGCAGTCTCCGAGGTGGTGAGGGTTCCGCTCTTGAGCAAGAACTGGTCAATGCCGACGAGACCGACGATGTTACCAGCCGGGCAGTCCTCGATGGGCTCAATGTAGCGACCCATCATCAACACGGTACGCTGAACGGACTTGATAAACAGGTCCTCCTTCTTACCGGGAACGTAGTTGGGGCCCTGGATACGGATCTTGGGGCCGGAACGCACAGTACCGGAGAAGACACGACCGAACGCGTAGAAACGACCCTTATCGGACGTGGGCACCATCTTGGAGACGTACAGCACAAGAGGTCCCTTAGGGTCGCAGTCCCTGATACCGATGGCAGACTCGTCGTCCATGGGACCCTCGTACAGGGTCTCCACACGGTAACGTTGCGCAGTCGCGGGGGAGGGGAGGTTAATGACTATCATCTCCAAGAGGGAGTCACCAGCGGGCAAGAACTTGCGCATGACCACCTTCAAGAGCTGCTTGCCCTCGAGATCACGCTCGTCCGAGGCGAGCTTAACGTCAAGCTTCTCGAGCATCGGGCCAATGGCGTCCTTCTTGAAGTTCATGACAGCATCGAAGATCTTGAAGATGGGGTCCAGGACGAACATGTTGAAGGCACGCTCGAGAGGCTTGCCATCAGCATCAGTGGGCTTCGTCGTCCACTTGCGGGTAGCAGGGTTGAAGAAGTTGTCACCCCAGAGCTTGCCCATCATCTTCTCCTTGTCCACGCCGAACTTCTTCGCGTACCGGTTGGCGAACTGGCGGAGGGTGAACCCCCATCCGTGGAGACCGGAACCGAAAGCGACGGTACCCGCCTCGGCGTAGACCTGAACGTCACCAAGGGCAGCGTCGTTGTAAGTGGAGATGATGACGTTCACGTTCTCAATGACACGGCGGAAGTTCTGGTAGAGCTCCTCCTTGTCGACCTGCAACTCGAGGAGCGCCCGGTCGACCTTGTTGATGACGAGAACGGGTTTGATACGTTCTGTCAGGGCTTGACGGAGCACGGTCTCGGTCTGGACACAGACACCCTCGATTGTGTCGACGACAACGAGAGCACCGTCAGTAACACGGAGAGCAGCCGTAACCTCCGAGGAGAAATCGACGTGTCCCGGGGAGTCGATCAAGTTAATCAAGAATTCGTTACCTATAGTCCCAGGTCAGCGATAGGCTCCGGCCAAGGTCAGGGTAAGAGCGTACCATCCGTTTTCTGCTTGACCGATGCGAGATCCTCCTTATCTACCTCAAAGTACATGGAAATGGCCGTCGACTTGATGGTAATACCGCGCTCTTTTTCGTCCTCTCTTGTATCCGTAAACCGCATGTCTCCAGCATTTTTTGCGGCAATGATACCGGCCTTAGAGACAAGCGAGTCCGTAAGGGTGGACTTTCCGTGATCCACTGCGCTGCATGTCAGGGTAAAAGGACGGAAAGGCCCCTGAGATCACTCACCATGGGCGATAACACTCATGTTACGGATGTTGGTGGGCTTGTCCATAAGGCCCCGAATCTGATCTGTACATCGTACCCGTCAACAATCCTGTCCATCGATGAAAGCGTTCCCTCCGATGCTCACCTACGGTGAAGTTGCTGCATTGGAAGGGAAATCCGGGAGTGAGACGGGGAAAGAGCCTGCGACGAAATAACCTTGCACTTACACCATCTTGGCTAGCTTTTACAGAGGTGAAAATACAAAGAAATGAGTGAGAGCGACCCTTGGACGAGTTCGCTCTTAAGAGAGATGGGAGGGAGAGATGGGCAAGCAGCGGTGCCGCAAGGCTGGACGTTATGAAAGTTTTCCTCGCTGCCGCTTGCTTATCGATCACCCAAAATGAGTCCCACGCCACTTTCATAGTGGTACGCGTTGGGTATGCAGCAATTACATCGTTGACGTCGGGTCCCTCTTACTACTATCCAGTCATTCTCCCGTTTGAATTCGATGCGTATAGGTTTTAAGACTCGAGCTGTGCTCGAGTATGACTCGAACTCGTCCCCAAGTTGCTCCTATGACTTGACTATCCCATGACTATCCGACAATACAGTTAAGTTCCTGATGATCATACAGCCAGAATGCTATTGTCAGCGGCTGGATTGTGCAATAACAGCCTCACTACATGCGAACGAGCTATACATATGAAGGTCCAACGTGAAAGGGGCATCATCAGCGCCTGTCGCCGCGCATTCCAGCGCATCTTTGCACGAGTCATCCCGAGTCAGCCATACATCCAGGATCCAGCACGATACAAGAGGATTTCGGAGCCTTCAAGCGACTCTAGTGTTCTGACATGTCCTCGTCACAGTTGCACCCCTTACAAGTAAACGTAGAGACAGGGGAGCCATACCTCCGCCTTCCAGCTCCTCACCAGAATGTGATCATCACCCCGATCAGGTTCGCCGACGAGGCTGCGATCGTCCAGTACATGAACGATCCACGCGTGTACGAGAACCTCTCCAGCATTCCTCAGCCTTACACGAGAGAGAATGCACAGGAATGGGTGAAGCGCGTCAAAGCCCGATCGGACGAACTCCTGCAAGAACTGAAACGCTCTGACGAGCACGCAGACCGACGGGCCAAGGCGCTGGACGGCTGCCCAGTAATGACCATAAGAGAGGTGCAGGAGGATGGTCAGGATATATTCATCGGGGACCTCAGCGTCCTGCGATCCGCGTTCGTGGAAGTCGCCGACCCCGAGGAAAGGGCACGACTCAGTCGCGAGAACAAGGCAAGAGCAGTGGGCGACCCGGAGATTGTGTTCACCATGGGAGGTGGGTAGTGTAACTCGGCGTCCATTAAGTGGTGTTTAATTGACTTGTCGGCAGACTACCTCATACCCAGTCACCATGGTCGAGGGATCATGACCGCCGCTGTCCGGACACTCATGAATGAGTGGATGATCCCGCGGATGAACTGTCACAAAATTCTGGTGAATGCCAAGAAAGGCAACCTTGCCAGTAGACGCGTATTCGAAAAAGCTGGCTTCCGCTTCATGGATACCGTGGAGGACGCCCTGGAGTTGACGGTGCCTGGCAGAGCTGGCAAGTGGTCATTAGATGTGCTTGAGTGGAAGTACGAGCGGCTATAGACATAGCGAACGATTCTGTAGTTGCACAATAATGAGGATATCTCTAGGGATCGTTCGGGTGCATTTCCAGGGCTTAGGGTGTAATTTTGCGTACCTGTGAAACGGTGCTCTGCCGCCAAGTGCATCATCAGTATGTGCTCCATGCGAAGGACGGGGTGTGCCTGAGGATAAGAGTGACCAGCTTGGTAGAGAAAGGCTTGCAGTGTGTACGATATTGCGGTCCTAGACTCGGTAGCACGAGTTGAGTATTACCGGTGGTCCCCCCCTGGCTGGCTCAGTGGCTGCACTGCGGGCGGACGCGTCCCGCACGTGCTGAGAGGTCGCCGGGGCCGGGCCGAGGGAGCCCTGGTGGCACTGGCAGCACTGCTGTGCCTTGGCCGACACCGTCGTTCCAGGAATACAGGCTGTGAGCCTGCCTACCACTTCCTTATCCATATCCCTCTCTTCTGTCTGTATATTGGCCATCACTGCTGTATCACTATCTGAAGTATGGGTCTCATCCGTCCGGCAACACCAGGCTTTCTCGTCACTCTCACAGCGACCATCCTCCTCGTCGTAGTCTCGTTCTCGGTTCCCTGGTTCAAGTCCGTCTATTTCCTCAAAGCGAATCTATCTGTCGAAAACATCAGCGGGTCTATCACCTTCGGAACATCGGGCTATTGTCTGGAATTGTCAAACGGCACGACTTGCTCAAAGCCTTCTATCGGTTACGAGCTAGGTACGTCTTACGTTAGGACCGTCGGTACTCTGATCACTGGACGCGGGGACTAGATGTTAATTCGCTGGTCGGAAACAGCCTTCCCATCCAAATACCAAATGTCGCAGTCAAATGGCTCACATACGCCCTCGTCCTGCACATCGTTGCCTTGGTTTTAGCCGCCATCTCGTCCCTTTTCGGTCTCCTCGCACACATCCGCGAAATGTCGATGACCTGCTTCAGCTCCTGCGTATCCGGATTTGCAGCTACCATTGCCCTCCTCGCCTTCATATTTGACCTGGCGTTCTTTTTCATCGCCAGGAGTCGCATGAACGCCGTCAGCGGCGGCTCAGCCAGTCTCGGTAACGCCATTTGGCTCACGCTTGCTGCGTGGGTCCTGCTATTCTTTAGCGGCTGCTTCTTCGGATTAGGGAGGTGCTGCATCAAGAGACGGCCCCGCAAGCCGTGGGACAAGAAGGAGGACGATAGGTGGACTGCCCCCACAGCTGGCGCCCCTGCTGGCAGCAACAACTACGCAGAACAGCTACGGTTGGATGCCGTCAAAGCTGAGGCAGACAGGAAAGCCCGGGCAGCCCGAGGTGAAGGAGGTCTGCCTGCTTTCCACGAATATCAACCTCTGAAAGCGCGAGTAGAAGGGGATGCAGTGTATGCAGAAGATGACTTGCCCGAGCAGCCTTATCACGACCACGATCCGGAAAGCGGGAGGGGCCGCCGACAGCCCACAACAGAATATGCTGGCGGATATGCTCCGGCTGCTGCTGGTACCGCTACGATTGACGAGTACTATTCGCCGACGAGGACGCAGTCCCAGAACGCTTACCCACCGCGACAGCGGCAAGGCAGTGGTCATACTCAAACCACTTCAGGATTCGCCCCTTCGACATATGCTTACGGTAATGCTTCCCCTCAAGTCACACCATTTGTACCAGCGCCGGTTCCCGCACCCGCACCGCAAGCGTCGTATCTCTCCCCAGGTAACCAATACGGTCATCAACAATATCCAAGCGCCCAAGCGTACGGACACACCGCTGGCGGAACTACATGTGAGATACAGTCAATCATTCAGGCTCGGCATCCGTTAATCTGAACTGTTTGTGCAGATCATTCTGCAGCTTCTCATCATCAGCAACCCACTGATGCCCACTCTTACTATGATCCCTACAATTCCAGTGGCTATGCCATGCCGCAAGCGTCGGAACCCACTCTAAACCCTGAGACATACAATAACACAGCCATGCTCATGCCGTCGGGCACGTCACCCATCGGGAATGCATCACCATACCATTCGCAGTCTTCGCCAGTGCACCAGCCAGTATACCCGCCGGAGCGCAGCTACACAGTGAGCGGAGGGGGCTATGGCGGGAACGTTCTTCCCGCATTCAACGAGCCTTCCACGGCTGACGGTCACGGCGATGCCTACCTGCCATACCCTGGGACTTCCACAGCCCCGCATATAACAACATCGCCACCACCTATTGATACTCGCGTGGGTGCTCTATCAAACCCGCACGCAAGTCCTGTAAAGGGACCACGAGCGCAGAGGAATTCGGTGGTGTCACCACCCGCGCATTACGATGATAGTCCACCTGTGTATGAGGATGTCGCTCCACAGACACCCGGGGGATGGTCAGGACCCTCGAGGAACGAGAAACGATGATGGCCTCGAGTTGATGTTTTGTGTACCGGACTCTTTACGAGATTATTATATTATTGATTCCCGACTTTCGTGTCATGTTTGTTTATCGTGGTCCATTTTAACGACACATCACGGACTGTCGACCTTGTTGTTACGCTGCATTCGATTTGTCTGTCGCATGTGCGAGATGGCTTATCGTCGTATCCATCAAGTGCTCACAGTTCGTGGTGAGTAATAGCAGGGGTCCACCTATTTCACATCTGCCAATGTATTCGTGAGATCTATTTTGCTTCCAGTTATGACAAGGAAACGCCGCTTCTTTTGGCTTGATTTCGAATATTATAATCTCTAGAGCTCTTGTCTAGAAGCAAGGCCACCCTTGGGCGCCTTTGGCGGTGCCTGCGTCAGGAACATCGACAGAAAGTCGTGCACCAAATCAGCCGCGATTATTCCGGTGACTTCAGCTGGGTGAATGACCATCAGTAAAATCCCACAAGAATGACGGAGGACATACCATGGTCGTAACCAGGGGAAACTTCGACGATGTCGGCGCCACTAGATCCAAATTTTGTAAGCGGCGGCAGGATGCCCGTGTCGTTTGCGTACTTACACAAAGTTGAGACCTGCTAGACCGCGGATAATGCGTTTGACTTCACGAACAGTCCATCCGCCTGCTTCAGGTGTTCCCGCTGGTAGTTTATCGATTATTTTTCTGTGCATAGATATTCGCTCCGATAACAGAAACTCACTTGCAGGTGCTAAACCAGGGTCTGAAACAATATCAGATATGCTAGGACATGCCTTTGGGGGACCTACCAATGACGTCAATGTCGAAACTAGGTGCCCCGAAGCTCCTTCAGCATAATTGGACGCATCCAAAAGCGCGAAATATACCTCAAATATACAGGGGTATCACCTACGCGATCCCTGATCCGCCTAATTATTTCAGAAATGCCGTGATCGTCGATGTCGTCCGTAGTAATAAGTTTAAATCCAACGGCTTCGTCATGTTCAATATCATCTAGTCCCTGGATGATCAGGGCGCGGAGAAGTAAATCATTTGGGCTATAGAAATACCAAAGCGGAGGGCGCGAATAGGTAGATCACGTACAGTTAATTTACACCGGACACCGGCGTGGATACTGGCGTTCGAAAGCAGCCCCTCCTCTCGTGCGACAGAGAAGAAGGTACCGTGCGTGATACGGGATTGGTCAGTGGGGGTCTGTCCTTTGTAGCCTTCCCAGGTATCCAGATGTGCGTCGAAGTGAATAACGGATATGTTTCCATAAACCTTGTTCAAAGACCGGAGGATCGGTAGTACGATAGTGTGGTCACCACCAAGGCTGGTCATAAGGCTTTAATATCACAGCCAACGTCAGCGGAAGCATGTCATGTACCTGATTATCCTGGGATGCTCGCGCTTGTCCTTGGCAATTTCGACGCTGGACCAAGGGCGAGACTCTTCACTGCTGACGACGGGTCTTTCCAACAGGGTAGTATACGCGGTCTCCATCTGGTCGATGGCTAGAGCATTGTCGAATGGACTTACGGGTACCTAGCGATCGGTCGCATTATTCTTCATGTTCAATTCCTCTATGGTTGAAACTCATACATCACCACAGTCAACGACTTTTGAACCGTGATTATATGGGTTGTTATCCCAGGCCAAAGAGTAACCTCGCTCGGCCCTCTGTCGCCGGCTGCCTGACCGAATGGCGAATGGGCCGAAGCGCGCCCCGGGACGGTATGTGACAGCTGTATCGAAGGGCATACCGAGTACTGCGACGTCGAATTCGGTCGATCCATCTTCGAGGCATCTGGAATAGGGGAGGTGCGAGAACGACAGAGGACCAGTGAAGGGCAAATCAATCTGTGGACCGTATTTTGCAGTCCACGGGCTTTCGGATTCTACATGAGCGGCGTGTTCTCCGAGAGGAACCTGATGACCGTAGACGTAGGACGACCCATACAACACAAACCCCAGACTAAGGACGCCTCGCATCTCGTCGAGTAGCACTCAGGCTGCGGGAGTTCAAGCAAACAGAAGAATCAAGGTATATAGAGGAGCGGTTAAGAACGTTAACGGAATGCGTTCGGTCCTTCCATCCGACGCGCACCCATTATTTCTCCTATCGCACACGTGCCAATGGTGACTTGAGAGCTTCACATTTAGCCCCAGTCCTGTCTTGTATATTATATTACAGTGAGCGTGCCGGATCTTCATGTCTCAAGATGAGTAGACTTGCGTAGACAGGACGAAACGAAACAGCACCACTGCCATAGTGCTGATATCGATGCCGCCTTCGCAAGCTCAGCTGTCCCAGTCTACATCCCAATCACGTGTGAGTGCGTGACAGTCGGATTCATCGGACACTTTCAATTGATTTTCCGCTTTCTTTCTGCTTTTGCAGTGGCGGTTTTCGGCAGAGGCAGATGAACGCGTCGTCATCCGCGTGGGACCACTAAGCGTTTCTGTACATTGCGAGATACATACATATAGATGCTGGAGACGGAAGTTACGTGGCGCCTTGACTATTCAGTACAAGCTCGCGAGACAGGACATATGGGTGAAACATTGCTCTTGTACAAGGCAACTCACGCAGTGACACCTGCAGAAGCTCTACGGGGCGTCACTACCTTCTTGCGTGCCTCGCGCAGAGGTATCACCTCCCATTTCCGGCGTAACATGGCCTTCATCCCCAGACCACTATCAGTAGCGTCCGTCACACCGAGCACGCGTACCCTCCTTAAAGGATCCGGGGAGTCATCAACTTCCCCCTCTTCTCCACGGTCTTGCTCCAGGATTTCATCTTCACGGAGATCAAGTCCAGTACCGAAGATCTCATCCGGGGATGACTCGATGTTTCTGTTGCCCGACAAGAAAGACAAAGGAGTACTGATAGCAGAGGTCAGAAAGGCCGAAGCGTTATCCATGAGAGTCTTGGGTTTCCGCATTGGAATCGAGCTAAGGAGGTAACGCTTGTAACGCCAAGCTTCCGCAACACTTGCGCGGTTTTGGGAAGCATTCGGGGGAGGGTAAGCAGGGTCCGTGTCAAATGTGACAGATATTTCCTTGTTCTCCGGTGAGTAGATGAATTGTGGCAGAGGATGAGAGTATGCATTAGGGAATGGATGTGTGATAGGTCGTCTGTGGCGGAGCACCAAACGGCCATCTATTTTAGCCAGGTAGTCATGAATACTTTTAAAGCGCAGGGTATCTGACAGAAGGTCGCACCTTCAACATCAAGGGCATGGCCCGATGATCTTGAGAAGAGCGCACCACTTGGATCGATGCCAAATACCTATGAGTAACTAGGTGTTAATGCAGAAGTATCGGAACCGCTTTCCGCTGCTCGCACCTGGTTATCATGTAGAGGATCTCGCAAGCCTTGTTATGTTAAAACTAGCCCTTGCAATGGGAATGGATCAACATACTGTCTACTAGTGACGTCTCTTGCTCTGGATAAAGGATCACTTCCGTGCTATCATCCGACGTACTGGCTTCGACATCGAGGAGCCGGCCACTGGCAAGGGATTTGATCACGAAGAAACCTTGGGGGAAGCCGTATGTTTCCAAGGAATTCTGGGTCAGCTGCATTCTGCGCTGGTGCAACGGCGACGAGAGAGATCACGGAGATGGACGTAAAGAGCGTTATGTCGCCGCAGCTATGATAGCTGAGCCTCGGAGCAGCACAGCTCTGCACAGGCTCTGCATGTACAGCCTTAAGTTGGTGGACCCTAACCTTGGAGCAGCGTGAATAATGCCAAGCACTCAAGCCAAACGCTTGCCCGTCCGAGCGATACTATACAGTACATCTAATACAACATCACGATACAAGCAGTAAAGCAAAAACAGCACAAACAGAGAGCTCAGGCAAACACTCCCTTCTTAGTCCTCCAATCCCTCTAAATCGTCGGAATCATCCGAATTCTCGAAAGCACCCGGAATATTGTAGCGTTCCGACCGCCGCCTGGCTCGCTCATCCCTTTCTTCCCGTTGCCTTTCTGTCCAGTCTTCTAGGTTGTTACCCATCTTGGTGAGACCCTTCCATTCATGCCTTGCCACAATACTACCTCGACCGCCGTTCCAGCCAACACTCATCAGAACAGGCTCCTGAAACGAATGTGAGGACGCAGTACGTAAGCCAAACATAATAGAAGTTACCTTGGAATGCCAGCTAACGTCGCGGACGCATGTACGATCCCGATAAGCACTAGCAGAAGGGGGCAATTCCTTGTCTGAAGGATCGAAGGCCATAGGAAGAGTATGTGCTCTGTCAAGGACTTGAATGACACGCCCATCCAGAGACCAGATCTGAGAAAGGTTATACATTAGCTGGTGTCAAGTCCCAAGGGAAGCATAAGCTAACATGTATTCTTCCGTCAGCGGAGCCAGAGTAGATGTACTGCGATCCGGTAGTCTCGGCAGGCGAAAAGTGACACCTAATCAGAGTCTTCAAAACGGCATGCCCACGGTATGTCATCACACTGCAGTCTTGGGGATGTGCTAGGCGTCGTGGCCTTGGATAGTGACCATACCTGCGCAGGCTCCAACTCAGCATACGAAAAGGCCAGAATGAAACAAACCCACCGATAGTCGTACTGCGAGTTCCCGTAAAACTTATCTGCAAAAGTCTCGTATTCCTCGTTGCTCCTCATCTTTCGCAAGTCCCAAAGGCGCAGTGCCTGATCCTTGCCGTTGGATATAACATATCGACCGTCCCCCTTTGCAGCAACATTCGTTATACCTTCAGTGTGACCTACTAACACACCGGACGGCTTGTACGACGAGCCGAGCGACCGCCTATCCCTGTTAACAGATCACGTTCAGACTTCTACTCACATTTGCCTACTCGTGTTGCAACCTGCACGTACCAGACTTTAATGAACGTGTCGTCAGATGCGCTGATCAAAATATTGCCTGAAGCACTGTCAGCCCAACAGCAACTATTGACATCGTCTTGGTGAGCTTCGATCTTGACTGTCCTTCGATCCGCCTTGAGATCATATACTAGTATACGTCAGGCCAGGTCATTCAGGCGCAGTTGACGATGCAAGCGCCTACCAAATATCTTGCCATCTCCACCAGCAACGACCTCTGTTCCGTCAGCGGAGAATCTGCATGACCATATGCCGAATCTCTCATCATCGAATCCCCATAAGTGTGATCGTCTAGGAGGATCTCCGAAACGCAATGGTATCTGTTCTGGCTCTGGTTCCCGGACGTTGGTCATATAAACAATGGGTGTCTCCATTTCTCTCAGCAATGCTATCAGGCAAATCGTCCCGTCACCGACTTACAATAGATGCATATATCATCCTACATTGACGTTATGAAGTGAACGGTAAAGAATTACAAAACAAGAGCTACCTTTCGTTATCCGGACTGAGATGGGAGTCGGTAATTGTCCAACGGCCAGGATGTCCCTGAATTGTATTGATTACCTTCATAGTTGTCCGATGGTCCTCGTCCATATCCGTCATATATCTGCTCGGGCGGGTGCGGTGTACTCGGTTCGGAAGGGCGGGTGTGGGTGGCGCTGTCATGTCATACACATTCAAGCTGAAGTCTAGGAAACTGTCAACGCTGGGCGAAAGAGTGACCACGGGGACCATATCACCTTGCACGCATGTGTAATAGAACGAAGAATCTACAGTCGCATCAGCCCTGGGCTGGATTCAGTGACAGAATGAGCCTACCGTCTGAGAATTGACCCGAATACGCATTGTGGGCGTAGGAGGCAACGGCGGTACCATTAGAATTAGGGACAAGGTCCTGTCATTGATGTGAAATATTAGCAGCAGAGCATCCAGAAGCTTGTATCGGACGCACGCATGCCAGGTCCGCCCGATAGAGAGGCCGTAGCACCGCCGCTCTATCCCTCATGGTTCTGTAGATATTCGACTGTTTCCGACCGTGTGCCGATCTGAATTTATGGCCAGTACGTCCAAACTCGCCGCTCATAAGCAGGTCGGCACCAGCTTTCTGGGGCTCCTTCACTTCTGGAAACCATGATCGATTGTTGGTAGCGGAAGTCACGTAGTCCTCGTCGTCTTCTTCATCCTCGTCGTCATCTTCATCCTGTCCTATCCTGACATTCCCCAGACCACCGTACCGCATGCCCAGAATCCGGGTCAGCTCGCGGATGGTAAACCCACTGACATTGCCCTCGGAGTGTGCGTTTCCGGCCTCACCTCCGCCTGTAGCAGATTGTCCTCCCTGTAGGTCAAACAGAGCTAATGCATTGACACGGGCTCTCAGGGCATGGGCAAGATCGAATTGGCGAAGCATCGTCTCACCTCCCATGATGCTCTGCACTGCGGACTCTTCGCCTTCTGCAGCATCCGTTGCTTGTTCGGCCTGGAACTCGATGTCAAGCTCGTCCTGATCTTCATCGCCCTCGACGTAGGCATCCGGCCCTTCGAAGCCGTCGTCCATCTCGACGTCCCATTCGTGTTGCATTATGGTCGAGAGTTAGGACGATCACGGCGAGCCGGCGGGTCCAAATACAAGGATGACAAGGCAAGCCGAAATTACTGATCGAATCTCAGCCCGGCACTTTGCTCACGCGTCGCCTACGTCAGTACTTACTTACCACTGTCAGTTTACCGTGTCGTCGTCTGGCAGCAACAACAAAGACTCAGGTAGTACACAATGCACTTTACGTGACGAGATACGGTACAAGCGTGCAACCGATTAACTAAGAAAGAATCTGCAAGCCTTCCTCTTGGTCAAAGACACCGCCGACGCCCTCTCTTTTCTGCAAGACGGGAAAAGAAAGACGCCGTAGCCAGAGACTTATTGGATAGTGACTGGAATCAACGAGCAGGGGGACGACGGAGATTCCAATCAAGAAAGACGTCGGACATAGTACGGCTGGAACGGCGTTCGACCAGAATCGACGAACGAAGGTATAGAGACGTCTAAGGAGTAAACTATCGCACGGGCGAAGGCGAACTCACTTCCAAACGCTTGTTTACCAGAGGAATGTACGACACCTATCCGTCCAAAATGCAGCATCCCATCCTAGCCAATCGAGCGGTGACGTCTCAGTGTTCTCCGATCGTACGACGAGCGACTCTCCAGCGTCATTAGTCCAAGATCGCTCAGCTGCGCGCGTTGGACTGTAGATGGAATCCAGGAGTTGCAAGGAATGCTGGCCAAGACTTCTGACGTATTCAAGAGTCATTCCTTGAGTTTCGAACCACCGTCCCAAGATCAGGCCCCAAGTCGCCAGACCGAGCAATCATAAGGACCAGAGCGGAACAAATAGACTGATGCGCAAGCCAAATTGCCGGGCCTGAGCCTCGCGGGGCTCAGACCCGCCGATTTGCAGGGATCACATAGTTGATTTCAGAGACAACCAGCTGCTCAACGGAGACGACGCAAATGAGCGACAAGAACGCCGATAGGGTTTGGGTGAGAGACGAATTTTGTCTCCGCTTCATTTCCCGCCACAGATGTGGCACGCACATCTCAACTCTGCACCAAGTCCTCTGCTGTATTTCTCCTTTACCATCCCTGCCATCTTTGCCTGTGCTACCTTGCTTCTGGATGTCGCCACCAGACGATAAGCCTCTTACGGTCTCTGCAGAGGAAATCAATTGCCTCATCCATGCGTACTTGGAGGACTCCGGTGAATTGCTAGCTCCCGCTTGACTTGGTGGCTTGTCGTGACCTTGGGGATTTGCAGGTTTCATGCACACCGCCTATACGATACGAAATGAAGCTCAACTTGACAACAATCCATATTTCGAGAGACACATTCCACGTGGAGAGCTCATCGACCTTCTTACGAAGTCACTCATGTATATGGAAATAGAGGAGCATTGGGACGGTAGCGCGCTGAAGCTGGATTGTAAGAGCGGGTTTTCCTTGCTGGAGCCACATCAATGCCAGTCCGATTCCCCTCGAGAACCTGCTCAGAATGGCGAGCAAATATCAGGGCAAGAAGTTTCTTCTCAAAACCAGGTGGATGAGGACCATGAGATGGAGCTGGAGTCCACAATAAAGAGGAAGGCCGATGTTACTTTGGAAACAAATGGTCGGGTGGAGAAACGGCCAAGGTTCGAGTCAGAGCCACCTCCGGCCACTGTGGCAGATGAGGCACAACGTATGCTATACTTCCCTCATGCGCGTCATACTGATTATAAGGACCGCTCATTTTCTGCACGGTAGCAACCGACCAGATCCCAGACGTAAAACCTGAAGAGACTGCAACTGAGGCAACGTCAAAGGCACCGAAATTCAACCGCAATGCTGGTCCTGCAGACGAGTCGACACCTCCAGACGCTATACAGCTGCTACAAGGACATGAATGTGAAGTTGGTGACAGATTATTCTCACCGAGGTGTACCTGGCTTTATGAATCAATTTACTCAACAGGTGTTCGTTTGTGCATGGAATCCAACCAAGATTGGGCTACTTGCCACGGGGTACAAATAAATGTAAACATGTACAACGTTGTTAGGCTTCTAACGCCACTTGCCTTTCACAGGTCGAAGGATGCCGTGGTGAATATCTGGAAAATCCCTGGACCCCCTCCCGATGGATCAGGGGTCTCACCGCACTGCTCAGAGGCTCCCTTAAAGCTAGCACATTTTGCGAAACCGGAATCTGCAGACCTCACATCGCTTGACTGGAATCCCGATGGGACACTGCTGGCTATCGGGTCGTACGACGCCATCTTGAGAGTCTGTGATACCAATGGAAGGTTGTATATGACGAGTGAGCTCCACGAGGTAAGCTTGCTCTCTTTCACGAAGATAACGTCTCATGCGCTCCGGCGGGAAGGGACCTATATTCGCGACGCGATTCTCCCCGGATGGTCAATGGCTGTTGACCGCGAGCTTAGACGGAACTGCATGTCTATGGAATGTTAGAACGAAGATCTTACGTCATCGGTATAGGTGTCATCTGGGCGAGTTACCCATATTCATTTAGAAAAAATGTGATCTAACCGCGGTCTTCAGACTGTTGCCTAGACGTAGACTGGATCAATGCGAACACTTTTGCAAGCTGTGGAGCCGATAAGCTAATCCATATACTCAAGCTTGGAGAGGATAAGCCCATCTGGTCATTCACGTATGTAAAAGATGTTGTGACTTGTCTCGCGCTGGCTAAAACGCCGTAGCGGACATACCAATGAAATCAACCAGATAAAATGCAACCCACGCCGCACTCGAATAGCATCGTGTTCCGATGATAAGACGGCACGAGTATGGAACTTGGATTCTGCTTTGGCTCATCGCGACCCTAATAGACCCATGCTCCCGGCGGACAATAATTGCGTCACTTTGAAGGGGCATAGGGGTAATGTCAGCAGCGTAGAGTGGTGTCCTCAAGTGAGCAACACGAACGAGCTATTGGCAAGGTATGCTGCGTTATGGTGTCCAAATGCCAGACTTATTTAGCATGCCGCAGTTCGGGTTTCGATGGGTCCGCTCGGTTATGGGACTCTGTGACGGGAGATTGTCTCAAAGTCTTCCAAGACCACAAACGGCCGGTCTACGCGCTGTCCTTCAGCCCAGAGGGCAAGTGGCTTGCCACTGGGAGTGGAGATGGCTGGTTACACATATACGATGTTCAGGTGCGTCCATCATGCCTTCACCGAGTGCTGTCATCGATGTCCACTTTCAGACGGCCCAGAGGAAGTGGTCATGGTATGCTGGCGTGGACAAGCCAGGCGTCTATGAGATAGACTGGCAAAGGACTGGTAATGTTAATAGAATTGCCATAGCGTTGGAATCGCGGAATGTCGGGGTCATTGATGTTACGAGGATACAAGTGCTGCAAGACAACTGAAGTATGCTGATATGTTGTGCTGTGGACATACGGGACGGTTATTACATATATCATTATTAGTAATTGTAACCTCTACGCCAGGCATACTACATCTGCATAGCACTATGGTACATACTTACTCGAGAAGCGCCGGCTGTCGCCGGCATAGACCTTGCGACTTCTGCTCGTTTCTCCAGGTACCTCCTCTCACCTGACCATGGATGAACAGTAGTATATATGCTACAAAACAACGAGTCAACGACAAACACTGCCCGTGTACATAGTAGGTTTGCTCTGTATGCGGAAAGGGTGTGCTAAAGTTCTTGACTATTAATATTCCTATCACAGTTTGACCACTGTTGGACTGCTAGGAGAGAACCCTTTACCTGAGCATCGTAGACACGGCAGACGAAGAGAGCCACCATAGCGCGCGCTCGCGCCGAGTTGCTCGCGAAGTGTTATTGTAATGTGGTGTGGCGCGACGCGCCCTGTCGTGTGGCACAATGCACGCAACTACGCAGTCATATGGCTCAAATCACTGTATTTTGTAGCATGTTTTGTGACAGATAAGAGGAGTAAATAGATATGATTGAGTCTAGAGCCTTTTCGAGCTTGATCCAAGGCATCTACAGCACTGTAACAACTTACAGCTGGCCCTTGGTCTTTGTGGGTCCCTCAGCCACCGTGAGTAGAATTTGTACATTGTGGTCGCGGACTTCTGCCCTAGTGAAGAATTGCTCACTTTGCTCACAATTACTAGAGTGTTCTTTTTCTCTGAGTTCAATTTTTCTGATAGTTGTGTTATACTCATTGCTCTGAACTCTTTGTGCTTCGAGATGCCTGAAGGCTATTGATCTGAAGCACTGTGTGGACATATGAGGTCTTAGGAACATATTGGCCGAGCCTCCTGCAGTCCAAAAATCTTCATCATAAATTACACCTAGAAGACAGGCACCATAAAATCAGTTGCAAGTGCTATTTGAGAAGTATACAGAATCATTGCATACTTTACTCTCACTGCTTGGGGCTGTTTGTCCGAGTCTCTTCAACATCTTCCCATTGACATCATAGGTCTCAGAGGATGACAGGGGGGCCTTCAAGGCCACTCAAAGAAAGCTGTCCAGCAGATAACAAGTACATTACCTGCCTGTTTTGGCAAGTCTTGAAGCCAATCAGCAGAAATAGACCGCAATTTCACGCTGTTGCCAGGGCCGGGGCATTATCCACACCACCAGGCCTCAGAAGTAGTTCAGACAATTCCGTATGATTTGAAAAGCACTGCATATGGAAGGCGGCAAGCACGTAGAGTCACAGTGTGTGCCACAAACAACTGCACCGTGGGAAGACCGATTTCCCGTAGCTCTCAACGCAGTGGTTGCCACAGTCACATCTATTTTTAGGGGGTGACGTATCGCTGGGCCGATGCCGAATGCTCTCGAAAGCATTCCGGCACATCTTGAAGCGACTTGAGCCTGGAGGACTTTCTGCTTGCTCTCGTTTCTCTACCATGTTTCGTGCTAGTCTGTTGTCCGTCTCGCGCCCGCTTGTGCGCTCGACTTTAACACATCCTGCACCATCGCCGGGGACATTCGGCGTGCGCTCCTTTAGCAACGTCAGCACGAATGTCCTCCAGACACTGTCGAAACGATCGTCGGCGTTCGCTCCTTCTTTCCGCCAGACATGTCGAACGTTCATAACGGACTCGGCCCCTGTGGTCGCTCGACCAGCTCAACAAGACGCATGGAAGCGTTTCGCTATCAGTGCTGTAAGTCTTGTTGGTACGACTCCTGCTCAGACTCGAGGGTTCACCTGCCTACTCTGTAGGGCGCGATTGCGGGCACCATCGTGGTTGTCAACGGGTTCTTCAATCGTGACACTCGCGATGCCTTGTCCGAAGTAGAGCGGAGCTATTTAAATGACAGCTTCAAGTACACGGGTGGCGGCTTGGTTTTGACAGCTCTTGCAGCCCGATCAATGTTTAGGTCCGGTATGGCTTTCAGAATCATGTCAGCGAATCCTTGTGAGTCATGCCTGTTTTCCTCCGATGTCCGGTCAGTATTCTGACGTTATCTCCAGGGCTGGTTCTGGGTGTCAGCTTGGTCGGCAGTATCGGGACCATGATGGGCACCATATACACACCGCCTTCTCAGCCAGTCCTCAAGCATGCAATGTGGCTCGTAAGTACTCTATCTTATCGCAGCCTCATATCCAAGAATCGGGACTCACCCTGCCGCAGGGTTTCAACGCTTTCCAAGCTGCGACCCTTAGCCCCCTGTTCTTCCTCAGCCCAGCCATCTTATCTCGCGCAGCCCTCTATACTTGCGGCATTGTGGGCAGTCTGAGTTACATCGGTGCAACCGCCACGACGGACAAGTACCTTTATATGGGCGGACCTCTGCTTGCCGGCGTTACTGTCGTTGCTCTGAGCTCACTGGCGCCGATGGCACTCCCTCTCGGAATGCGCGGTCTGGCCATCAGTGAGGCTATCTCCCTGTACGGTGGATTGGCTGTCTTCAGCGGTTTTGTGCTCTTCGAGTGAGTACAGGTTTGTCTATTTCCCCGTTAAGGTGATCCTTACCGTTCCTTCCAGCACGCAAAAGATCTTGAAGAATGCACGGTTGGCTCAACAAGGTGTCGTGCCCCGCGACCCCTTGCGGGAATCTATTAGCCTCGAGTTGGACATGATCAACATCTTGTATGTTTCTTTTGCAAATATTACTGTGGGTCCATGACTGACATACGCGCAGTGTTCGCTTGGTACAGATCCTTACCATGCAGCAGAGCAGGAGGAAGTAGAGGATGAATCAGATTGATTCACTCTCAGATTTGTCATCCCAGTCACTGTATTACGATTTAATATCCAGCTCTTTGTATCTATACGTGAATCGTCGTGCTAATGTTAGCAATTGTAAAAGTCCGCCGTTACAATGGTGGTGAGGTTACGCTTTTCAACTGAGCGCAACATCGCGCCATACAATCCGGGAGTTGTATTGTTATGAGGTTGCCTTCCCCAGGTCCTGTAAGATGTTCACAAATCCTCCTGGATCCAGGATCTCTGTCCCACCATACGTGACTCTCCTCCCCGTCTTCTTCGCCCACTCCTCGAGATTGCCGTACTCGACGTATCCAGCCCCGCCCACGATGAACACAATACCCTCCTGGAACGCCATCCTCCGTGGTCGCCCGCTACCTCCAGATCCCGGGCCGCCCGCTCCGCTGAAACCAAGGCCCGCGTTAGGATTCCGCGGCGCCCGCGGGTCCAGAAAGATATAGTCGTCGGTCTCTTGGAGGGACTGATTGGAAGCGGCTGAGGAATCCATCAAGGCTTCTGTCAGGCGGGTGACGGGGAGGGCCTTGTTTGCGGGAAGGAAATTCTTTACGCCTGAAATCAGGTTTTCGAGACCACCTTCCTTAAGCCGGTCTGTGAACTATATCGGATCGGGTGTGAGAATAGGCAACTTAGACGGATGATGGATAGCATCTTACCCTGTTTCCGAAGGCACTCAAGCCCTTGAATAATTCGCCACCTTGGCCAGCCCCACCGAGCACTGGAGTGCTGGTACCTGTCACAGTGGACATAGTCATCTTCGATATTTCTCGCGTCCGTCGTACGTATCCGAACGCAGCTACATCGGCGCCTACATCTTTCAACGCTTTCTCCAGTTCAGCGACATCCTCTTTCGAGATGGTGTTATCTGGCGAGGACAGGTAGAAGACGATAGCTAGACGGAGCTTGTCTTCTGGCGTAGGTGACCCTTCGGATTTTGAAGACCTGATGGTCTCAAGAATACTTTGGACTGTCTGAAGACGAAGCCGAGTCTCAGTTCCAGAACCACTGGCAAATGATGTCAGCCAGCTTACCTGCTTGTTGATAGCTTCTTCTGTGCTAAAGAGTTCATCCAGGCCGCGCTTCTTTATATGTTCCAATAGAGCTGTGGCGATATTCATGTGTGTGTCGAGAGTGGCTTTTCTGGCTGTTAGCTCGGGCAAAGCAGTGATAGCCGTCTTCAAATGAGCAGCATTCGAAGACAAATCTCTACCAAAGATGTCAGTACTGGAATGGTAATAGCGTATCTGCACCTACATCTGCGAGATGTCATTCACATCGCTAACTCCAGTGCTCCGCGTCAGTTCTGCGGCGTCCTGCTTGTACTTGTTCAGCTCTGTGTCAATATCTTCGGCTACCTGTGGAAACGGGTTCGCCGCATTCTTCAACCAGAAGAAATCTTTGGAGTCGAGGTCATACGCTTTCTTCGACGAGGTTTGCAGTGGATTCTGAGAGGGCGTCGAAACGACTACCCGGTTCAGTTTCATCTCAAGACAGTCGGACACAAGTGCCTGGTACGTCCATCCGTGCGACACCATTGACACTAGGTCTATGTTGCGGTCCATGATAAGAAGAACTGTATTCCTGAAATCTCAGCCATTGAATGATATGAAGAAGATATCACGGACGAACGTGGTCGCTGCAGGTTAGACAGACCAGTGGAGTCTTGCGCAAACAAAGAATTTGACGCTCCATGAGATCTAGATGCCGAAAGGATAGCGTCCCGGATTTTTGTTTCCAGCTTCTTGGCTACCATCTCAGCTGCGTTGCCTTTCGGTGCTCGTATAATGGGTACTTGGCCTTGTCAGTTGTACTGGTCAGTATGCGCAGAAATGCTCTGAGTTTCTAAGGTTTCGCACCCATAGTCACGACCACGCTGAACAAGCCGCTTGCTATACGCTCAATCTCCTCTTCAATCTGCTGTTCTGACGAAGAGGGAGAATTGAGCACGGCATACGACGAGTGCGGTTTGGACGATTGAGTAGGAACTGAGCTTAACGATGTCTGCGGAGGCGGAGGGGGTAGGAGAGAGAACAATGATGGTGACGGTGCGATAAAGGAGAGATATTGGTCGAGGACCTATGCCGGGAATGGAGAATTAAGTCGTCCGGCGTGCGCTATAGCGACGTGCGACGGACCTGTGATACCAGCTCCCCTGTGTCATCTCGTGCCACGGCTGCTGCCAGCTCTTCCAGTAAACTCCTAGGTATAGGGTCCACGAAATTCAAGTGAAAAGTTTCATAAAGGGACTTCTCTAAGTCCTCCGCTATCCGGCGTATGTTGGCCAGTGTCGGAGAAATGAAGTATATGGCCGGAACATCTGGTAAGGGTGGGCGAAGCGAGTGGAGCTGTCTGCAAGGAAACGCAAGACGCAGGAGCTCAGCTTTGGGTCCGCGGACAGTAACAATTCCAAGGAGAACGTACACATGAAGTGTTACCCCTACATCTCGCAGATCTTGCACACGTAAAACGGTAGCTAACACGTCCTTTGTCTGCTGGTCTAACACAAGGACCTTCCAGACAGGCGGACCCGTAGGTTGGGGTACCTTGAGCGCTGACCCGACGCCAGGCTTAGATGAGCCAGTGCTTATGATGGGGTTGGCTGCTGTCGAGTCCACCGGATTGTTGAGGTTTAAAAGAGTCAATATTGCATTGGTCTGCGCCTGCTGCAAAGTAGGCGGCGGGGTGACCTGTGTCGTTGGTTCAGCAATTGTACTGAATCGCCAAGGAGCGACTGGACACACCTGCTTTAGGCCACTGCTGGCCATAGCAGACTACTTATGTATCAAATTGCTGTCGACGGAACTCCAGTTTTCAATGAAATGAAAAGTCAGGCTGTTTATAACTCAGACAAGCACAAACGACCACGACAACATGTACAGCGTCAGTACGATCCGCCGTACCCGATACAGAGCAGGTAGGTACAGAAACACGTGGCGTGTTTCCGAACTTCTCATGATCAGTTAGGTGCTAACTCGCTCAGCCTAATTTCACGACTCGCTGTGAGGACTGCACTCGGGTGCGCTGTTCTGCGCGAGCACTTGGCAATTGTCTCTGGTCTGCTTTGCTGCGTACCAGCCAAATGTATACCGTTCTCAGCTTCCAGGATCGCGATAGAGCTGCCTGATCGCGTACGTCGCGTCGCAACGACCCATCAAAATCTGTGATTCCGTATACACGGGATGCTTATATTATTGACTGTGGGGAAGACCTTACGCTCCAGTCGGGTTTCTACCACTGCCTCGACAAGAACCTGCTCTAGGGTCGAGCCTTAGTTCCCTTTGTCGTGCGCATGTAAGTGCATAGTCATTCACGCGCACCCCAGCGTTCTCTGATCGTTGCTCTGGATTTATCTGCAGCTTACTGTGTATAGTCTTTTCTAGAGCTTGACATTATCGTCGTCAAGACCTTCCGTGAGCGATATCTGTTGTGGCTTTTACGCGCGCGGAACCATGCCCTGATTCTATCATAGACTCGTTTACCATGGGCTGTATCCCAAGCAAGCAACAGGTCATAGAGACCTCTACCTCCACACTGCCTGAGATGCGTCCCAAGAGCGCTCTATCATTCGGGTCTTTCCGAAACAATAAGGCCAAGACCAGAAAACCGGGCCCTGCGTCGCCAGTCATTTCAGGAGATGCCCCTCCATGGGTAAGAGGACATAGAGTATTCATTCTCAATGAGGAGGAAGCAGGATTTAGGGATGAGAAGATATACTCTTGAGGATCTGTCACGTCACATTTCCCCTGCTTCGTTGTGTGCTCTGTTCGATGTATTCATGGAATGTACGAGCTCGTGGTGCGTAGCACCTACTTCAAATTTGTTCGCCGTTCTCAAGGGCGTGAATCGCTTCCCAGCTTGCTGTATCTGTAATTTGATACCCCATATCTATCAATACGGCTGCTCAGCGCTCATCTCAGTCCTTTGCCCGAACCTCTTGACTGAGACAGTTAAGTATGACGGACATATGGTGCCTTGGAGCGGTCTGATTTAACCAGCCCGGTGTCGCCATGTCAGAGTTCACTCATTCATTACCTTGGCAACATCGCAGCTGATGCACGGTGGGTCGACACAGAGCCGTGTTGCTTTCCATGCTGCCAGGGTGCTTGTCTTCCTCCCGTCTGCGTATCGTTCTGTTTTCTTTGGGCCGTTCACACCTTCGACGTTTCGGAAACACCGGAGAGAGATCGACGGCATCCAAAGGAGAAAGTAAACGGGGGCATATTTGAGTCACGTGGTGCACTAGTATACAGTCTAAATTTGGTAAGTGCCATATTGTTGGGAGTGTGTTGGTTATGACGAAGGGCAGGCTCGGCCTTGCACCGGTGCCGTGTGCATTCCCTCGATTCGAATTCTCTCGATACCCTTGGTCGTTTCTTGGGCTCATCATCTGCAGTGCTCTGCGTTATTCCTTGTTCGCCGTCGCCGCTGACGACGGGCGGTAATGTCGCGCCAGAGATACCCCAGGACGTCCGAGATAACACTGTCAGCCTTCGGCAACCAGGGTCTTTGGCTTACAACCACTGGAGGCTCGACATTCCTCACTACGGGAGGGTCAACGATACCCATCAGCACAGACCCATCCGGCTCAGACTCAGGTCGCTCCGCGTCCTCGTTGCACTCGGATTCAGCCAGTATACCGTCATCGTCTCGGACAGGAACTGGATTCACATCCTCTAGCGTCCTTTACACTCCATCAAGCTCCACGCCCGGCCAGACTTACTCTTCGTCTCATGCCATTATGACCACGTCCTTCACGACATCTACGCCTGTCACAACTATCGCGGATCCTTCAACGACGTTCACGTCTTTCAGCTCATACGTTGCTTCTACGACTATTTTTGACCCAGCCGTCTCTCAGACACCTGTTGTGGCTGCTCAAGCGCAGCCAGTTTGTATTGGAGATGGTCTCGATGCTTTGTCTGCCGGACTTATAGAGACTATTGTCATTCCTAGTGCTATCGGACTTCTCCTATGGGTATGCTGCCCACCTACCTCTCCCCCGCTGTATTCCGTTTACGTTTGATACTTGCAGTTATTATTTGCTATTATTCGACCGCGTTTTCGTGAAATATATGGTCTACGCGAATGGTTTCCGCCTCCAGAGTGAGTTGGACTTCGATCTATGTCTACGCGAGGCTCTGATAGGCCATAGCCTCCGACCGAAACCCCTCGGCGATAAATTATGGACTTTCCTATTTCCTCCTGTCCCCCTTGTACCCGCGGTTCCCAAAGACGTCTCCGATACTGGTAGATCTCCTGTCAAAGACGCCGAACTCTTCCCATCCGATGAACAGCTCAGTCAACGGACCTTGTGGATGGCTTTTCTCGTTGTCCTCGGATGGTCTGTCGTCGGCCTCGCTGGTGCTCTGCCGCTCTATCTTGTATCCACCTCTTGTATGGCGAACTCTGCCCCACATGCGACCTATATTGGCGTATACTCCGTGCTGCAAGATCTGAGCCTGTTGCGGCTTCTTCAATATTATGACAGTCAGGGTTCCTCCATCCGGACCATCCCCACATTTGTCAAGCGGGCTCCAGACGGAAGCAACCAGTTGACCAATGCACGCATACGCATAATCATCCTCACCGTTCTTCTGATCGTCCTAGCTGTTATCCCTGGCGTGTGGAAGATCCTAAAAGAATTCAATCGTATCGTTGCATATCGAGAGCGTTGGCTTAAGGTCCGCTGCGGGGGTATGGATCTTGCCTGGCTGAGCGCCAGACGAGCTCCAGGATTCCGCGGATGGGGGGAACGCCGACTGAAGGAATTTATCGTCAAGTCTGGCCTAAGTTCAAGTCTTGAGACGGAGAACACAGGCAATCGGCGGCGGGTGCGTAATGCCAGCGAACAGCCCCTAACCCCGGTCGAAGAGGAAAGCCTGGAAGTGGATATCCAGGGTTTGTTTTCTATCGGGTGATTATTCCACGTGCTGGTAATGCAGGTTTCATAAATATTGACGAATGCTTTGATTTCGCCTAAACGCCACAGGGATACACGCAACTTAGCTATGCTGATCGAAGAGAGAGATGAAATATTGGAAAACCTTGAGATTGCAGAGACAAAATACATATCGTCGTTCAGACTATCAACTCCTGACCCCTCCATCGCGGACTTAGAACCTACCAAAGAGGAAGGGCCACACGACGGAAAGAAACCCTACATTAGTAGACCCCTTCCTCTAGGTGCGGGTGCCGTGAGTGAATTTCAAATTTCATATAATAAACGTTTTCAACGTTACCTACGACCTTCGACTTTTCACAGGCGCAGCGCAGAAATAGCCGTAGGAATCGTGCACGGAATCCTGCTTATGGTTCTTCTTCCCTGACGCCTACTTCATATGTGGCTCCGTCGCAGTACTACAAGTTAGGCAACCTTCGAGGTGTCAATAGCGATCACGCCAGCGACGCATCCCAAGTGTATCCGAGTCTGTCCGATTCTATAAACCAGCGGGTCGTGGGGAGTCGATTCCAGGAAATCAGCAATCGCAACTCAGGCCTGTATGGGACGTTACCACTGGGGAGTCATGTGAAGCTGAAGTCCGGTGAGTTACGAAGGGTGGATACTACCACCAGCGAGCAGACTATACCGGACCCTTCGAGGTACGGTCCCAATTACGGTGTCGAAGAAGGTTCTACTCTGGGTCGCCAAACGTCCAACACCGAGGCTGATGCCGAAAACACGACCGCCAGTCACTATCGGGGCGGTGGTACTGAAGTGACTGAGGAGTTAGGCGGGATAGATGAGGGGGACGAATGGGTGGACGTGATGCACGAGCCACCTCAAACATTCGAGAGTACCCCTTTCACGTCTCCCGGGTCGACTGCGGCCCAGACACCCCAGGCAGGCGGCCGTGAAGGGCAAGACTACTTCGGTGGATACGCCCCCCTGTCAAGGAGACCACCTCGGTCGATGCAGACTCCACCCGTAGAGCGGCGGGAGACGTTCCCTCTTCGAGCACGGAGTCAAGTTGGCACTGTGGACCAGCCACCGCCTCATCTGCGGCTCCAATCTGGCGGACCGTTTGTCCGCCCTCTTTCAGGGCTCGACCACGAGAGCTTGGGAGCAATCTATGCGGATATCAGTCGGTGGCGCACTCAACTGAAAGCGGTGAACCAAGAGATCGCGGAAGCCCAACGAGACGGTTACAACGACATCGCGGAAGGGGCCAGGATCAAAGGTTGGCTGTTGGTGGGTAGAGGATTAAGGTTTATACCAGGCGCAAAGATCATAGAGGGCCGTGCCAAAGAGGACATCAGGTGGGACGAACTTCAACATGAAATGAGTCATGAAGGCAAGGTCTTCGCTTGGATTGTGCTTGCTGTCACGTCGATCATCCTGGCAGCCGCTCGTCAGTTCCTCCTGCTTGCTCTTCTGGTGATGGGTAGCTCATGACTGTTCCTAACACAGTGACCGCTGTCGCCGGATTGGCCTTAGGCAGCGCTCCTGATTTTGCGCATTACTTCCCCTTCCTTGCGCCGCTCGCTGGACGTAACGATTGGACGGCTGGTCTGGCGCTCTGTCTGGCTCCTGCCGTTGCTGGTTCCTTGTTCATATGCATGGCCCTGACTGTCACAGTTTGTAAGTCCATGAGCGGTTGTACTCGTCGACGTACACTGAGTTCTCTCACAGATGTTGCACAGGCGACCGGGGCGGTGTCCATCTCCGGCCTGGAGATGATAACGTTCAAGACCTGCTTCTATGTTCTAACAGCAGTGGGCGCCATATGGCTGATCACTATTGGAGCCGTCCTCTTTGCCATGAGAGCCTGGAGCATGGATACCGAGCGCACTCGCAGTGTGGCTGACGGCTCGATATACATGAGTTTTCTGGCGTTGATGTTCATTCTGAACGTCGCTATCATCTCTCCTGCTCTTCTCTTATTACAGCCCGGTCGCCTTCTGCGCATTCCCGCTTCTGAGAAACATGCTGTTACCCCTAGACAGCGATTCCGAGGTGAGTATATCGCTGTCCTGTGGCATCGAAACATATTCTAAACCTATGCAGCTGTATATCCAAGCACGTATAACGCTTCATTTGCGACGGGATGCTGTATAATAGGGTTGATTTTCGCGTCAACCTTCTCCCTAATCTTCCCTCTCATTGGACCAGCAGTCGTTATCTTGATCTTCCTCACTCTGATCGGTGAAATCCAATATACCTGAGTGGGATCAGTGGGATACTGACGTCGACCGTTTAGCTCATCGATATCTCGTCGGTTACGTCTATGGGAGGACACGTTCTCAAACCGGGGGTCTCCTACAATTATGGCTCCTGAAGCGTTTCGGCACATTAGTCGCCTTCCAACCTTTCCTAATGGGTCTCATCTTCCTGACCCGAAGGCTGTGGCCCGAGGCTGGCGTACTGCTAGGTGCCGCCATGGTCGTGGTCATGATCGTGGAAGGCTATGCTACGTGGAAGACGAGACAACCCGGCGTCAGCTCCTTAAGTAATGTCACGAGGAACTCTTTGGATACCTTCGGGAGGATGGCGCAATCCCGGCGTCTGGAGCTGGAGGAGGAAAGCCTGAGCTTGGTGAGCTCGTCGAATAGGAATACCAGGATGCGGGGCTCCTTCGCGTCCGTACTAGAGATGATGTCCATGACCCTGGCAGTTGCTCCAGCGCTCACGCGCCAAAAGGGCCCGGTTCCATTGCGTAAGTGATTTTGCCTCGTGTATCTGTCAGTCATTGATACTCATCTCCTCCAGCGACCGAGACAATAGACGACCTCACCGCGACGGAAAGGGCGGCAAGAACACATCCCGATGCCCCGCCGCACCTTCCACCGCTCTCCTTCGCTGATCACGCACAAGAGATGTCTGGCGTCTTGTACGCACCCGAGCTCCTCGCCCCAGAGCCCATCATTTGGCTTCCGAACGATTCGTCTGGGATCGGTCGCTCCGAGGCACGCGACCTCGACAAATACCATCACCTGAAAGTTACGTTAGACGTGACGGCGCAAGAGGATGTGCTCGCCCCCCACCGTTTGTCTGCCTCAAGGTAGTGCGTGATTGTTGGACCTTCGGACACTCTTCGGACGTTTAGAGACGAACACTTTGCCCTAGTGTTTCGCTAATTTTGCTTCGGGTTACCGGGTGGAGGACTGCTACCTAATTTGCTCCACATTTGTATTCTCCCTGGATGCGACACCTTGATATCTTCTGTAGCTTACGCCACTTCGCTGAACAATTGTACTTATGCTGATCATGATACTAATGATGACTGATTACTACTGATGGACATGTGCGCGACAGAGATCCGATGGCGGTGACACTTCCTCTATACCAGTAGGAAAATAGGGTACTGATGCAATACAGACTCTGTTGGAGCGGCTGCCTACCATTTCCGGGCCAACGCTGGACGAGGGTCTCTGCTGCATTGGCTGCTGTGAGTATCATTCGCAGAGCAGTAGATCGCCTATGCATCCGAGGGGGCTGAGATTCTCTCAGCGGCGGCAGTCAGCGGTCTTGTCCCGGGAAACCTAAACACAACTCTGGTAACTTCAATTAATAGCCGCGCCAGACGTTGGGGCGGGACCTGCGACATATCAGGGTGCCTCTGATAGCGGAGCCACCCCGTGCGCTGTAGCACGGAGCGAATTCTAGGAAGATCCGGAGGCAGAAAGCAGACAGTAGTTAAACGAGCAGAGCCATGTAGACTTGCGAGGCATATGCATCGAGATAGAAGGTGCGGGGGCAGTCGCACTCAGCTGGTGGCTGGTAAGTAAAGAAAGTCGCATTGGCATATACTCCGAGACGACTCGGATCTTCTAGACGTTGCCAAAGAGTGATAATTGATGAGAGCGCGGAAGAACGCTGTGCAGTGCTCCCCTTCGGAGTAGAACGTCGCGTAATTGAGCGGTAAATATCCACAACGCATGTCAGGGAAAACGGCGCGATAAGGCAGAGAACCTGCAGGAGATCACATTGCTGCATTCGACTGAAACATTTACGACAATACCGAGTGTTCGCCTTCGAATACGCGAATTACACGCGTACAGCACCCTGCCTCATAGCGTGTGGTCCTTCTCGCGCCCTCCAAGCAGAGGCGAAATAGTGCAGCATCGACGCGTATCGCAGGGCTCGCGTCATAAATGACTGGCTCGCCTACCCCGTTACAAGGGGGAGCACTGGGTGGCGTCGGAACTTGGAAGCCATGCATTGACAGGAGCAGCTGATTTAAAGTTGCCACATCTGAGATCAGATCGGTAATTTACAGATTGACGCAGCTCACTAGAAGCACCCCGAAGAAATGTCTTTTCAGGCATGCTGCAGTTCCTTTTGATAAAGTAGAATCAAGGTAAGAAAAGACACTGCTCCTTAAGCAACGTGAGGGATATTCTGACCAAAGGTGAAGTAAACGTTGCGGAGATGCAAGGATGGGGTCCCTTCGGCGACGGGCGTCTGTAGGCGGCCAGCGCTCTCGCGTGGCAACGGAAGTCTCCATGACGTACTCGGCACCTCCGACGCGATCTGATTGGCTCCAACAGCATATTGTGGCCGAGGAGCCGGGCACACAGAAACGGATTCACTGCTGGAGCTCCGAGGACCAAGCGCACGGTCCTGAACGTCCGATGCCCTAAAATTCGCAACTCACCACCCTCCCCGAGCGCTCCATCCCTGCATTTTTATTCTCCTCGTCCTCAACAGGGCAGCCCGCATACCAATCTCTACCCAGTTGCCCTTGCTCCGAGACGGGCCATCCTCGTGACAGACGCCGTGTCCGTCCGCCATATCTTTAACTGACGCTGCCTCCCGGAGCACCCCATCATGTTTACCATGTCGACACCCTCCTACAATCATCCTTCCAGCATGCTCGCGCACGATGGCCGCAGCACTGGCAAATCTGAGCTCAGTCCACTCGCCCTATACTCACGATCGTTGCACGATTATACCCTCAGGCTGTGGACGGAGTCCAGGAGAGTAGCAGAGGAAAAGGCGCGTCAGAAGGCAACTCGCAGGAAGCAGGTAGTGGAGGAGGAGAACAGGAAGAGGGCGACGGCCGCCGCAGTTATAGCCAGTATGCAATCCAGACGAGATGGGGAGAAGATCGCAGTCTGAACATAGACCGCATGCGCTCACCGTCGAGCGAACGCCGTTGCAACCTCAAGTCGCGGCATCGGCCACTGTCCGATTAGCGGAAGATGGCATAGGCCTCCCTGCATCTTCAAGTTATCCGTGGCCGTGCCCAGTTGCATGGGATACGGCAGCGACCAAATCCTGTCGCCATCCTGCGTCGAAGCTTGACGCGTACGACGCTGCTCGACAAGCTCTTCATCATACCCCCTCCTGTATACACACGACCTCCACTTGCCCCCCACCCCGGGGTCGACCACCGTATCCTTTCTCCGGATCTTACCCGTTGTCGGCCCTGCACGACATCGCACTGCTCTGTACTATAGTCATCAGCCTCGCCTTGTCGTCTGCACTTTTCTTTCTGCTTTGGGACCATGGGTTCCTCTTCTCTCCAGCATCTTATCATGGCCCGATTCTAGTCATACGCCATACTTTTAGTGATCGCTGTTGTTCTGTTCTCATGTATCTGCATCTCAGTTATTTACGGTGTATATAATGTATTTGACGTCTGCCTCACCTGACTAATAAACCGCCGAGCTTCATTCCCTGCTCGGTGAATTGGGCGCCAAGGAGCGTGCAGGACAGCACCTCGTTCGGCGTATGATCCAAGGACTCAAGGAGCGCATCGAGGACAGTGCGGGATAATCAGTTGTCTGGAGAGCACGCATGTCATCCCTTCCGATCAGCTGACAGGTGTAAGAGAATATATTGCAAGAGGTAGAACAGGAACGTCGACTCTCGAGATGTAGCAAGCAAAGGAGCAGTACCACAGCAGAAGAGATCGCCACAAGAACATGCCTAAAGCCCACCGAGCAGTTAACATTGCCCGCCCATGGACGCGACGCGTTGTATTAGCAGAGAGGGAAAGCATGCGATCCGTAAGTTGCACACCAGGAGGACAGTGCAGGTGGTTATATAGTGGCACGGGTCCAGACCGGATTCCATGACGTACCCGCGGTCCAGGCCGTGCCACACTGTTGATCGCAAGTGAGTAGTGCTCCCCGCACTCGTCCAATCGAGGCTGTGGCAGTTGGTCTGCATATCGCTCATGTTCATGCAATGCTGATGGCAGCAGAAAATATCAACGTCTTCGATAGGACAACCCTGCAATTGCTCTTCCTGGTTCACCGACGCAGTCGCAGCATCTGATATACCCGCCCACGTGCCTGCCGCCTGAGCAACAGGACTGCTATACTTATCGGCATCTCACCGACAATGTTTCTGCATCTTCTGATCCCCCTGGTCTAAGAATGAGGACGCACGTTCATTCGTCGGGCGCGCTGCGCGGTGCTCACGACAGGAAAGGCCGGACAGACGGCAGAAGCATGTGCGTTAGGGATCGTGCATATATTTCTGCAGTTTCTATGCATCACGTCCGAGGTCAAGTTTCTCTCCAGGAGTGTCCTGCATTTTGCGCGCGAAGATGTTGGGCACCGTGGTGGGCGTCGTGGGCCTCCTGAGCGTAACGGCGGTGGCGCAGAGCACGGACATCCAACCGTCGACCTATACGGTCCCGGGTGCCTTCCCCACGTCTTTATATTCTAGCTACTACAATAATCCGACTGCCACCTCAGCGCAGGCTCAGCCGGTGATATCTGACCCCGTCACTGTAAGCACTTGTCTTCCTCATAACACCCTATCTGCTGATAGTGATCATTCAGCACGAGATCTACTCATTCTCGCTCACCGATCCGAATAACATCCCACAAGTAATTATGACGCCTATTTTCTTCTCATCCCAACCCATTGAAGCCTCGTCTTCTAGAATGACACAGCGGATCCACACCCATTGCCTTCCCCGGCGCCTCCTTCGCTCCTTCTCGCGCACGCGATGACCCAGCTCGAGTCCATCGCCGCGAACCCCTTGCTGAATAGCACCTGCGCACGTTGCCAAGCTGGATTGGAGGTCGCTAAATTCATCGCGCTGACCAACCCGCAGGTGGGACCCGAGTTCGCGGTCGCCGCGTGCGAGCACTTCAATTTCAGTACGACATGCGCGCAGACGTATGGGATGTACGCCCTTGGCTCAGTTCTCACCCAGGTTGTGGCCAATGCCGACGTGGGCGGGTATGATGGGCAGGTAGATATATCTTTGGAACAAGTCGAAAATGCGACACTAATAAATGTGGCTAGGCGCTTTGCCACAATTTCCTGAGCTTATGTCCAGCCCCATTGACAAGTCCTTTGAATCTGACGGGATGGTTCGCCAAGCCGAAGCCTGACCCACTGCCGGCGCCCAAGACCCCCAGCGGGAAGAGACTCAAGGTACTGCACATCTCGGATGCTCACCTCGACGCCCGTACGTGAATTTCGTTGTGGTGTATCGAGCATCAGTCCAAGCCTATGGTTGTACATCGCAGGGTATGCGACGCATTCCGAGGCCAACTGCACTTCCGGTCTGTGTTGCCGCGCGAATAATTTTAACCACCAGAGCCCCGATTCACCGCTGTTCCCGGCACCCCGATATGGTACATACTCTTGGTATGCGAGTCCCTTGAGAACTCAGTAATCCATAGTTTTGATCCAAGCCCAGCGATTCGCCTTTGGCATTGGTGACCGCGGCACTTGAGGCCATCCCGCCGCTTACCGGGTCGGAGAAGACTGGTTTTGCTTGGACACTATTCACAGGCGACCTAGTCAGTCATGATCCCGAATACGAGTTATCAAGGTAAGTCCTATCCTGCTATCCATCATTTGAATTGCTAACAACTTTGTCAGGACGTATGTGATGTACTACGAGGTGAGGCCGGCATAATCATCGTCGCGTCATCTTTAATCATTCGTTTCGTAGACTCTGCTGTTCAATTTATTCAAAAAGGTACTTGGATCGGGCCCGGTGTATGCCGTGCTGGGAAACCATGACTCGTACAATCAGTAAGTTCTCCTGGTCCCGCACCGACGGCGCGTTGACTATGCCAAAGAGCACAGGATGCGCCTCATGCCATAGGAGGACCGTTGGCCGACCAATTCAGCTGGTAAGTATCATTGTAGTGGTGAATTAGTGGCAGATAATTCAGAATTCTCGACAGGAACTATGATCACGTCGCCTCGCTGTGGCAATACGAGGATTGGATTCCGGAGTCCGCGGTGGAATTGGCGAGGACGCATTACGCTGGGTATATGGTGAAGCGCGCTGATGGCCTGCGGATCATTACTTTGAATACCAACCTATGTGAGTCTCTCGATGAACAATGGGCTACATCGTTCTTGACAATGGGTTTCTAGGGTATCGGTGAGATGGCTAGAAGTCCCCCAGACTAACTAACTCGATATTCACGTTGATTATGCAATAGCGCCAACTACTTCAGCTACATCAACATGACGAACCCCGACACGTCCGGCATGTTACGTTTCCTGACCGACGAGCTGCAAGATGCGGAAGACGCAGGGGACCGGGGTGAGCATATATTATCCAGCTAAGCGAGGCCGCAACGCCCACCTTCTTTCTTCTGCAGTGTGGATCATGGGTCACGTTCTCAGTGGATGGGACGGAACTAACGGGGAGCTGAACCCCACCAACCTGTGTACGTAAAGCTTTGTTATCGCGGCTGCGTCGCCTAACTTAGGCTCGGGTTATGTGCAGTCTATCAGATGTGAGGAGTCGTAGGTATCCTTGTGCTTGATCAGTGATTGATGCAGCGTTTTTTGCAAAGCGTGGATCGTTACACGCCTCATGTCATCGCGAGTGAGTGCACCCGTTCTCTGTTGCTCTGAGAAGACTTTAGCCGATGCGGATTTTGGCAGACATTTTTTGGGGTCATACGCACGAAGACGAGCTGTCGGTAAGTCGGGGGTTGTGCTGCTCCTCTGGAAACCCTTGGAGATGTTGCAGCTAGCTCTCAAGTTGACGGATGTCTAACTCCTCCTTTTTAGATTTTCTACAGTAATAATGGTACTAACATGAGCGCAGAGACTGCCCAAGTGGTGTCTTGGGTAAGCCAGTCTTGTGTAAATCGATCCCCTCACTGAGGCATGCCTTCCAAGGTCGGACCATCCATCACTCCACTAACTAACCTTAACTCTGGCTTTCGCGTGTATGAAGTGGATTCTGTCGTCAGTGTCTTCTCTGTGAAACCACTTAGGTACCCTCATTCATGCTTGTTGCCGTAGACCTTCGACGTCCTGGATGCATACACCTGGAGAAGCGATGTCAACAGCTACCCTAAATTGGATAACCAAACCGAAGCTGGACCTACTTATGTCTTCGAGTACAGCACACGTGAGGCGTATGGCACAAATATCACCGGCTGGGGTCCGAACGATCCCTTGAATGCAACTTGGTGGCATCTGGTGACTGAAGGTACGGGTCCGTGCTTCAGTTTCTCCCGATGTTCTAACGTGCTCTGGCGATACCAGAAATGGAGGCCAATCCTTCGCTGGTTTCGGTACGTCCACGATCATATTCTTATAAAGCCATTTATGCTGAAACCGAGATACAGGACGTGTGGAATACTTATCAGGGTAAAGGTTCTGTTCGCAGCCCTTCTTGCACGGGAGAATGTATCTCTGCGAGGATATGTTATATCAGGAGCGGATCTTCTAGCATTGCTCTGCAGAATTGTCCTGCTGGTTATGGGTCTGTCCAGTGATTGTCATGGCCAGTATTGCAGACCCAGATGTGGACTAAATAGGAACATATTGAGAGCTCTAAATAACTGTGGAGCATGACTTTCTATGGTCCGGGATCTACGGACAATGTGTGCTTTAGCACTCAGGACGCTTTCGTGCGTTACCTTGAATTGCCCAATGTAAAGGTTGCGGTCTCCGGACAATAAACTCCGATTTTGTTTTTCTTCTAGAAAAAGGTTTGCGGACCGCGGTATATATTCCTGGAGGGCCGACCTCGTCCGCGCCCGCATTCTCTCACAGCGATGTTCATATTCGCTGCATGGGTTAAATACAAGTGCGCATGTACGTTCTTGGTTCTACTCCTCATATATTGCTGCCTAGCCAGAATCCGCCAGATGATCCATTCTGGGGACTCCTTCCACGACTGCGAAAGTTTCTCCTCCAAAATCTGCGGTACACCTGAAGGTGTACGTAGCCCTATTCGGACTTAATAAGACTATAAATTCTCACTGTATCTTGCCCTCACGCCGACGCACGTTCACTGCAATGCATGCAAGTACTGGTCTTCTCGAGGTATGGCTGGGATGCCGAGTCCCGTCATGGACCAGGCTGCCGTAACCACCCTCAAAGGATATAAACAACGCACTTCATGAGAAGGCAGAGTGCTGCCCCGGAACTGAGCAGCAAATGGCATTGATGACCCTCCTTCGTAGTCTTGTAGGCGTCTCCCTGGTCTTGACAGCAGCTAATGCGGCTTCGCAGAGTTACGTCGGACTTATCCAGCCTTCGACGTATGCGCCTCCAGGAGCCTTTCCGACTTCGCTCTATTCGAGCTATTATAACGTGCCCACGGCCACTGTATCCCAGGTTCAGCCTGTAATTTCAGATCCTGTCACGGTACAGCTCAGTCTCCGCCGGTGATATTTGTTGAGAACGACCTAATCATTCCACCGTTAGCATGAGATATATCCTTTCAACCTGACGGATCCCAACACCATTCCAAATGTATGGTTTTATCTATCTGATATCATTGATATTCACGCCTATGCCCCAAGAATGACACAGTAGACCCTCACCTGCTTCCTCCACCGGCTACATCCTCGGCTCTTGTCACACATGCAATCGCTCAACTCGCCTCCATAGCTGCTAATCCTGTCTTCGGGGATAACACTTGCGCAAGATGTCAAGCAGGACTTGAAGTAGCCAAGTTCGCTGTTTTGGCAGCTCCGGAAATCGGGCCTGATTTGGCCGTCGCCGCTTGCCAATATTTTGACTTTGACTCGGAATGCCAACTGACATACATGTTGAACAACCTGGGAGGAGTCGTTACGCAGCTCCTAGCCTTCGCTGATGTTGGAGGTTATGACGGGCAGGTAAAGTCGGAGCCAATGAAACTGATTGACTGGTCGATCTAAGCTGGTATGCAGGCTATATGCGCCAATTTCCTCGGCTCGTGCGACATGCCACTGACAACACCTCTAAATTCGACCGAGTGGTTCGCTAAGCCCAAGCCCGACCCTCTCCCTACCCCTAGGCAGCCTACCGGCGAGAGACTCAAGGTCTTGCATATCTCAGACGCGCATATCGACCCTCGTAAGAGTTTTTGTGCGGCGGGTAACACGTGATTCAATTGACAGTATGATCCAGGATATACCACAGGCGCCGAGTCTAATTGCAGCGACTATCTTTGCTGCCGTCCTAACGTGTACAGCAATGACGGCCCTGGTACTATAACCGTTCCTGCGCCCCGTTACGGTGCATACTACTGGTACGGTTGCCGTCTGAGACCAATCTCATGCAGTGAACTCTACCATGCTTTAGCGACTCCCCTTATGCCCTAATTACGGCTGCTTTGGAGTCAATCCCTGTGCTAGCTGGAACCCAGGAGACTGGCTTCGACTGGACCATTTTCACTGGAGACTTGGTCAGCCATGATCCTGATTATCAGTTGCAAAGGTCTGTTTCCCGAGACCTCGGAAATTGAAGACTGACAGGTCAATCAGGTCTTACATTATGTACACCGAAGTAAACATCTACCATCTGTCCCTCAATACCGCTTTACGAAATTTTCGGTCTTAGACTGTTCTATACGACCTGTTCAAGCGGCTCCTGGGTTCCGGTCCTGTCTATCCGTCACTTGGAAACCACGATACACACAATGAGTGAGTCCTATGCAAGGACTCCTGCGCCGTTCTCTGATACAAGAGCAATTTCAGAGCGCAAGATGCCCCTTACTCACTCGGTGGATACCTTGCCGAACAGTTTAGCTGGTAAACCGGCCACTCCATCAGTCTACTGCGTCACTCAATACTTGTCTGATCACATACACAGGAATTATGATCACGTCTCCTCGCTCTGGGAGTATGAAGGATGGATCAATGAAACTGTTGCTAACTATGCTCGGACGCATTATGCTGCATACATGGTCAGACGCACTGATGGTCTACGTATTATCACCCTCAATACCGACTTCTGTAAGGCGCTCGCCCGTCTAGTGCCCTTTCACTGCTGACAGATTCCCGCAGGGTATCGGTAAGGGTATCGAGATTCTCAAATCTTCGTAAGAATTGAGGCGGGCACGACCTTGTAGCGCTAACTACTTCAATTACATCAACATGACAAACCCGGACCCCTATGGAATGCTGAGATTTGTCACTGACGAGCTGCAAGACGCTGAAGACGCAGGAGACAGGGGTAGGTTGCTGTCCCAGTAGGCATGTCCAAACTCACCGATTCTGATAGTCTGGATCATCGGACATGTCTTACCGGGATGGGATGGCACGAACGCGTTGTACAACCCCACAGATCTTTGTACGCTTGGTCTATAAGGTTCAGCAACGTCTCTGAGTACTGACCTACGTTCATTCTAGTCTACCAGATGTAAGTCCACCATCCTCACGAGATTCCACCCTCTGCTTACCTTAGGCTGACTTAGCATCGACCGCTATTCGCCGCACGTTATCGCAAGTGAGTGCACCACTTCTCTCTGCAGTTGTTTTTCAGAACTTCCCAATATCAGACGTATTCTTCGGGCACTCACACGAGGATGAGTTATCGGTAAGTGCTCTGAACTAAGGTGCGTTCCGACCCTGGATAATATGACGTGGCATCAGATCTACTATACAAATAATGGTACAAATATGAGTGCAGCAACAGCTCTCACCCCCACATGGGTGAGAGACCTACTACGTCTTTCGTCATATATATGCCTGTAGCTGTTTGTGCAGGTATGCCCGTCAATCACACCACTCACCAACCTCAACTCCGGGTTCCGTATCTACGAAGTGGATTCTGGAGTGAGTACTGCTTAGATTGGCCCGCTTCGACTTGACCTGAACACTGCTATAGACTTTCGACATCCTGGATGCTCATACGTAAGTGCCAATAATTGCCGAGCCTCGCCCTATTGAGACCCTTATCCAGTTATTGGGCGGACGTCAATACATTCGCCGAGCTCGATAACCAGACGGAATATGGTCCGGCTTATCGTTATGAATACAACACCCGTGAAACTTATGGCGCCAACATAACATGGGGTCTCAATGATCCGCTCAACGCAACTTGGTGGCACCTCGTTACAGAAGGTACGTCTTTGCTCTAGATCTCCCCATTATCTCGTTGTGGAGAATGATGTGGCCCGCAATAAGCAATGGAGGCTGAGCCGTCTCTGGTATCGGTAAGTAACATATTTCGCTCCACCTGCAGATTCTCGCTCTTATTTCCCTGTGCAGACCTTCAACACCTACGAGGGAAAGAGCTCCGTTCGCACTCAACCCTGCACCGGTGAATGTGCGACCGCCAAGATTTGCTACATGCGAAGCGGTTCTGCTAGTTTGGCTGCTCAGAACTGTCCATCTGGATACGGGTCTGTGCAGTAGTGGATTGCTGCGTCTCATCATATGGAAGTTGAAGGATGTCTCGGGTGTGTTGTCTGGTTAATGTGCATGCAGAGGCGGACCCTTGTTCCATTTGATCTTACTTTCTATAACAATGCAATGTACAGTTAAGACAGAGAGGGGTTGTTCTCTGCGAAGTATTCGTGAGAATCAGCGTTCATGATTGCCTCGCTGGGGTCGCTCTTCGCCAGCGACTTGGCCGAAGACTGGCCATAAACATAATCCTGGGTGCCGCCGTTTTGGGTGAAGTGGGATGACTCGTGAACGAGGGTTCCGCCCTGCGGGACAGAGTTATCAGTTGTGCATATCTGCAGTCGGTAAGTATGTACTAACCTTCGAATCTGTACCCGTAACAGGGGCATCCCAGAAAGCGCCGCAAAGAGTTATGTAGCCGAAGTCGTCGGGATAGACGTACGCGTAGGTGCCTGAGTCAGTGCAGGTGCAGTCGTAAGTGAAGGAAGAGTAGTCATTGCCGTTCAAGTTGTTGAAGTGGGTCTGGACCGTGGAGTGACGAGAGGAAGTGTAGGTGCCGAACCAGGTGGTGTACCGGGTGGTAGACGAGGTGTGGGACTTCAGGTAGCTAATACACGACGCTTTATCAGCAGCTGTCGTTATACTAGAAATGTAAACAGGCGTACGAGAGTGCATTGGCAACGTATGTCTGAGCGGCAGGGGCAGCGGAGACGAGAGCGCTCTTCTGAGAAGATGAGCAACCGTTGTAGCTTTCCCTCTTGCCGAACCTCGAGGCCGGCGTAGGGCTGACGCGAGCCTTGACGAGCTTGCCAGACAAAGACAGCGTGTGCACATCCTCATGGTTGGCGTACAGAACGTCGCCGACGACACCGTCGTCATCGACATGGTAGAACACGTTGCGAGCTTCGAATGAGTAACGACCTTCACCCGGGGTCGTAAAGTTGTACGCAGACGAGACTAAGGGGTATTCCGGTGAGATTTGAGGTACATAAAGCTGATGAATGATCGACGTACTATCGTGCTCGACTTCGATAGACTTCCCGGCTTCAAGTACGGTGTATGCGCCGAGCTCGGCGGCCTTCGCAGGAACATATTTGGCCTGAGAGTGTACAATCCAAAGTCAATGGAAGACGGGAGGAGCGACTCTCGTAATTACTAACTTTAACTCCGATGAACTGAGGGGTCTCCCCTGCTTCGGTGGTGATCCTGAACGTGTCCGTCGGGATCCTGGACAGCGGGCTGTAGGGGTCGTTAAGGAGCTTGAGCGTCTCGTCACCGGTGTTGGTGATGGTCGCGGTGACTTTCAAATTGTCCACGCCATCGACGGTGTCGGGACCTACCAAGAGTCAATGGGGGCACCAAGCAAACATACAGATGTTGCCTACCAGAAACCTTGACCGAGATGTCGCGCAAGGCGGAGGCGGAGAGCGTGCCAAAGGCGACAGCCAGGAGGGCCGAGGATAACATGGTCTGGTTGCGCAACTGCTAAGCCTTTAACCCCGAGACTGTAGCCACGGCTGCTCGGTCGACTCTGACTGTAGGCCGCCTTTATACCCAGATTCAAGAAGGGCGGGCCCGGCAACGGTACGACATCATTGACCATGCTGGTAGAATAAAGATAAGATTCGTTCCACAGGGTATGAGCATGGCGTGATGCGCCAAGGTCTTCGAGAAGGCAGCACAGGCAACAGAGGAGAGCTCACGTTCGCGTCATGTTTTCCCGATGGAGACCGGACGCCGGTTCGTCGCTCGTGTTCCATGTCAAGTTACAAAGGCGACGGTATGGTACCAGCAAGGCCAAGAGATCCTCGCGAGAATGATAGTCGGGATTCGGTGGCGCAGAATCAGACTCCATCATGTCCAGCAGAGGCCGGTGACGATCGAGGCCGTGAGCTGTGCTGGTTGATAGTCATGAGCATCCGCGTCATCCGGGCATACTTGCATGAAAATTAAGCTATTCGCATCAAATCTGAGGCAAGCGCACATGACAATGCAGTATGTACGTTGCAGTCAAGATAACGGGACGGGCCTTGACATATCGTGCGCAATGGAAGACAACAGGCAAGGACAGAAAACACGGAGGGATGGAGGAATCGACCGCATGCTGCGTGGCCTACAGCCGTTCAGGAGGTCTGGAGTGATTACTTATGATGAGTCCAAGATGAGTCGCTGCTAGCGTCTCCTATGCAAGGATTGAAGTCGAAGCAGTGAGAGCGTCACTGACGGTCGACGCCACTCAGCCGGAAACAAAAGACGCGAAGAGCAGAGCAAGGATGAGTGGTATAAATCCGGCAAAGGGAAGGTCTACGTTGTGAGGTCTATTTATATAGGAAGGACGATGAGTACCCTACCAGTCGTACAAGTGGGTCCTTTGCCAATGCTATCGAGCAAGCTTTGTGTCGACGCGATCGCGCGAAGGCGGCGCCGGCGAAGTGGTCATCGTTCAATAGGCAGGGTTACGCACAACAGGAGAGCCGTCTGACAGATCTTAGGAAACAAATGACAAACTTCGAATGGCCGTGGATACTCAAGCTGAAAACAAAACAAACAGATAGATGTATCTGCCAGAGGAGTGACTGTCCCGCGTAGTGCTCAGAGATCTAGACCTGTTCATCGACAGTCCTCCCAGACTCCTTCCACGATCAAGTCCTTCCCCGACCTATCTTCATCTTTGCAAGTGGCGCTAGGCAGCAAATGCAAGAACGAGTATTGCTGGATGCTGGAACAAGCACTCCTCGCTTTCAGTCTGAACTGGGCGGCTGACAGTCCGTGTCTGCATAGGTGCTGGGGCTGAGCTCAACTGCCAAGTCCTCGTTGCGTACCGCTCTTTTCCCATCTGGACGAGTTCCGCTACAGATCATGTCGACTTCCAGGAGCTCAGCCGGCTTAGGACTGGACTTGGGAGATGGATCCGATACCGGCGGAACGGTGTTGTCAGGCGCTATTGCTCCTTCGACCACTTCGTCTCACGCAACAAGTACCAGGTCCAGTACCGTGCGCTTTCGCGCGAACGAAGGGAACCCACACAAGAAAAATGGGACTAATACTGCGTTATGCGCCGAGGCCATTCAAGACGCAGGTGCCCTGGGTATGCGCTCTATGCGTAGTATGCGAGGACTTCTACTTGCCGAAGTTGGCGCCTCTATGGTCGAATTCAATACTCCGAACAGCGGATCTGGATTTAGGGAAGGGCTACGTATCGCACCCGAAGTCCTCACACCGGGGGGCGGCACCAGAGTACAACGGAGTCGACATCTGTCCTTGAACGAGGGAAGGCTTACCAGACAACCCACTCTGCTTAGTGTCGGCTGTTCTCCCGCAACGAATGCTGCCGAGCTTAAGTATCTCTTGGGGAATTCTAATACAAAGCTGAAGGCCAAGGCGAAATTAGGACCATCTCCTGGATCTGCTTCTACTCTCGGTTCTACTAGTGATGGTCCTAAAATCTACCTGGAACAAGCTAAAGCGCGGGCAAGAGTGGAACTTGACATCATTCTCAGCAACGATACCTGCGTTCAGGGAGGGGTATTGAAGGGACAGGTCAATTTATGCATCAGGAAACGGTCCAAGAAAGAGGCCCCTATTCTTCTCTCGGATGTGAAACTCAGGATCGTCGGCTTCGAGTGTATCCAGAATCGTGACGGAAGACATATCTTCTATCAATATGCTGTTGCGTTGAACGCTGTCGCTCCTGCTTTATCACCGATATATGTGTCCGGGCCAGATACGGAAGGCTACATGGAAGCGAAAGAGGGGCTTCATCGAGTGCCATTTGCCGTGACACTGCCTATAGAAAGTGAATATGGATCTCCTAAAGGTGTCCTTACCCTTCCATCCGGCGTGGCCGTACGTTACATAGTCATGAGGTAAGCTCCAGGACTTTTGCTTTCAGTACTTACTTACTCGCCCGACTTTTTCATCAGCTCAGCGAGAGTCAAGGACACGAAATCTGGGAAGCAATCAATTGCACACTTCTACAGGCAGTGCGAAATATGGCCAAGGCTGGACCCGTCTGCGATCCTGCTCTCTGCGCCTCGGCCTATACAGAGCACGATAGCAGCGCCTCTTTTCATGGGGGGCTCCGGTCGTGTGAAACTGAATGCAGTTTTGCATCGTCTCCATTGGGTGTCGGGTCAGCGCTGCTATGCAACCATTAATATTTCCAATAATTCCAAGAAGACCATTCGAAGTGTGACCTTGGCTCTTATTCGGACCACGACGATCTTCAAGCCTAACCCTGCTCTGGATGCGAACCCTAGATATTCGGACCCTGATGCATGTCAGACGTCCACAATCCGAAAGGAGGTGGCCACATCCACGCTCGAAATGGGACAGCAGAGCTCGAAAGGACACGCTAGCGCGAAAGGGTGGTGGACTGGCGTGGGACCAAATACTCACCTCGAATTTCAGCACTTTATACAGATACCTGTGAGTGAGTGTTGTGATCTTAGCCGCCAACCGTTGCTCACCGAAAGGCAAGCCTGATGCAGTAACGGTCATGCGCGGCCGACTCCTCGAAGTGGAGTATACATTGCGCGTGAGCGCTTCAGCCGGTTCGCTCACGTCGGATATCCAGGTCATTGTGCCCCTGCGCATAGTCAACTTCATGTCCATCGATCCACCACCAAGTTCCTATGCGCCGTCTAACATTTCCGACTCCAGCGCGGTATCACGTCGATCGAGTGGCGTCGCGCAGCTCGTTCCCGACCTTGGAAAGGGAGTGATAGATTACTCGTTCTACGCAGAGAGTAATTCTGAAGCCGATCGCAACGTTCCCAGGGACACCGCGACACAACACGACGACCCCTCCAGCGCGACTATGTCTGATTCTTCGGGCCCATCCCGCCTTCAGAACCCTCATTCCTTGATCAGCACCCGTAGCAATACGGAAGACGGAATTGGAGAAGAGCAAGAAATGCCTGAAGGTGAACTGGATGGTCCAGAATCCCTCATGGACCAAGTGGAGGCAGAGCTGGGGAACATGCGGCTATTCCATGCCAGCCTGGGCGACAACGACGACGACGAGATGGTACGATCAGTGGTTGGATCAGCCAGGCTGGATGTCAACGATAATGGCGTATTCGATCCCGTGCCTTTCAGTCTTACGCCACAGCTTACTCTGGGTTTACCGCCAGAGCCCGTACGCTTCTATCACCGACGTGAGCCCACCGAAGGAGGCCAAGTCGATATGGCTGATACGCAGGGAGAGCATGTGCACGCTGTGTCGCGAACTCGGAGCAAGACCGTCTCAGAGATACCTCGGCCAGCATACGGAGCTAGAAATCCGTCATCATTTGCTGAACAGGTCCAGGTTAAACTTCTGTCCACAAGACTAGCTGAATCTGCTGACATGTCCATGTCTTCGAGAGCCGGTTCCACCTCGACGAACCTATCGCGGGATCCCACTATCGAACCGCCGGCCGATACCCACAACCATGAAGAAGATCAGTCTGATGCAATGCGATCGCATGCGCGTGAGGACATCACCCATTTACGACGGTGTCTTCCTGCCTCTCAGCACGGTGTGGGTCATCATACACACTACGCTAGCGAGGAAGCCCTCGCCGGTCGCGCTAGCCTAGGTAAAGGGGCAGCCGTTTCCGCGTCGCAATCTAGTCCAGCATTGACGGTGCCTCGACCTGTAGCCCGCGACAAGCCTAATGGTGACTGCGTAGGCCGGCCAACTGCATTCAGAGCGACTGCTGGTACCAAGGGCGGATCATCCGTGCGCGCTAGGATCGCCGAGCTAGAGCGAAGAACCAACGGGCTCCATCAGGCCTGATGATCCACATGCATCTCTTCTGTACATGTATACTGAGAGGGAAGATATTAGACAGGATTCAGGTACTAGAGGTAGCGTGCTGAATGGTTGTTCGTCCGCACATGTGTCATTGTACAGTTACAGTGGCCGCAAAAAATATCCGGACACCGGCATTTGAGGATGGAAATTTTCTTCGGCGGGAAGGACTGCGACTCCTGTAAAGCTGAATGCGGGTTTATTAAAGGGTCAGAGGGTTTCTGTAACGCACATACCGGAAGGGGGCATATACAGCCTAATAAGGGAGATATGGGTGAATCAAGACATGGTCAGTGGAACACTCTGAAGAATCCTGGATACCAGCATGACAAGATGGGTGCTAGTTGAAACTATGCCTGCAATGCATAGTCTAATAGTCTACCTGAATGCTGCTGTAGCTATCAGGTCAAAGGGTATCCTGGTTGCTTCACAATAAATTCCCCAAAAATATTCCATAAAACCAGCAGTTGTAGTTTTCTGTATTCAGGCAAGCCAGCATCGAGTCCCCTTGGCCCCAGCTGATGTGATTTAATATCTCTCACGAGTGTGGATGACAATGGCTGGGTCATTGACTGCTCCCAGGGCCAATAAAGGCAGATTCACATTTTCACCCCTGAAATGATACATGTTTTCTATGAATTTTAGGGGATGCTAGTCATGCCCCACCCAGGATCCCTGGCTTGTATTCAGACCTTTTGATCATGGTATTCCAGCAGTAATATTGGATTGACTAGAAATTGTCTGGATCATGTTCTGTATACTGATCTTTCGAGGCCAAGGTCATGATGACCTGCCATTATGCATAAGTACCAGATATGGGAGTTATACACCGCATTAGGGTGCACACCAGGGAGTGCGAGAGGAGGTCTACAGAACCCCTTATGAGCTTCACTTGAGACCAAGGTCTTCCCTCTGTACAGAATTTTCTTACCAGAGACCGCTGTCCGGATACTTTTTGCGGCCACTGTATTGCATTTGCCATTCCCCCGGGGTCCGGGCCGTGACGCGACGCGTCGCGTCGCGTATTCACGGTCACGGGGTTTGCCGCCGTGCCACCTCATTCAGGGGCTATTCCAACCCCTAGTCGACTGCTAAATTCACTAAGTAGTCCTCGCCATCTTACCCGTTCTTCACCGGAGATTTCGTATTGGATCATGACAGACCGAGGTCCTCGACGGTCTGCAAGACTACAGACAGTCAAAACCCGTACACAAGGAACGTCTTCTCGATCTTCCGAGCCTCCTGTCAGGAAGCGTCGCAAAGCGCAGGACACTCATGACCAGATCGTCAATGCGGAAGCTAGGCAATCTATCTTAACGAAGGGAAGGAAGAAGAAGGGTCGTCTCTGGAAACTGCCCGAAATGCCGCTGGACCTTCTGTTCGAAGTCGGTGGCCCGTTCACTTAATGTTGTAGTGAATTCACCCTAAGCCACCTCTGCAGATATTTGAATTACTGCATCATCTGGACCTCTTACGCTTATCCAGAACTAGCAAGGCATTACGCGCTTGCCTATTGAATCCCTCTGCCGTGTCTGTCTGGAAGAGAGCGAGAGGGAACGTGGAAGGCGTCCCCGATTGTCCACCGAATCTGTCTGAGCCGCAATATGCTTCGCTATTATTCGAGAATATGTGCAGTGTAAGTCATATGAACTTGCTGCCACTTATCGAATCATCCAAACGGCATGGTCCATAGTTCTGCGGGCGATCCGGTGTTATGGAAGTACTGTGGTCGTGCTGCGTCAGATCGTGTCACAAGTGCTTCGATAAGCGGTAGGTCTACACCGGTTCTAATCCTGGGTAAAATTGTGTTAATATGGCCGAACAGCTTCATCGGCTTTGAAGAGGCGCACATCGAGCTTCCGCTATGCAAGGATCATGAACTTTTGCCCTATGTCTGGGACCCTCGACCCAGTAAGCGACCTGTATGCAATACCACCATTGTTCCTGATCTCTCAAAAGGACGATATGGACAGCTATACATGAAGTCCCAAGTTATCGCACTTTCACGGAAATTTGACAGCCTCAAGTTCCAGACGGACATCGATTCTCTCATCAAAGAAACTGTCGCTGCTAATCAAGCCATGCGCCAGGTATGTGTGTCATGATATTCTAGACTGGATTCAGTGTTGATATTGTTTTTTCAGCACACATCAGCGTGTAGTGCATGGTACAGTAAGATGAGGGTAAAGAGGTGCATGGAGATTGACCAGATTCGCCGGGACCGTCAAAATGCGTATGGAACTTTATCATGACGGTCACAAGGTTGTGTGGCTGATGCACATTCCCAGGATCCGAGCCAGGATGGAAGCACTAGGATGGGCAGAGGATTTTCAGAAACTGAGTTGGTCCGAGAAGCGCGAGTATTCTAGACTTCCGGGCGTACATCAGGCGAAACCCTTGACCGATCGCAGTCCGCACTTCCGTTTCACTCTGTCTTCAACTCGTTTCTGATGTCTGTCTTTCTCAGTGTGGCGTAACTTGCAAGGTCCCATGATAGAGCTCTTCACGAGATTCCGAAATAATCGCATTACAAGAGAAAGATTGGCCGTTCTCTATGAACGGTTGGACATACTGCAAGATCTCGTTAACGACGAGATACTCTCCTCGGGACCGCTGAACTTCCTGCCCTCCGTGGCCGACTTGTTTAATCTGTCTGCTTTCAAGGAGATCATTTTTCGGCCAAACGAGGTCGAAGTCAATGCTGCTAGTTTCGATCTTCCAATGTCACTGTACTGGGACTATGCGTCGTTATGGGTTAATGACGCGTATAAATTGCTCGGGTCCCTTTTCTCTGAACCTGCCGCACCTGACGAAGATCTGAAGGGGATCAGCGAGAGGCTCCGCTTGGCAACGACGTTCTTCCGATGTGGGCAATGCGATCACCCTGTACCATACCCTCACATTCTGCTGCACAAGTGCATGAGAATGTCCTCGCGCCGTCCGCATGACTACTATGAGGCAAGATGCTTCGACCATATTGGGGCTGCTCCATGGCTACAGCAGGGTGAACGTCTCACGTTCGACACCGTCGCCAGCAAAGCGGCGGAGGCTATGGTGATAGCCCGTGGTATGGACCCGAAGGTCGCCACCTACATTGACATGGAGGCTGGAGAGGAATATCACGTCTGTCCATACTGCTCCAACGACGAGGTGTATGTTGCCATGACGTGGAGGAGAGCAGTGAGTCACAATCAGTTTGCCTGTTGGTTTGACGAGTTCATCAATATTCTGCTATAGATCTACCACACATCGTCCCATCACAGGCAGCCAGACCTCGAGCCCTTGCCTTGGATAACTCTTCCCCGTGCGTATAAGTCAGAAATGCAAGCCCACCAAGATGCACAGAATCATGGCATCCTGGACCGGATGCGACTCATGTGCTGCATGCTCTGCAGGCGAGAGCGTATGAGTCCCTCGGAACTCGTTAGGCATTTTGTGGTTATGTGAGTATCTCGCACGTTCTGGTCCGTTGTTCTCTCTGAGATTGTCCTACAGCCATCGAGGTGCGCTGGACGAACTGGACGACGATGACAACGTCTTCTACATCCACCCGGACGTGAATCACAACTGCACCCCAACGGAAGCGCGATTGAAGGTCAGGTCTGCGGAGGAATTGGCAAATGACGCAGGAGGCCTATTAGACGAGGAACTAACAGAAACTGGGTCCCACCCCGCTGCTCGCACTACTACGGATGAAACACCGCACTCGAAAGAAGGAGTCGAGTCCTCTTGAGGAAGACCAATTGAATCCTGCAACGGCGAGCAAAGGATAATTCTGACAGATGACTCCATGTTTCGTAGGCTACGTGTATATTCTCTTAATTAACATTGACTTCATGCTCTCCGAAAGATGCATAGACTGCCTCGTACTTCTCGGTCCGACTATGTTAGCTCACTCGCTTGTAATCCGTCTCTTATGTGATGCCCGAATAATACATGCATTCATGGATGGGTCTATGCTACAGCGTGTGTTGTGGGAACTTCTTCATGGTCATACACTCATTTCTCTTAGCAGTGCTTCTTCGAACGCCCTAATTGATGACGACGCCACCGTTGACATGGAAGACCTGTCCACTGATATAACTCGAGTCTGCGCTGGCGAGGAAAACAAACGAAGTAGCAACTTCGATTGGCTGGCCGGCGCGACCCATGGGTACCGACTGGCCGAAAGACTCTTTTGATTCTTTCGTCATTGTGGCAGGAATTAGCGGCGTCCAGATGGGACCAGGAGCCACAGCTGTTTCAAAGCGCATATAGTCAGCATCCAAGGCCGATGATAGAAATGCTGTTCACTCACCGTTGACGCGTATGCCATCACCGGCAACTTGGTTGCTCAGTGCGCGAGCTAGGCCGATCATGGCGCCCTTAGTCGCAGTGTAATCGATCAACTCAGGATGCCCGACCGCAAAGTTGATGGACGCGTTGAAAATAATGCTTCCACCGGGACCCATGTTTGGGAGAGCGGCCTTGCAGAAGTAGAAGAAGGAGTGGAGGTTGGTGTCGAACGTGTTGTGCCATTGCTCGGTTGGTAGCGTGGGGAGCTCGGTGTTGGACTCCTGGGTGCCGTGGTTGAGGACGAGGACGTCCAGTCGGCCGTGAGCCTCCAGATGCTTCTTGACAACTTCCTGGCACACTGATTCTTTGCGGACGTCGGCAGCGATGGTGACGACCTTGAGCTTGCCGCCGGTCTTGGCGTTTATGCGGGCTTCGACGTCTTTTATTTCTTTCTCCTCTTGCGGAAGGTACGTCAAAGTCAGGTCGGCACCCTCAAGAGCTATCCGTTGGTCGGATCAGCACCATTTTCAGAGGATAAAATCTCGAAACTAGCACACCATATAGGAGCGCAATGGCTCGTCCGATTCCACTGTCGCCGCCGGTGATGAGAGCTGCCTTGCCCTCTAGCTTGTTCGCAGCCTTATATGGCTTCCCGTCAGCGGTCACATCGTCCAACGGCTGGGGGTCGAGTTTCTCCTGCAATCCAGGCGCGCCGGGCTGGTCCTGCACTGGCTGCTTGTAGCCCTTACGGAACTGCTCGAGGAGAGGGTTGTTCTTCTGCTGGGACATGGTGGAGTGTGACTGAGAGATCGCGTTGCGGATTTTCGAAAAAATGCTGGGCGAGTGTTGGGTGCAAAAGATGCTGGAGAACAGCGAAGGCAGCAAGCAGGTTTATATACGGAGCTGGAGGATGGATGGAGCGCGAGGTGACGTCAGTACTGGGATGGGCGCCGTCACTGGGCAGTCATCGTCGCCGTGTGCTGGGATGTGGCGCGCCATGGTCCTCCTTCGTTCGGTGTTCGAAGCACGGTCAACGTCGGAGCGCGCCTAGGCTCGTCGTCGCCCATCGCAGTGGTCCTCGACAAGGGCGTCTCCTTCCTGTTCTGGGTACTTGGTAGATTGAGCTTATCTTCGATAAACCCTAAAATGTGGTCACCATCCTTCTGCCACAGTGACTGCCGCAAGGCGGAACAATTCTAACATACACCTGATATATTGTACATACAGCAAGTCACAAGTCAAGAGCCATTACATCCGTTTGGAGACTATCTACCGAGGCCGTCACTGCGAATATCCATTTGGAATTATCATGATGAACTCAAAGGGAAGTGATATGAAAGACATATTTGATCTACAAACGTTGCGGATACGTTAGTAAGAATTGTATCCCACCATGACATTATTCAGCTAATATCTCAGATTGGCTCGTAGGCTCTGAATGCGCACAGCAGACGCAGCACGATATTCGCGCTGCTCCTGCTTCTGCATTGACAGCCTACCGCTAATCGCTCACTCGCGGGAATAGAAAGTCAAGAAATGGTTTATGAAGACAATACTACTCACACGTTCTGTTGCGGGATCTTCAATGCCAGTTATAGTCCCTTTAGAAATTAATTAGACTCGGGAATTACATCTTGCACCGATTACGCACTACGGAAGAACCCCAACCCAAGGCAATGCAGGCCTCTCTGGCAGCCACCTCCTTCGCGGCTTGCTTAGTTTCTCCGGTGCCCCTACCTTTCTCTTCGCCGTTGACTGAGGTGGGATATCTATTAGTCGACCCAATCATGGATAGTACTTCATACGTGCACGTACCCAGCGCTCTTACAGTCCATCTACCTGCATGCGGAGGTCCGTCGAAGATGGCAGGATATTGTACCTCCAGACGCCGCTGAGCCACAGTCTGATTGAGGAAAGGGAGGTAAGCTGGGGCCGGTCGTTGTGGAGGCGGCGAGGCCGGTGACGATCGCGGGGTATGTTCAGGACTCGGGGGAGTCCTAGCACGTGCATCGGGCTTATCCCAGCCAAGTCTGTGATACGCCTGTTGTGCCGCTTCTTCCTTGGCCTGCTGTTGTTTGAGCCCGCACCCTTTGCCTTGCTGAACTCCGTCAACTGTAGAATAGCATATGAGAATGATACGCGACCTTTCTTGAACTACAGGCACAAGCTCGAAACATACCAATGCAAGTAACTTCCCATATCAGTGCATGAGAAGGTCCCGAACAAACCGGGTGCCAATTGACTTCGCTATGATGTGCTGCAGCAGTCTGGTTAAATAATGCCAGATAAGAGCCTGAGGCTGCCGGTGGAGGAGTTTTCGGTCCTGACTCTTCCCCGTGTCGCGCATGATCTTCCATGGGTCGTGTATGATCTTCACCGTGTTGTGTATGATGGGCACCATTGGTATTCAAGTTGACTGCTGGGATCATGGATATAGTTGTCTTGCATAGCTTCGGATAGGTGCCAAGGAGATTGGAGAACCTTCCGACAAGCTGCTCTTTGAGAATGGTATCCACTTCCGACGAATTGACAGACCCTATTTGATTCAAAACATCGATCAGTCTGGCCAAATCCGGTGTAATCTTCTTCGCGATGTTCACGCTGCGCTTGGGCGTTAGATTCTCCTTCACTTTGGTCTCGAGACCTTCGGTGGGAAGACTATACAGCATCTGAAGGTCGAGCTCTGTCCTATAATCTGATAGCACCGCTAAAATATCCTTTGTGCACATTCTGGCCCGTGGCTCTTGCTTCCAGCATTTCTCGATTATGCACCAGATTTGGTCCGGAATCGGAATATCTGCGGGGCGTTCAGGTCTTTGACGATTGAGTACCTTCTCCATGACAGCAAACTCTGCTGTATCGGGCCACGGTACATTTCCAGTGTATATCTAAGATTTGGATTGTCCTCATGCAACATGAAATCCCGAGCAACACAGTCACTCACCTCAAGGCACACATAGCTAAAGCTATACACATCACTCTCCGGACTCCTGGCCTTCGAAGGATCATTGCCGAGAGCAAGCTGCTCTGGGGCCATCCACTGCATGGTTCCCTTCAACGAGGTAGTCGCTGGGTAAGTACCAGGGGTATGCAGAAATTTCCCTATCCCGAAGTCTGCTATGCAGGCGTGCATTTGATCATCGATGAGAATATTTGCCTGTGACAGGGATCAGTGATTCGCTCCCGCTGTAAGTTCATGACTGTAACTCGCCCCCTTCAGGTCACCGTGAACAAACGGCGGGTCTCGGTTATGGAGATAATGCAGCCCTTCTGCAACATCTTGGATCTGCAAGTGGAATCAGTGTATATTATATAATGTTAATGGAAAGGCGTACAAGCTGGACACGATCATGGTCTGGATGATTTTTTAAGAACTCCGTTACGTTTCCATAGTCGCTCCAAGGAGATATTAGCGATGGCTTATCTCCAAAGAGCTCCTCCATGCCAATGCCGAGGAAAGGGTATATGTTCTCATGGCGAAGTTGCCTCCAGGTGATCGCCTCGCGGTAAAATCGCTGCTATTTCGTCAGTAGTGTATGAAATGATCGGATCGTTTAACCAACCTTTGTAGCTTCGTGTTTCTCGTCGCTACGTAGTATATGCAATCTGGGTACCTTGAGCGCGACTCGAATGGTTCGATTAGTCTCGAGGAGTTTTCCCTTGAAGATGTCGCTTGAACCGCCACCGGCAGTGTAGTGAGGCTCAGCTTCGACCCTGTGCAGAAATAGGCACGGAGGAAATATCTCATGCAATTTCACTATCTTTCGAAGCAAGTCCTCGAGCTCATGGGCATATTCGGGTTTGTCGTCGGCAACCTACAGGGATGTTAATGCTGATCCGGACCTCTATGACGAAACGACATTACCGACTGAATTAGGTCCAAGAAGTCGTCCCGAATCTTATCTGGAAGACTAGGAATATGGTCTGCTATTGACTCGCGGCGGATGAGCTGAGGTAGATTCGTGTGCAATTGTGGATCGCTCAATCTGTGCAGCTCGAGCAAACCTGCATTTGACAGAGGAAATTAGTACCAATGCAGTCCACATATAACGGCCTAAAGGATTCACGTACCCTGTATCTCTTCCTTCAAGCCCATGATGATGGCCAATTAGCAAACAGTTGCTCTTGTCCGGGCAGGTTGGTAGCTCCTCCGTAGCGATACCTAGGCGCAGGATGTGAATAGTGGCAGAGCGTCCGCAACACGATATAACTAGGACTGAGACGAGGTGACAAGACAGAGCATGTACAGCCCGAGCCCGTATCTGCGTCAGGCTGTGAGGTCGATGTTCCGATGAGGAACGTCTGAGAAGAGAAGACGGACCAATGTTAGAACCGCCACCGGCGGGACGATTCGGCGTGGACCTGCCTTGTAGGCTATGGCTAGATAGCACTCATCATAGCATGCATGCCGTAATCTCCATGAGGCAGGAACGTCACGAGGGCCACGAAACCTGTTACATGTACAGCAATGGAGAGCAAGGCCTAGGAGATCATCTCCTATGGGAGATTAGGTGCACCATTGGGCTAGATATCTGCTTACATGATGACACGGTCGATAGATGTATTGGGCCCGAAAGGAAATTCGATCATCGTGCCATACTAAGTTTCTGCATATCGGATCTCTTCACAACTCTGAGCGTGCAGTAAGAACTCAACATGAACAACATACAGGCAGGGGTGGTGATCTGTAGACGTCACGGTGAACTGGTAGACTCAGAAGAACCAATGATCCTTGACCAATCCTGCGCCTCTCATCATAGCCATCATTCGCTCCCATGCTTTCGCCACGGCCCCGTCTTGACGGAAATCTTGTACATATTTGCTCGGTGGCATGAGCCCCTCCGAGAATGCTGTGACCGAGCACAAATTCTTCGCGGAAGCGCGCCTGAAGAGTTCCGCTACGAGGTTCACATCCGAGTCCTCGTCATAGACCACCTTGAAGGCTAGTGCGCTGAGCAAACGTGGCCTATGCTCAACAGGAAGTTGCCGCAGGAACGTCTCAGCGCAATCCAAGTCGCAAGTATCGAAGAACTCCGACGAATATTCCGATATACGAATGCCCCAAAGCATGAAGACAATGTTTTCGGCTGCAAGTCTCGCAGAGGGGTCTTGTTCCCAACAGGACTGTATCAAGGGTGCCCAGATCCTGCTTGGAACTTCGACGGGGCCGGCCGGCCTACGACCCAACAGCACCTCGTACATCACAGCCAGCTCATTCTTGAGATCTGACCACGGTGGCTTGCCCGTGTATAGCTAGGTTCATATTTTTCATACGGCTTCAGCAGCAGCGACTCTGGAGCTCACCTCAAGGCAAACACACGCAAAGCTATAAACATCGCCAGAAGGCCTTCGAACGGAGCACCATCGTGCACCCAGCATGTGGGACAACGCCTCCGGGGGCATCCACCGAAGCGACCCATTTGCAATAGACGGCGGAGAAGTCAAAGTGCACGATTCCATAAAATTACTGATGCCGAAATCCGTGATGCAGGCACGCAGATCTGAGTCGATGAGGATGTTCGCCTGGAATGGTTAACTTCAGAAGTTAAGTAGTAAAGACAGCACTTACGCCTTTCAGATCGCCGTGGACGAGTTTTCGATTTGGGCCGTGCAGATATGCAAGGCCCGTCGCAACATCTAGTAACTGTCCAGCCATTTGGAATCAACAATTGCGCAGTACGACGAGGCGTTCACATACCAGCTTAAGACGATCATGGTTAGGGTTCTTTTCCAGGAACTCCATGACATTGCCATGATAGCTCCACGGCGAGACCATGCATGGCCTTTTATCAAACAAATGGTCACAAACCCCGAGGAAGGGGAAGATGTTAGGGTGTGAGAGCTGTCTCCACATCATAGCCTCACGATGGAACTTCTGCAAGGAGGGTCAACGACTAACGGATGGAACGAGAGAGAAGGTAGTAGACCTTCTGTAGAAGGTCCTTCGTGTGGGCGTCGTATTGCTGGAATGTTCGCAAAACTTTAAGGGCAACCAGCTTCCCGTCCAGCGTCCCCTTGAATATGTCAGCATGGCCTCCTCCGGATATTGGGAACTGGTCATCGGTCTGTACGCCAATAAGGAATAATGCTGGGTGCAGGACCCGCGATTTGTAGGCGATCCTTCTGAGGCTCGTCTCCAACCGTGTACGATCTGGACTCTGATCTGGCTCTTCATCAATCGACTGTTTGGAAGGTTACACATCACATTTACGGCGAAAACGATGCCGGTGAATCATCCTACCGACCTTCTGCAGCAAGTCCAGGATCTGGCCTATAACATGTTCAGGCAGACGTATGATACCCTCTGAGACCGAAGCCAAACTGAGGAGCGCCTGGATTCGCTGGCCTGTGGAAGCATCGTTCAGAGCAGTACTTCGACCATGAAGCACAGCTACGTCAGATAAAGTTAGCCCGAGTCTCTATTCATGCCGTAGATGATACGCCGCCCTACCTAAGAGCTCTGCAGGTGCAAGAACGTGTCCCTCGAACATTCCAGCGCTATCTGCGTGACAATAAGTGCAACCGCGATGATCTATGTTGTAGCAGCGCAGCCTATCGCACGGGAGACAGCTTCACCATGCTGTGGAGGAGGGAGATTATATCGAACGGCGGCGAGAACTATCACAGGTCTCGATTATTTGACCTCCACAGCAAAGCAGGGCCATCTCGAACATCTGTTAGTATGACGGCACCCTTAGCACCGCCGCACCAGACACCACGCTTCTCTCTGGGCGCCTGGGGCGGAAAGATCGACATTTTAGCGTACACAGCAGACAGATTATTATCACAAGATGTAATTCATCTACCTATTCTGAATGATCTCGCCGTCATTACCCGGCGCACCGGCAGTACACACAAGTCATCAAATGCGCATCGAGGACCGAGGCGCTCGAGACCTAGAGCGCTAGCAGTTTGTGAGGCAATTCGATGGCAGGCTGCACAGCAGATCCTGAGACGTCGCACTGTTCAGCGTCGCGGAGGAGGTCCAGCAGCTCAGCAATGGGATGCAGCGTAAAGATTCAGATGAGAACAAGAGCAACGCGGGCGTCATTAATATTGGCGGCTTGTCATTGTCAAGTGCATTTGTGGGCGCTTGGGGGTCCATCTCGGTCTTCGGACCGCGCCTCCGACGCATACACAAGCACAACGCATATGTATTCGCATTCGAAAGTGCATAAGACGCATAAACCCTATGATACATGTGGCCAACCGAAGGCGAATAAAAAATTAATAATATAAAACGGACAAGATCGCGAATCCAGAGGAGAGCGTAGCACTGCAATAACTGGGGTGTAAGCACGCGCGACACAGCAAGGGGAAGAAGACTAGTGGGGCACTGATCGCGGATAGGCCACGGGAAGTTGGTAAAGTATGTACGAGGACATAACAAGAAACCAAATAGATACACCGGGGACTGCCGTGGGAGGCGATGTGAGCAGCCGCACTTGGGTGGCCAGCGTGCACCCATGCGAGGCCGGACCTATCAAAGGTCCCGCGTGCTCTGCCGCCATGGACGTATGAGGACGAACGTAGGAGCTCGTAGGTAATTGTATGCAGCGCGATGGTGCAGTCACCTAGATAGCCCTCGCGAATGGGGCCCCGGCGGGCCCGCAAAGTAATCCTAGGGCCCGCAGTACGGGGATCGAAGGGGGGCAGCGAAGGGAGGTGGACAGCGGCCCGAGGAATCTTCAGCCAGCGAGAACTCAACTCGGGCGAGTCCACACTCGGCCATAGCAGGTCAGACGGGTCCGCACAGACGACCCCGAGGAATCATCGCCAGCGAAGACACGACTCGAGAAACCCAGAGTCCTATCGCGATCTTCCCTGCGCCCAACCCCTGTCCACCGCTAACCCGCACATACACTCGCTGCAGAATCAACTCAACCCGCGCCCGCCGCTCAGAGGCCGCCCAACATCCCGAGCGCGATGCGCAGCTCCTTCCGCGCGGTCTCCACGTCCTCGTAGTCGAGCGCCGAGATCGCGTACCGGCAGTGCTTCTGCGTCTGCGCGATCACCTGCGGACTCACCTCCACCGGCTCCGGGGGCGCGGGGGGTAGAATAGGAGGAGGCGGGGGCGGGGCGGCATACGCAGGCTGGGAGGGCGGCGGCGGCGGTTGGAAAGACGCAGAAGGTCCGGCGGGCGACACGGGCGAGTGCGAATGCGTAGGCACGATATTCTTCGGCACAAAGCCCGGCGGCAGCGGCACCCCGTCCACCACCGCGCCCGGTATCGTCGGCTCCGCGCCCACGAGGCCCGGCGGGGGGACCACGAACCCCGCCTGTCCTTGAGCCTGTGCCTCTTCCGGGTCGTACAACGTGCTCCCGCCCTCGCTTTCCGTCAGCCCGCCCGTGACGGACGGCGTGAAGTGCACCCTCTTCGGCGTCGGCGGGGAGGGCGGCACGCTCGCCTTCGCCTCCCCCGCGCCCTTGTGCGCGATGTCCAGCCCGCCGCCGTCGGGCGCGATGCGCTCGCGCGGGTACGCCGCGCCGTCGTCGCCCAAGTGCACCTCGGTGCCCAATCCCGACGTCTTCTTCGCAGACGGGTCCCAGCCCACCACCGCCTCGGTGCTCCCGGGGGTCGCGACGGTGCTCCACGCGGGGCTCCCGGGGCGCGCCGGGTCCTGGAGGTGCTTGGGGATGTGGCTGTGCGGGACGGGGTGGGTGTACGTCGCAGGCTCGGTCGGCGGGGAGATGGCGTTGGCGCGGTGGATGTCCTGTGGGTTCATCTTCGGCGAGGGGGTCTTGCGCGGGGTGCGAGTCGGGGAGGAGGACGAAGGGGATTTTGGCGGGGAGCCCGGCGCGAGTTTGGGGCCTGTGGTGGATGGAGAGGGGGAGGCGTAGAGTGTGCTTGTGGTGGTTGTGGACAGGGGAGGAGAGGCGGGTTCGGATTCGGGTTCGGGTTCGGGTTCGGGTTGTTGTGAGCCTGCGGGCCCCGGGGTCGGTTTGCGGCCTTCGCGGAAGGCTTTGGCTATATCCGCGGCTTTCCATTTCGCGTATCGAATCTTTTCATCATGCTGAGAGCGAAATCGTTAGTGTGTGCAGTCGTAGATATGACAATGGACGTACCGTATCGGGAACTACAGACTTGTCGAAGATCTTGAGCATCTCGAGGAAGTTCGCGGCCGCCAAGAACTTCTTCGCCGTAGCCCTAGTAGCCATGCCCCTGCGATCCTCCGAATCCGCGCCCTCAAACACCCTTAAGCCAAAGTTCTCGACGTACGCCGCGCTGGCGGCCTCGTCCTCGACCGCGTCCGCGCCGCCGGCCTTGCCGAGGGTGTTGACGACCTCGGCCTTCATCTTCTCGAGGAGGGAGAGGAGGGCGAAGAGGTAGGTGCGGGCGGCGGGGGCCTTGGACTTGAGGGCGATGCCGGTCTGGGCGGCGGTGTAGGCGCACCAGTAGGACATGATCGGGTCGCGCGAGGAGAGCTCGTCTGCGCGCTGGACGTAGGGGATGATCGCTTTCAGCTCTGGCGGGACGGGCGGGAGCCCGAGGTGTGAAGTAGTAGCCATGCTCGAGCCGAGGGCGTCAAATGGGACAAAGAGAGCCAAGAGCTCGGATAGGGAAATGAGAGATGAGATCAAGGCTAGCGTAAGAAACGCTGGAGTTCGACTTTATACGCGAGGGGCGTCGTGTTCAGCCTGCAAAGCTCCGCAGCGGGGCAGAAATGACCTCTGTGCTAGCGCGCGGGTGGCGTATCCGTGTATTGTTTGGAAGAGGTGGCCGGACGCGTTGAAGCAACGTGTTCTGGGTGCACGCTTCTGTATGGAGATTTTCCGTCCGAAAAGAGCAGTCCAAGTCAGACGCCGTAATCCCTGTCCCGCCCACTATCCGATCGCGCAGTACAAGACTTTGTTTTCTTGCTGAAAAGTGATTGATGGATAGGTCGATTGCACTCGATAACAGCAGTCCAGTCTAGTTCAGTCCACGATTTGTCGTCGCTGGCCTTCCTCCGTGGCTGTGCATTTCACGTGGACTCGCCGGATGCGGAAACTTGTCGGTCCGGGTCTCCTCCACCTTGACCTCTTCCCCGCCAACGACTGGCAGCTGTACTTGCAATGGATTCACCTGTCCGGATGTTGTAACGCTCGGTATTACGTCTGCGTATGAGGGATTGCTCCAGTGTGCCATCGTCATCTCCATCATATGCCTCTTGTCAGTTGTGTGCGCGGAAGGATCAACCTCCCGACGCTGACGTTCTCCTTCCGTATCAACCACGTCGTGCCCCTTCACCCTGGTTACTCATTCTACAAACCCCATACCCAGAGACTCTCGGGCGCTCCGTTTGTGCTGTAAATATGGTATCGTTATCAATATGAGGAATGCGTTGTTCATTCGACTTCATTGGTAATTCATCAATGCGCGCCGCGCACTTGCACTTCATCCTCAGTACTCTATGCCTTTGCAGCAGTCTGATACCCTAGCTTGGGACCAATGTTATGCGAGGGTCCGCTTTCATTCGTGCATTTACACGTCGACGTCCAGAACCGGGTGAGCTGCCTACCTCATCCCCCTTGCGTTATACTATTCTGTCATGCACCGACCAGCAGTCTTTTGGGCAGCCCTGCGCGATGTGCGTCATGTCCTTCGAACTCGCAGTCTATCAGACGGCAGGCAGCGCCTTCCGGACAATGTCCTAGTCTTGGGCTCGTCATTAATAGCCTCGAGGTCTCACCAACCCGGCATCAAGAAAACTTATCTTTGACCTTGGCCAGTTTTTACGCTCGGGTCTGGCTAGCCCCCAGCAGCCTGCCCTTGCTTTTCATCTTCTATGCGCCCAGGCTTGATCCAATCCGTAGCACAGCACCGCTGAGGGTACATATGATTCACATGTGCGTCTTATCACTTGCGCGTTGTGTTCGTCTGATATCAATCAAGAGTCGGAGACGAACCTTACCTCGCGCAGTGTCTGCCAGTGCCACGTTTGAGATGTTATGAGTGCCTGGAATCTCCTGGGCTTCTCCTTCGCTGCCTTCGAACCATCCGGACACGGGTGCGTCTATTGGATACAGAGCCCGCACGTCACCCATCGTGGAAGCTACAATTAGACACTCTCAAGGGCTTGTCCAACGCCAAACGCGACAGCTCGTCCATCAGCATCAGGGCCACTGAAAGGGATGCCGAAGGGGTGTATGATACGGGCTATAAGAATAGGTCCTTCGGTGGGTGCGTAGTCTCCTATGTTCCTTCGGTCTCCCGTTGGCGATCACGCAGGGGCACTCGTGGTCCATAGACCGACCATGCAGATGAAGGGCTGTCATTCATAGGTGCGAGACTCTCTGTCACTCGCGCGTTATCTCCGTCTGGTATGCCTCAGTACCGCAGTCGGAGTCGAACGTTGTTCTATGCAGTGTTGCGACCGCCCGCGTGCAAGATGCTATGAGTGCTTGGAATCAATATCTGACCGGGATTCCTCTTCCCTGCCTTCATAGTATCGCACGCTGTGATGCAAACGCCACTCTCAATCAGAGAAGCTGTATTTATAGGTCCTCGAGCACTTTCTCAGCGCTAAATGCGACAAAGCTCTCTGTCACCATCAGCAATCACGGGTGCCAGTGAAGGAAATATCAAAGTGGCGTAATGCATGATCTTTCGCTATGAAGATACTTATCTCGGTATGTCTCGTGTCCTATGTGATTCTTCCGTGTCATGTTAGATTTAACAGACGTTCAGGGGACACCATCTTTCACATCCACAGACCACAGATTCATGTATCGAGTAGAGTGATCACGAGCTTCCGCCGCACGTTCTCCGGCACGTATCATTACAGCACTTCGACTTACGACATCTATCAATAAAACTCTGCACATGTATTTTACACCAAGGTGCTGTATATAGTTCCTGCTATCGCTACAGCCTCGACTGATGATCATCTCCTACATATAGCAGCTCGTTCATCCATCGCAGAATACGCAGCAACCAGATTCTGCCCAACTCCCAAACGCCACCTATGATCAGCAATTGAATGCGTCAGTTTCTGTTCCCACCGCCGACAGCATCATGATGCCCCCGGGCACGTCGCGCTAAAGCACCTGGCGAACGAGTACGAAACATCAAATGCTCCATTGATATTGTATATCTCATTCATCTCGACGTGACCCCGCCTTACTCCCCTGCCCCCTCCCCCCTTTCCCTTCGCGGTCGTGCTATGGGCGACATACTCGTATCTTCGTTCTGGCAGGATGAGTCCGCTCAGTATTTGGCCGTGTCCGGCGTGGCTTTGGTCATGTGGGATTATTGTACGAGCTTCGACGTAGAGGTACGTGGTGTCTTTGTGAAAGGGGCGGGATGGTGGGCTTATATGTTTCCTGCATCCTAGGTAAAATATTTTTGGAATGGCGAGTGGAGCTTGTCGCGGGTCCTGTTCTTCCTGGTGAGTAGCGTATCCTCCAGTCGTGCTTTAATGCGGTGTCATCAACGTCGGCCGCGCTCTCCTTGGACAGAATCGATATATAACACTGGCTACATTCATGTAAGTACTATAATAACCCCCTTTTCTCCCCCGCTGATATTTACCAAGTAAGGAGATATACGGTACCGCGCGACCTCTTCGCTCCCGGCTACTCGTCTGCTAACGATTCCTCTCAGTGCTAGGAAGCCAAAGTCGTCATCCACCAGTAAGCGCAGCGTGAACGTTCGTGTCTATGACGCGGCTTTGACCAATCACGCAGATGTAAGACGAAGTGGACCTATCCATGATTCGACGTAGCGCTGAGTACCCGATCGTAGATGGAAAGTCCTGATAGTCTGCACGGGCCTCCTGCTCTCCATCATCCAGGGTGAGTTTGCTGCCCGTTCGACATTCGACGGTGGCTCAAGTTAATGCGTGCTGCGCAAAGCCATGCACACCTTACGGCTTTGGTACCTCTCCGCGAGATCGAAGCCGCTCAGAATCGCACTCGTGCTCACTTTTCTTCTCTTCGTCATCTCGCAAATGCTCGCGTCGATATATGTCGTCGTCGCTTTCGGGTCACCCCAAGGCCTTGCCAACAAGGACCTAATAAGATCCATCACCATACAGCAGAAAGCGTGGCTGCCTGCCGTTATCGTGCATGCGATTCTGTACGGTTTGTGCACGGCGCGGACGTATATGCGGAGGTCGGGGCTAAAAGACGAGGATGCCATCAGAGATCGTGTCCTGTTAGAGTAAGCGTCTTTCCATGAGACTTGCCCGCAGCCGGTTTAATATCGTTCTGTAGGGGTGCTGTATTTTTTGTAGTTTTATTTGGTGCGTCAAGCAATCTAAGTCGGTCCGGCGCGTGTGTCCATTCGCCTTTCTGACTATCGCACAGGCGCACTCCTGATATGCGGCGTAGGCGGTTTCGACGCCAACACTACAGTAAGATGATTCACCCCCATCTGGAAAATAGGCTGCGAATTCATCATTTTCCTGCCAGGTGGAGATACGTGCTGTATACTCGAAGTGAGTAGTGAAGCACTACGTCTCCCATCACCGCTACAACGACGTGGCCTCTCTAGCTTCGTGACGGCACTCATGTCAGTGTCAATGTCCCGTCTGATGCTCAGCATCCGTTCTCTGTCAGTCTCCCTCGGGACTGATCCGGATTGGCTCCTCAGCCACCTGGAGATGAGCAGGCTGCACTGGACGAAAGGCGCACGAGACGGCGAGCTGATCGTCGAGGTGGGGGTCGGGCGGACGGAGGATGAGTATGAGTTGCAGACGCCTAGTAGTCATGGCATGTCTCGCTGTACGACACATGCACCCTGATATGATCACCATTGCGTGTCTGGTCAATCAATTGGAAGTGTAAAAGTATGTCAGGCCAGTGGCAGCACATTGAGTTATATTCGGACTGGCCACAGATATGTCCACCCCGAGCCTTTGAATGGTCGTTCAGGTGAGCTGCGGCGTTGTACGAGAAACCTAAAATAATGAGCTGTTTGTGGGACTCATCTTTGCTGTTTAATAGGTTCCCCCAGGATGGTATCACTGTCCTGAACTGGGAATTACAGTAGAGCTTTGGGGCCATTCCAGCTTCAACGAGCCAAGGGATAAACCCTTTCCGACATGTGATCTATTCAGCAGGCTTGAACTCTCCGAAGGTCTCGGATGGGAGGCAGAGACCGGTAACTTGTATCCCATCGGTCTATGTAGGCATTGTTACTTTGCAGATCATCAGCTCGTTCCCTGTCATTGGCTCCGTATCCTGCTACTTAAGCCAATCGCCCTCGATCCATACTACTCCCCTAACGAACTTCATATCCTTTAGCTTGTACTGGGCATCAATGGGCTCTACGCGCCATCTTGTCCAAGTGCTATTCAATGACACCACCGCGGTGTCACTGATCATGACCGGCATAACACTGTCCTTATGGGATCACTGCATCTGAATCACACTGCACGCTGAAGTAGGTCGCTTTCAAAGTGTATGCTCCTTGCCGTTTGTCTCAAATCGGCCCGACAGGTGAAGTACTTCTGGAAGGGCACTTGGAGCTTACCCCGGATCATGTTCCTTTTAGTGAGGCATGCAGTGCGCTAATATTCACCTACTCATTGCCTCTTGATGTCGACAGAACCGGTATACCTCGTTATTCGTTTTTCCTGTGAGTGTATGATTCGTGCGCGGATGTTGTACGATAATTAATTGACGTCATTGGCTCGCAGACTTGAAACCTTCGGTGCGTTTTTTTTGTTGCCTTGCTGATCACGAAGTGACGTCTACAAGTTTTCGCGTCAGGAGATCAATCGCAACCAGTGAGTAGAGGGAACCTTTTTGTATGTTGTTTGAACTCATCGACCTCGTCGGAGCAGACGTGAGCCATGGTTGAACTTTCCCGTTCCATTTTGCCTAGTTTGCCCCGCAGCTGGGCGGTGCTCATCCTCGCCACCGGCCTACTACTCTGCCTACTGCAAGGTTCCGTGACCTCCATCGACGACGTTATTTTTTGCGCTGATTCTTGCCTTTGTATTGCCCACTAACTTCTCAGCTATGCATACCTGACGGCTCTGGTATCTGTCGTCAGGGTGATACACCATCAGATTCGCTCTTATGGCCACGCTTCTGCTATTCACTGTCTCTGCGTTCCCTGATCTCGGGAACGTCGTAGCGAGCTTCGGGTTCAGTGAAATCCGTGCGCAAAGCAGGAATATCCAGCGGAAGGCTTGGTTCCCGGCTATCCTCCTGCAAGGCGTGCTGTACTCTATCGTAGTCGAACGTAGATTCAAGGGGAACCGCGGCAATGTCATATCGTCGCGTGTCCTATTAGAGTGAATTTACGTCTACATGTCTGTGCAATTCGTCTGAAGGCATTTCCCCTGGTCCCAACCTGGTCTAGAGGTAGTTTATTACTCGCCATCATGTTCGGTTAGTCTCCAGCGGCAGCTTCATATACCGGAATCATCACGCATGTCACTCGCCTCTGCAGCGTCCTTGGTATTCTGTGTCATTGGTGCCTTTATCCCGTTGTCACACTCAACGGTCATGGTATGTGCAGCACACTCCCTACCGGTATCACGATGGAGTCGACCTTAACTTTATCAGCTGTACGCCCGCGGCGGTATACGCGAAGTACGTGCCATCCACCATACACAATGTCAGCACCTCAGGCGCGATCTGCGTGACAGCTTTACCGCAGCTATCATGTCGGCATCTATGTGCCGTCTTATGCTCAGCATACATTCGTTGTCAGAAGGGCTCGGGACGGACCCACAGTGGCTTCTCAGCCATTTGGAGATGAGCCGTATACAATGGAAGCAGGGATCCCGGGAACGTGAATTGCTCGTCGAAGTGCAAAACACTGAAAATGTCGAAGTAGAGAGAACACCCACGAGCGACGGACGTGCTTCAACGAATCGACGAAGCACACGCATGTGTTAGACAATACCGGTGATATGTTTCAGTTAGGACCGAGTAACTGGGCACACGCCGTTCCTTTCTCGTACAATTGAATATATACTTCAGAAGTCAAGGATATTGCGATGGTCCGGTATGGCTGTCGCATAGGATAGTACCTCCCGCCCCGCGCCACAGATCCCCTTCCAGGAAGATAAAACGGTTGGATTATTTGACATAACCCGAAAGTACCAACAGGTGTTATGTGTAGCGTCGATGTTAAGTCACCACTCACACGTAGCCTAGTAACCTCCCAGTGTTTGTGCGTAATATGAAAAGTTGCGAAGGCGGGAATGACGAAGCCTGTTTATAGCTTCATGTGTGGCTTCTTCGCGAAACGAGTCAGGTGTTGGTCTTGGGCAAGCCGATCTCGATAGACGCAGGGCTGTCTATGAGGACGGGATGGTCACTCCCGAGCTGAGTAAGGAATATTGGCGGATGGGGCTTCTCCGGACTTGCATCAGCAGCAGGATCAGCAGCCGCTACCCGAGGAGATGAGGTTATAGCAGAGGCGGAAACGGTTCCTTTGGACAGCACTGAAGGAGTCGATGGACGGGAAGTCAAAGGCCCAACGTCGTACCCGCTCGACGGATCTGCATCTGGAGGTGCAACAGGCGAGGTAGTCGGAGTAGGCTGGACCGTGGAAGCATTCCCGCCCGATGCTGTAAAGTCAATCGTAGGTGTCCGTAACGAGTGGAAAGTAGTGACCGCTTGGGAGAGTTCATCCAGCTGAAGGGAACCATACACGTTATGTCTCAGCCAAGTCAGCAGAAGTGTTGACTGAAGTAGGGGTTTGTTCACCTTCTTCATAATGTCATCTATAGCCTCCTTGCGCCCCATAAACTTGTCAGCCAGTCTGTCAAATTCTTCGTCTTTCGCCTTCCTCTTCTCCTTATCGGAGTCAAGCTCGGGTTCAGTCTCGCCCTCACCCTCAGTGTCCCATACAGACTCGCGCTCCCTCAGTCGCAGTGCTGCTGTGGCAATCCTTTCATCCTTTCCTTTCCTGTGTCTCTTGTTGTCAGGCTGTCCAATCTTTTCCATGGTGACATGCATAGCAGCAATGTCACTCTGTAATTCACGGATACGGGAGAGATGGCTCCATAACTGGTCTCTGGTAGCTTCCGGATCTTCCAGAGCAGTGTTAACCGGCGAATGCATTGTTCCTAAGGGCGCACCAGTGAAAGGATCGTACATAGTCTCTGGAACAGGCGTAGGCGCCGCTGTAGACGGTGAACGAGAAGGGGTTTGGTCGTTTGGTACCGAGCCATGCTGGGCACCCACACTGGATTTCTGCGACGATATAGCAGTTTGACCGCCACCAGATAATTCCGCTAGAACAGCGTCATGGGGGTTTGACAAAGCAGCAGGGGCAGCACGTTGAGACACGCCTTCGCCGGCCTCGCGGGATACGGAGGACCTTCGCGGCAGTGCAGAGGAGTCGAGCGTATCAGTCCCAGCGCTGCTTTCCCTATGCCCTCTGCCGGCAAACCATGAACCAAGCATTTGTCTCGAAGAGTTGTCAGACTAGGACCGGAAGAAGAGTTTACAGAACAAATACCGTATTTGGAATCACGACATACGCGTCGGTAGGTTCACGGATTCCCACGATTACTCCGCTCCGCTTGCCGTCAGTAGTTCGTCCGCTCAGCGTCATTGGCACCCACCGATGTTCCTTCTCCAACGTAGCACCCAGCACATTGCATCATGCCCAAGGTCATGGATTACTTAACCCCTCGTATAAATACAGCTCGTTCGTCCGTCCGTATCCCTTATCCGAGTCACCCTACGCTACTACAGCTACTACAGTAGTATTACATTCGCAAGATGTGGATTGCGCATTACGCCTCAGGTGCGTCGACCTCTTCAATTAAATTGACGATTCATTCATCAGTGAGCATCTCCCAGGTCTCGTTGCCAAACCATTTGCTCCTGGTGTCCCGCTCTGGCTCCTCGCTTTAGCCGGAGCTCTGCCTGACGCTGTGTTTTTCGTGCTGAATTTCCTCGGTATCGAGTCTTTCCAAGTAGATCCCGGTCTGCAAAAGAAAGGATGCTTCCCATATGCTACCGACTATCCTTACAGCCACTCTTTGGCTGGGATGTTTGTAGTAGGTGCGTATCAACTTTGCCATTCTATTCATTTTGTGTTTACGATATTGGCCTGCAGGTGCAATTTTAGCCGCTGTCTACAAAACCCAGACAAGGCGACAAGTATCATTCCAAGACTTGGCGGTGATCACCCTCACCTCAGGCAGCCATTTCCTGCTCGAGTGGCCTTCCCACCGCGCCGATGTCAAAGTCATGCCGCATGACAATACCTCCTTCGGCGCTGGCCTTTTTGACCATCCAGGTCTCATATTCGTTTCGGAGACGCTGATATTCCTCGCCGGGCTATGGGTGTACACTAGTTTCGCCCCGTTGGCTACAAGGTCCGGTTATAAGCAGAACATGAACTGGTTCTGGGCCGTCATTGGCGTGATGGTAATGCAGCAGGCCCAGTTTAGTCTGAATGCGTAAGTATTTCGGGCAGCGTTTGCATTAAGCTTGTAGGCTCATATAAACTCCCAGGGCTCCGACGACGGAAACCCGATGGGTCCATGCACCAGCGTTCCTGGGTGAAATTCTGGGGAGTGCCTGGCTACTGGGGAAGCTCGAAGGCTGAGTTTGGCCACCATGACCCTTGACTCTATAGTGGCCGATCCGGAGTAATCGAAGTTCTGTGTCTGTTGTATTATTCTTGTACTTTACATACAAACGCAATGCAGTTGTTTCAATATACGACATGCTTCTCGGAACATGTTCAAGAAGAGCCCGATGCACATCAATGACCTTCTTCAACCCACGAGCCGCTCTACTAGCACCCGCGTCTGCGGCTGCCATACAGTATAGATAATGGCAATTCTTCCGTAGATCCCTGACCCTTTTTGTTTGACATATCAAAGTTCGTAGCATCTCTGAATCAGTGCTCATGCTCACCGCCCGACTACCTTCGGGAGGGCGGTTAGGCCTATTACGAGAAGGTAATGTGCCTAACGGTGTCACGTACCCTGCGGCAACGGCAACGACAAGCGTCAGAATATCTTTCCCAGTGAGAGCATAGGTCCTCGTTGATGTTGGACAGAGCCTACTGTAAGTTCAAGCCTGGGCACAATTTCTGTGCAGTTGTACGAGGGGTGCTATTTAGCTATTATTCCAGAGAACTATCGTGGTATGTACTAGCGCGTAGATATATTGGAATAACAATTCAAAAACTTCGCCGGTGTGCCCTAGGTGTGATTATGTCTACTTCGCCGGAAATCACCAATGACCAAGCTCCACGACGTCGGTGTCGAAGCCTAGCTCGAGCCACCTATCTACTCCAGGGAACCTCTCCGCGTTCCCCCTCAAGCCTACATATCCCGCCTGGTCGTACACGCGTGCGGCAGGATTGCCGTGTGAGACGTAAAGCACAACGGCCTGCTTGGTCTTCAGAAGGCTAATTGGAAAGAAATGCACATTAGACAAGTGTGGCCCGTAGTTATGAACCTAGGGAAACTTACTGCTTAGTGACCCTCCTAACCAGCCTCAGAGCACATCCTCTTTGCCTCCACCTCGGGTTGGTGTATACCTTAGTTATAGCGGCAACATTTGTCGAGACCCGGGTGAACGCTACGATCGAAGCGATGTCGGGCTCTCCGCTCTCGTGCCTGATCTCATGCACCCACACTTGTCCATCTTTAACCAGCATCCTTGCCTCCTCCAATGCTCTCTCAAACGTGAGGAGGAAAGGAGGAGAGGTCTCGCTAAAAGCTTGGCATAGCTCGGCGATGACCGGCACGTCTCTGTCAACCGCTGCACGAAGGGAGACGGAGAAGCCATCGAGCACGGTCATGGTCTTGTTGATGAAGGATTTCGCCGTGCAGTACGTGAACGTCGCTGCGTAGTACTTTGGCGAGCGAGCGAGTCGCACACCAGCCACTTGGGACCAAATAGCAGCAAAAATTTCTGTCACTGGCTCCGGGGCGAAGATTGAGAAGACGCGCTCCCGACTGACACCTGCCCCAAGTAGTTCATGGACGAGGGCTGCGACAGCAGGGCGGGTATAGTCGAAATCGAGTAATTGAGAGAACGGCGCGGAAGCAAAAATGAACACAGGATAGGGCCCCATCGGCCCCTCCGTACACGAAAGAACGAAGTCAAGAACACCGTGCCTCTGACAAACAATCCAGAGTTGGTCTCGAGGGAGTGGGTCGTTGTGCCGTTCCTTCTCTATGGTTTTCAATAGATGAGGCAGAATAATGTTGGCGGGGCCCTCGACAAGGCTATCGCTCCGTAGAAAGTCGAGTATGCCGTGAGGAATGGAGGACGGGCTGTGGTAGGATTGGGCGCTGATGTGGTCCCCAATCAGAGCGCTCGGAATCGGCATGTCGAGGATGTAGTTGGGGAGATGGGCGGCGACGAGGGTGATGGTAGCTTCGAGTGGGACGACATCCTTTATAATACCCCGGCAAGCTATGAGAAGCTCTGCTGGTCTGTGTGCACAGGCAGATAGAGGGTGTATCACAAGTATGAAGTCCGTTTGCTCCCGCGGGGTCAGGTGTTACAAGCTATGGACGTCATGGACGCAGTGAAGTTGAACTTGGTATAGCTAGTAAAATCGCCCCGGTCTGACCTTGTTCCCAAAATTCAGAGAGCGAAAGTTTCATCGTCAGATGCCGAGACGCTGGATGTCAACATGTCAGCGGCGCAAAAGGGGCCTAGTGGGGAGTGCATCTGGTCGCACACAAAGAGCCATGCCACCCGCTCTCCCGGTGAATCAGCTGTGACTTAGCAACGCGCAATCAGGCTTCCAGCGGCTTTCATGGCAAAGTGATGGTACATACTGGCGCACAGGAAGCGTGGCTTGAAAGGCCAGTGGAGCCCGCTGGCATGCGCCGAACCGTCCAGCGCCAGCTGCGGACACCTGTCTCATGTAGATATGCGGTATACTTACACCAGCGCTACAGGAGGACGGTACTCCGCAGATTTTCGCTCCATGAAGGAAAGATGCGAGTTACACCGTTTGTTGGTACAGCACTTAAGCAAGAGCCTTGGTATGCGTTTGATCAGAGGATAGCAACGTATAGCCTCACGTAAGATCCGATTTACTCGAGAAAACAAGGCAAAATGACTTACTTCGTTATAAGCGCCTGGGCTGAGCGCTTGATGCACTTCTTTCTCGTGAGCCCATGGCATCCATAAGAGATTGCGTCCACAAACCCCGTGGTACCCGGCCTGCAGAATTGCTTTACATTCCCGTATATCCGTTCATCAGGGAAGCAATATCGACCAGCGCCAACTACCCCCCCAAGCCGTGGTCGTATTGAAACCTGGTCAAAGGGAGGGAGGCAGACTGCCACAAGCTGTGTCATCCCGCGATTATGGGGGGAACCTGAAGAAGCTCGACTTTCGAGTGCACATCAGCTGGAGTATCGGGCCGCCCTCTTTCAGATGTGAAGGAACCGGAGTCGTCCTGATCGTTAACCTGAAATTTTTGGCAGAGCTGTGAGTATACGCGCGAGGGCCACACTGCAGGTGCTGTATCCCCGTATCCAGCAAGTTCCGTCCTCAATACATTCCGCGAGGGTTGGAAAATCGCTGAGATAACGGACATTGATGTTCGCATGTCGTCGAACTTACAAGGAGAGGGCGTGCGAACGCGGCGCCAGGCGAGATCGAAATCTCGTATAGGCGATGTGTCAAAACCTTCTTCGCAATCACCGCGACGTATTGATATGAACTGGCATAACCGCGAAGTACATTCAGCGTGCGAGGTGCTCCCTGCATGCCAGGTATATGTATATGTAAATTGGTGGCAGTACTAGTACGGATACGTCATAATGACAGTTCCATAAACAGGGTGTGTGGCTATCAGTACATTGCAATTATTGTACGGTATCGGGTATGTCTTCATCTATGCTACATGACAATGTCCTAGGCCTAGTACAATTATGAATTGATGACGGGTCGATGTGGAATGAAGAGACATTTGTGGAAGCTTATTCTATACAGATTGTTTCGGGGTCAGATGTTCATTTTTGGCAATGATCAGTTCTCGTTCACCAATGTCCTAGTCGTGTAACCTTCGGGTCAAATCCAAGCTCGAGCCATGGGTCTACCCCCTCGTATTGCTCAGCATTGCCGCGCAGTCCGACGAAGCCGACTCTGTCGTAGACCTTCGCCGCAGGGTTCCCGTGCGACACGTACAAGACTACGCTCTCCTTCGTCCTCAGCAGGTGCTCCGTCACGGCTCTGACGAGACGCTCCGCGCAACCTCGCTGCCGCCACAGGGGGTTGGTGTAGACCTTGGTGATGGCTGCGACACGGTCACTCTCCCTGGTGAATGCTGCGATGGAAGCGATGTCCGTTGCGCAGCCACCTTCTGATATCTCGTGAACCCAAATCTTTCCATTATGAATAAGCATCCCCGCCTCCCGCCAGGCGGCCTCGTGGGACAGGATGAACGGCTCCGAGGTGGCCGCGAAATCTCTGCATAGTCGAGCTATCGCAGCCTGATCCTCCTCAACGGCGGGACGAATCTTGTACGACATCCCCTGCACATAGGTCATCCTGCGCTTGACGAACGTGCGACGAGTGCAGTGAGAGAAAGTGGCTGCGTAGTATTCCGGTTGTGATGCGAATTGTACTCCAGTAAATTTGCACCACCGCTTCGCGAACGCGACTGTGATGGGCTTGGGAGCGAATATGGAGAAAACCCGCTCGTTCGGGACGAGTTGATGCAGCCTGGAAGCCATCTCTTCTATACGGGGAATCATGTATGATTCGGCGAGTTGGGAAAAAGGAACGGCGGAGAAGATGAAGATGGGATAATCACCCAGGGGGCCTGTTGTACAAGACAAAATGAAGTCGACGGAGTGGGAGCCGTGCAGGGGTTGTGTGGTGCAGACTATCCAATATTGCCCGTATAATTGCTCTTTGTCAAGGCACTTCAGCGCGTGGGGGAGCATGATATTTGCATCGCGCTCGCGCAGGTTGAACGCGTCCCAGACGTATGGAGGGAACTGCGCTGGTGACTTGTACGAAGTCACGGAGTATATGGTGGATGTCGAGATTGGCATGACAGCGTACTGCGGTTTGTGTGGATGCGAGGATGAGGGGTATTGTTGAGTTGGTGATAGCCATGGTTGTCAAGGCCTGACTCTTATACTGTCAATGGACGCAGTGTCAACTGGTGGTTCAGCTTGCACAGGTACGTCCTGACTCTACCGTGTGACTCATTGATTTCCTGGCATTACTTGGAAACGACAGCTGCACAGGAAACATACCGAATCCGGTACGGGTGCGCCGTACACGATCGGAGGGCGGCGGGCGCACGCACGTACAAGGAAGGTCGGCTATATTGCTCCACGTCCAAGAACGTATGTGGACGTCGCGGTGCCGTTCCCAATGTTTGCAGTTGGCTGTGGGAGGGCTGACTTGCCATAAACGATGAGCATCCGTATTTTCGAGATGATATATTACAAACCTTGCTTCACTGTAAAACGCCCCAGAAAGGCAAGGGGCGGGTGATTCGATGTCGGCATTAGCTAGGGCTGACCAGAGTGCCGAACGTCTTCGTTGCGTTGACTCGGATGCAGAGCGTGGTTGCCAGTTTGGGGGGAGGGCGGTCACAGGCTGTGTATATGAGTCGATATGTATCATGCTATGGCAGGTCCATGACTCGGACGAGTCCCAGATGCTGTGAAGCACAGTCGCCCGGCCGTGAACGGGCCATCGACCAAACACTTAGCTGGCCGGGGGACATTGAGATTGGATTTGTTGCACAGTTGAGACAAGTCGCACATACATAGCCAGGGTCATACGCCACCTCCGGGGAATAGCCTTCAAGCTGCATTGACTCTGAGAGATTGGCGAAACATCAACTGCCACTGAGACACCAGATCTGATCCGATCTGATCTGATGGCAGATCACCTTGTAGCCACGTGTGGGATCTTTGGCTTCGCTTAGCATTCCCGGCCTTCACCCGCCACCGCGACAGCCTGCGCGTCTCCCATACGCTCGACAAATTTATTCACAACTTGCGCCATGTCAGAAAAGACGGCAAAAACACATACTGCTGTCTCTAATCGGGCTAGGGCAAAGCAGGCACTAGAGCGCAAGGTCGTCTACAAAAGCGTCCTGGATAACCCGCATCGAATTCAATGGTGACGCCCAACCTTTCTCGCTTCTACCTGTTCTTCTCAGACAGACATCCTGTAGGCCATCGATACCCATGAATATCGGGAATTCTCTACTCTCACGGGTGATTGCTCTACTTGACGGAGTTGCTTCGTATCATCTTCTGCGCGATCAAGTGAACAGGGCACGGAAGAAAGCTCGACGCCTAAACGATGGTACCAGCGAAGGAAGGCCCCCGAAGAAGGCGAAGAAGGATGGCATGCATCTTCTGGTTGCGGATTCCAACCAAGGCACAGATGTGACTCCTGGAGACTCCCAGGACATGAGCGCAAAAGGTCAGCAGGAAGAAGTTGAGAATCAGGAGGTAGCCTCCCCCGGTCCGCCAGCTGTGCTGCGCTTCTTGACCATAGGTGTGAATGAAGTCACCAAACGATTGGAAGCTCAAGCCATAGCAAGTCGTCAAGCCGTGACCAGCTCGAATGACGGGATAGCCGTTACTGCCGCGACGCTCCCTTCTCCGCTCCGGATGATCTTAGCTTGCTCAGCGGACATTGACCCTCCGATTTTGATCGGACATCTTCCCGGGCTGGTCGCAACATGTAATTCGGCTGCTCGCGGACCCACCCTGTCCACCCAGGGCACTCCGGCGCCTATCAAACTAGTCCCCCTTCCCAAGGGAGCAGAGTACGCTTTGTCAGAAGCCCTGGGGCTGCGCCGCGCCTCCGTCGTTGCGATCGATGTGCGTTCGTATTTACGCCCCAGATCTGGTGCGCGGTTAACGTATCCCTAGGCTGATGCCCCGGGTCTATCCATGCTCGATGATCTCATTGATCAAGTACCTACGCTAGCGGCGTCGTGGCTGACTCCGCAGTCGTTGGTCAATCCGGAGCAATCTCTGGTACCCACTCATATCAAACAGCTACGCACATCGGCACCGAAGGACATCAAGGCTGCGAAACAGAAACGCGCCGAGGGTAAAGCGGCTGCGAAGGAAAGGCAAAGGCGACGGCGGAAGGAGCTTTCCGACAGAAAGACTCGCTTGAGCATAACAACTTAAGGTGCAGAAGCGCCGTTGCTTCCCTGTTTCTGTCCATTGCCTTCCCTGCCGTCGCGAATGATCCTTGTACGTGCCTGTGAGCCGGTACATTCCGATATATGAGTTCCCTCCCTATTCCCTATTCATAGTAAGGAACACCGATGTATCCGTGCTTCGTACGTCTCTTTGCGGAGGAATTGTGCACTCTGTACCTGTGTTCACTCGCAATCTGCTGAGTACTAAGAGATATGAACAAGCATCCGAGTCGGCCTGAAGATGAGGTTCATTCCGTTCCAAGTTCGGCCATTCCTAAGCCCTATTCTAGGGGTACCGGGACATGCCGCGCTAATCGGCTGCCACTGGTACTGTACTAGCACATCACCTGTATATTGCCTGTATAGCCTAGAGTTCCCTCACGATTCACACGACTCTCTCATCGCCTTTCCAACATTGCAAGACGCGATAGAAACAAGCTGATGTTCGTTGCAATTGTAGGGACACGGTATTCAGGTAAAACGACAGTCGAAGATTACCTGATTCACCTGAAAGGCTTTACGTCCGTGCGTCTGATTGATGATGAGTCTCTGGTAGCCACATTTTCTTCTGGAGGACTCATGATGCCTTACCATGAGTGTGTAGGTGGGGAAAGGATTTACCGCCTCGAACAGCCTGAGTTATAACGGTCATGCCTCTGAACGAGACCTCGCTGTCCATCCGTCAGGGAATTCTGTGAGGCCCGGCTCTGACCCGATCAAATCTATGTCATTTAACCATGCTGTAGCCTCCAGACACCAGTGCACTTGGGCGGTTTGCAACTGCTGGAAATCAGGCACTGGTTCTGTCCTTCAGGACCCCGACGGAGCTCCTCGACCACGTCACTCGGAACTGGCGATCTGATTTTGTAACGACGGATATCACCTGTAGTGATGTATTGGAAAAGTTCTCGACAAGACCTTTCTTCCTTCTACTCAGCATCGACGCACCCCTGATGGACCGGTACCGGCGATGCAGTCAATCTTCTGGACGACCACTTGAAGAGTTCCTGCAAGAACACGATCACATTGTGTACGGAAATCATGCCAGTTCGCAAAGTGATCGGACAAGTCGACGTTCGTCCTTGAATGAGCTAAGGCATTTGGTGGACATGCACGTCGTCAATGCTTTCGACACTCTGCAAGCCTTCCATTCACATCTAGACGAGCTGAACATTCTTGACCGCAACCGCCTTCGTCCTCACTGGGACACATATTTTATGGTATGATTTATTAAAAGAATTCTCGTACCCCTTGACTTAGCCCTATTCACAGACACTAGCCTCACTTGCAGCGCAGCGGTCGAATTGCATGAAACGCCGTGTCGGAGCGGTTCTCGTCCGAGACAATCGAATTGTGGCTACCGGGTATGTAATTCTACCACAGGGACGAGTCTGCGCCTCATAACCAGCAGATAGTTACAATGGAACACCGCGTGGGGTGACAAACTGCAACGAAGGAGGCTGCCCACGCTGCAATAGTGGGCTTGAAGCTTTGGACGAATGTCTCTGTCTCCATGCTGAAGAGAATGCTCTCTTGGAAGCGGGGCGCGAAAGGGTAGGAGTCGGAGCGGTCTTGTACTGCAACACGTTCGTAGATCTCGCAGCAGCCACTACGATGTATCTGACACGTCATTAGGTGCCCTTGTCTGAAGTGCACAATCAAGATCATACAGACGGGAGTCACAGAGGTGATCTATAACCTGAGCTACAAAGTGTAAGCATGACATTCCTCGATTACATCCACATACATCATCCAAGTCGAACAATCTGCCAGGGATGACGCGTCCGCCAAACTGTTCGGAGAAGCAGGGGTGCAATTGCGAAGACACGCACCTCCTCCTTGATTACATGGCTCTATGGGGGAACAGTGATACTATGGACTGTCTTGCAGTAGTTCCGTCAGTATTATATTTGCATTGGTTTCAATCTGCCACCGCTCCTCCAGCATGAACCCTAGAGAGTCGTCTACCGTCCGCGATGTAGCCGATAGAACGAGCCAGACAGCATCTTCGTTGTTCTTCCCTATAGCTTTGTACAAATCGCGGGCGCACTTCTGAAGTTCGTTGTGGGCACCATTCGCCAGGAAGCGTCGAAAGGACATGATGACATCCCAAACCGCAGCGTCCTCGATCCGCACACCTCTAATGGCGGCAGTCATGGTCCTCAACAGTGCGCGGTACAGTCTGTGCGAGTGAGTGTAGGCGGACTCAGTCCCTATTGCATTCGGCCCTCTCCGAGCCAAGGCATTGGTGGCGTCCGCGGTCTCCAGTTTGTTAAGCATTGTACGGAACCGAGGCCATGCATCATCCCAGATTCGTCGCGACATAAACGAGCCCACATGCGTGGTAAGAGCTTCGATTAATTGGGCGGCTGCACTAACAACATAGGGCTCGGCATCCGATAGTCGGTTTAGCACAAAAGGCCATGCATGGTGGAGAGATGATAGCAGTGCCGATTCGGGCAGTACGGGGACAGCGGACGACAGCAACAACAGTATTCTGGCCCGAACACTGGGTACCCCATGAGTCAGGAAATATAGAGAACGGGACACTATTTGCTTTGTCAACGCCTGTGTCGGAGTCGGCGGAGGTTGTGCAGTGGAATCTGGAGATTTTGCTGACGGTCTTTCAGCATCCGTACTGTCGTCTTTGCCCCATGGTCTTCTCGGGGCCGGGCCGTAGTCAGTTGGATCCTCCCCCAGAGGTTGGTGGCGATGGTGGAACCACGTAAAGAATGCATCAAGGCGCTCCTTGCCGCGGTGCGGCGACGTCTGAAAATCTGGCTCGATACTTTTCGAGGCATGGGCCTCTTCGTCGGCTGCGATCACTTTGATTACTTCTGAAAGCACCTCCAGGAGACCTTCTACGACTATCTCGTATCCATGAAATTCATCGAGCCTGTCGAAACATTCCTCCACAACGTCGCCAGCTCTGCTGACGACATCCCGTCCAGCAAGGCGTATAAGCAGCATCAGGACCTTCGCGGCATCCATGTCCAGCCACCGGCGCGTGAAGCGACGTGATACGGCATCGAGGATGTAGTCGAAATTCGACAGGACTAGATTAGATGGCGATGCGAAGGAGGTGCTGTAGGTGATGAAATTCAACGCCACTGAAGCTGTCTCAGCCAAGTACGCATCTGTGGAAACCATGGAATGAAGGACGGGGTATAAGGTGTGGACGAATAACGGAGTTGCCCGCGATTGAAGTATACCAGTTGTAAGAGCTATGAGTTGCAAGCAAACGGCCTTATGAAGTGAAGGCCGTAGGGCGGCGTTTCGAAAGATAGGGTTGGATTCCTGTCTGCCCAATGAGACAGGAATTAGTCCCTTACGATACTCAATCAGCATATTTTCGTCCTGCACAGCATCTTGCCTCAGCTGAGATTCGTTTGACGCATCGTCAGTATCGCCTTCCTCTACTTCATCCCATAGCTCAGAGACGTTCCGAGCGAGTATGCGAGCCAACTTCTGCAATCTGCTACTTCTGGAAAAGGAAATAGAGTCCATGCTGTCGGCTCTGTCAAGCTCAACTCCGCTAACACCTTCCAGTAGTCTCGAGCCACACCAAAGGGCGGCGACGGCTCTAATGGTCCTCCCACCGAGCCCCACACTAGCGAACCACTCGACTGTGTATAAGCATTCATCACCACACGCTGTCCCCAGTGATCGCAGCATCCGTTCCAGCGCAGTGAATGTGGATCGAGAAGAGATATTCCGCAGAGTCATAGCGGGGAAAGGGGTCAGCACAACACCTATCGGACCATTCTCAAGGAGCGATTGCGGCCCTTGGCATTCCGCAATGACAATGGTAGGCGGAAGGAATTCCAGAACGGACAGCAGCGCCCAACCCCATTTTTCGATACCGCCAGTGGGTCCTAACAATTTACTGATCCCCGATGAGACAGAGGAGAAACCGCGACCGGCTCCTACTCCGGTTGGCGTTGATTGACCTGAGATCGTATGACTCACTCGGGAGATTGCTTCAATGATCCGTGCACTGTGCTCGACCTTTGCGTCTGAGTGGGTAGGGAGAAACCGAGGGATTGCAGCAAGGTGGTCGCTCATCATCCGCATGAGGGCCCGCCAAAGAGCGTGATGGACCTTGGCCGAAGGCGACAGAGAGTCTACCAGCAACCCTTCCGCTAGTCTGGCTACGCTATCCAAGTCCGACAGACTTAAGGATAGCAGCATAGACAGCAACAGAGGCTGTGTCTGGGGTAGAGTAAGAGACGTAGCACTGACAAGCGCGGCTGAAAAAGACGCCAGCCCCCTCAGGGCAACGGGGTTCGGGTGTGAAATCAATGGCGTTAACGAATTGATAGCTATGTGCAGCTGGGATGCCGTACCACGTAACCAACTGTCGGTCCTGGGAGTCGTATATGGTAACCTGAGATTCTGGGACGAGTTCTGCCCTGTCGTGTCGCTGGCCGTCTGCAAGAGGTCTTCAAGATCGTTTATATCCCTTACAGCGCCTTCCGCGACGCAAATATCATCGCCGATAGCTTTGATTATGATGCCTCGCAAAACGGCGAGAGCCCCTGCTACGATTTCGCCGTTTGCTGACGTCTTCGATGTCGCGAGACCTAGTGCGACCTTGCACATTGTACTGACGACACCGGGAAGAACTGATGGAGCCAGTCCAGAGGGTAGGTAAAGCCTGACAAGCAACTCCAGTAGTTGTAGAGAACGCCGTTGGAGTGTCAGATGCTCTGATGTAGAGGTCATCAGACTCGAGTCCAGGGTCTGTCCAAGCACAGGTATGAATTGAGCAGACTGAATGTGCCCTTGGATTTCTAGCAGACGAGCACGCTCATTGTCAGGCGGTCTTCGAAATTTGATGCGCTCCTCGCCATTCCTCTCTCGTAGTAATGCAAGTAGGCACTGGATTGCAGCAGCTTTCGTCTCGTCGCTTCTCATCCTGCCTTTCCCCTTGCTCTCCATACCCGTTAAGATAGCACTGGATAGTAGGAATACTTGTTCCCAAGTGCGTATGTCGCAGTCCCACCACCATGTCTCCGAAAGGAAGAACAAGATACCCAAGATCTTTTCAAGAATCTGATCCGGTATCTCACGCGAAGGGTTTCGCCTCAGGATGGTCGATATGGGGAAGAAGACGTAGGATATGAGGGAGGGAGTGAGGATGAAGCCAGAGGCTCCAATGTCGTCCAGAGTGTTCAAGAGCTCCACAAGTAGCCTGAACACATTGGGAATTGAGCTTGGGGTTAGTGATGAATTTCCGAGCAATGGTACGCAAATTTTCTTGAGCTACTGACGGTAAGTATACAATACCCACAAACAAGGGGTAACAAGCACCTTCTGAAATACCGCCTGCCTCTGCTCGTCTTCGCCAGTGGCCTGCGACATGCCCAACGGAGCAGATGCGCGATTATAACGACGATATTGCAAGCAAAAGTCGAGTGCCCTCTGACGGCGTCAACATAAATAAAGCGGAGTATCCGCGCTCTGTTCCACGTCTACCGGGAGACTACCAGTTTGCTACGTCGCTCCAGTCAGCCGATGTCCGTAAGCAAGATGGCACGAAAGTATGAACATTGTATATTGACAGATGTAGAACCGGTTCCAGCCTACAGTCGAGTTCAGTGGCAAGCGTGCGCAGGCATAACGAGGGCGCGCTTAAGTACCGCGAAACAAGCTTTCTATAATTTGCCACATTCGCACGCATCCTTGCAAGGACCTCCTGTACGTTTGTGGACCGACACGGCGGTGGAGTCCCATAGTCAACGACGGTCCGAGAGGAATGCGCTCTCAGCCTGCGAGGACCGGGTTTTGTTAAAGTCTTTCCTCTTCGCCGTCGGACTCTGAGCTCGTCCAACTGCTCGTCTCGTCTCATCTCACTTAGAATCTCCAGGACCAGGAGATGTCTGTGCAAAATACTCCTCGCGTCCTACTGATCGATTCTTATGATTCTTTTACTTATAAGTGCGTTGCTTCGACTTGTTCCTCCTCGTCCTACTAAGGATTCCATCCAGTTTGGCAGCACTATGTCGGAGATCCATTCCTCATTGCATAGTGCACATAATAAGAAACGACCAGCTGGATTGGGACGTCCTTCGCTCGAACTTACACTATTTCTCCGCAATCGTCGTCGGTCCTGGGCCCGGGTCACCGCTCTTAGAGGAGGATGTTGGAATTGTCAAGCACGTATGGCACCTTGAGGAACGGTTACTCATTCCCGTTTTCGGTGTGTGTCTTGGGCTGCAGAGCCTCGCAGTTGAGTATGGGGCCGCGTTGAAGAGGTTAGCGGTGGTCAAACATGGCCAGATTTCCCTAATACGACACGAAGGTGTGGAGATATTCAAGGCTGTGGGCGAGATCAATGCTGTTCGGTATCACTCCCTACACGTTGAACTTCGGGACGACGCGGAAATTGAGGCTCTGGCTTGGGCTGACGATGGCCCCGATGAAAATGGCATCGTTGTCATGGGCATCAAGCATACCAGCAAGCCTTTCTGGGCTGTACAGTACCACCCGGAATCTGTCATGACCTCAGGCGGAGGATGGGAGGTCCTCTCCAACTTTTGGCGCCTGGCGAAGAATTGGCTGGTTAGCCGTAATCGATCGGTACAACCATGGGATGTCCACGCGCACAACACTTTCGGAGCCCCGTGGCCCTGGCCTCCTTCGCCTGAGACAAAGAATCTCGAAGTCGCTAGAAATGTGGACACTGTGGTCCTACAGCTTCCCGGCGTGAGCGTACCTGGTATATGCGAAATGCTGGGTGTCGGCGACGAAACCTCTCCCTTCGTTCTCCTGGACTCAGCCGCTCGCCCTGGTCGATGGTCCATCATCGGGTGCTTCGATGCTACGACACCCATTATCAGCTACTTCCTCGGAGATACATATGTCACAACAAGGCGTGGCAATCGTATATCTCATCTGCCCCTCGGATCCCATGATATCTGGTCCTGGTTGGCTTCCTTCATGAGAGAAAGGAAGGCGAAAGGCGGCTGCACAGACAGTCCATTTTGGGGAGGGTTAATGGGGTATCTAAGCTACGAGCTTGGCGTCGATTCTCTTGGGGTACCACTGAGTGCTTGCCAGCAACCAGGACGAAACCCTGACGTCAATCTCGCGTTTATCGACCGCAGTATTGTCGTGAACGTCGAGACCGGGGAGATTTTCGTGCAATCTCTCATACCGGAGGATTCTGCCTGGATCGCGAGTATTGTCCAAACACTCAAGAGGTTAGGAAGCGAAGCTGCCCGATCAACAAAGCGTTCATATGTTATCTCGTCTGTGGTTGATGTGATCCTTCCTGACAGGGACCTCTACATATCGCGCATCAAGCAGGCACAGGAACATCTTCGATCCGGTAACTCTTATGAACTCTGTCTAACTGCACAGACAAAGGTTACAGTCGGTAAATCCCACACGCTCCCTTCCACCGGATCGTCATCCTCGTCTTGGGAGTTGTACAAGTCCCTACGCACTACCAATCCTGCTCCACATGCAGCTTACTTACGCCTCCATCCGAGCACGCTAGTCTGCTCGTCCCCGGAACGTTTCCTGTCTTTCTCACGGCCTCCTCGTCCCGTTTGCCAGTTGCGACCCATCAAAGGTACTCTGCGCAAAGGTCCTGGCATCACAAGGGCGGTCGCAGAACGTGCGCTGAAAGGAAGTCAGAAGGAGGTCGCCGAGAATCTGATGATAGTCGATCTCATCCGCCACGATTTGCATGGGGTGGTGGGCGACGACGTGGAGGTCCGGCAGTTCTGCGAGGTGGAAGAGTACGAGACTGTGTGGCAACTCGTCAGCGTCATCGAGGGCTCCGGATCGATCCGTTGCGCTCGTGAATCTGACGAGCAAGAACTTGGCTGGGAGGCCCTTAAGAGGAGCATGCCACCAGGTGAGCTCATATGCAGCCATATGTCCCTACCACACACTAATTCGGCTCCAGGGAGTATGACGGGTGCACCTAAGAAGCGCAGTGTCGAGATCCTCCAGACTCTCGAAGATACCGAACGCAGTATATATTCTGGGGTATGTGGCTACTGGTGTGTCAGCGGCGCAGGTGACTGGTCCGTGGTTATCCGAAGCTGCTTTAAATTCGACGACGCTTGTGGCGTTGAGCTTGCTTCTGATCCTCCTTCAACGGAGGAATGGACGATAGGTGCAGGCGGGGCCATCACGGACCTCTCTGACCCAGAGCAGGAATGGGATGAAATGGTTCTGAAGCTGCAGAGCACACTGCGGGCTTTCAATGGCAAGATTCATTAGAGGATCTATTTCCGCTTTCCGGCGTACATTTGCTCAACGCAATTAACTTATTATGTATCACATCTTCGTTTATCGCACTTTCACCTTGGGTTACCTAGAGTTCAACATTGTAGCAATTAGGAATTCAACTTCTCTAGCATCTTCAACAGATAGTCATTTACAATTCTCCCCCTAATTGATACAATCCGTTTCACTCCCAATGCCGAAGTAGGTTGAATCCGTCCGAAATAACTTATCACCTTCCCTTGAGTGCCTGTAGTAATGAAACGAGAGTTGAAGTTCACGCCATCAACGCGATATGTCGAAGTTCGCTGGGAAAGTTCTTGAACAGCTGGACTAAACAAGGAAAGACAAAGCTCACTTTTGAACCTGCTGCCCTACTTTCATGGGTGCATAGATGGTGTCAGCCTCTTGTTCTGGAACCCCCACTCTCAGAGCAGCCGCTCTAACCGATCTGGCACGAGAAGCCAAAGAAGAAATCGGAGACAGATCATAATCTGAAGATAAATGCCAGAAGAACGTTGAGGAGATACGGATGAGAGGACGATCCGGGGACTTCTTGCTCCGACGTTCGATTGCCTGTAATGCGCGAAGGCTGTTAAGCATGCCAAGGAGCGAGTACTATATCTGTACCACGCACCTGCACTGTAGATGAGTTTACGACTACTTCATGGTATCCAGCCTTGACCAAACCACCACTAAGGTGCTCCAATTGCTTCCCGGCTTGCACTAGGAGGTAACGGCCAGTGGGCGGGAACTGTACAGGGATCCGCTTGCCGGTATTTCGGGCCCATATATGTAACCCGGGATAACGAGAACGTCCGTGGATGGTTAAAAAATTAAGATCAGTGTGAAAGCCGGCCAATATGGTATTCTTCTCATTGTATTTGCGTAGATCGGAGGCAGTCGGTGCCAGCAGATGGGGACTGATAGCCCTTAGATTGACGCGGGTTACTTGGGACGAACATAAACATACCCATATTTTCCGGCCTCTTTGAAGGTCTCGCGAGGTAAACCGAGGCCGATAGCAGCCATCTCGCACAAATTCTCCACACTTCCCGCCTTGATGTTAGACTCTTGTAGGGCAGCAAAACGGACGGACGCACGCGTCCTTCATGGATTTGCCCCACTTCTCCATGGTTGGTTCCCACCTCTCTCTAATAAACTGTGCTTGGGGAACAACATTCTGCGCATTCAATGCTGGGAACTGAGTCTCATATGGCGGCTTCTCGCTCATCTTCCAGAAGAACCGGCATTTGGGATCGGGCTGATGACCCGTAATATCCAATGGTCGCTCTTCAGGATCCAGACGAGCTATTACATTCAAGCAAGGCTCGTCCACCGCACATTTCGGTTTCTCGGTGTTCTCGAGCGTAACACCGACCTGGTAGCCTAGCTCGGGCCTCTCGTCTTTCCGCAGCTCTGGCTCTGGCTGACTGAAGTAGTCTTCTAACAGATCAAGAAACGCAGAGTTATCTTCTTCCGAGACACGGGAATCGTGAAGAAGAAGGGCGCCATAGGTTATCAACGCGTCGGCAGCCTAGGTAGCACGTTGTTGGTCTTGAAATAACAGTCAGAATGCATGTGAGCGCATGCCTTTTTACATTCTTGTACAACTGCTTCAGATTCCGCGGACTGTGAGAGAAATACGTCGAGATCGACGACTGGTAATGTGGGCTCAGACATCACGTCCTGCAGAGGCCTCGTCGGACAAAAGAGATGCAAGGAACTGGCGTAAGAAATAGACGCGTTGTAATCGCTCGCGTAACGGTCGGCTTTTGCCGAATCTGTCCTCCCCGCCCCCACTAGTACTGACTCGCCTCCAGCTTTCTCTCTCGTTCTGCCACGATGATCAAGGTATAGGGGCTATGTATGCCTATGTTATTATGCCTGTTAAACCTTCGTCCACTTAGATATGGAGCATGAAGAAGAATGAGGACCAAGCGGCGAAGAAGAAACCCAAGACGAGTGCCGCCCAGATCCGAGTGCAGAAAGGTGCATGTCCCTCATCTAGTTTATATGCGACACCAAGAATAATAACCTATGCTTTCCAGACCTTACTGAACTAGAGTTACCATCCACCATGAAGACGAATTTCCCCGATCCCGCCGATCTGCTCAACTTCACCTTGACCATCACTCCTGACGAGGGTGCGTGTGGCTTAGCTTTCGATGCTTGCTGACCCACTGATGGAATTCCTCGTTCGACCAGGGATGTACAAGGGTGGTGCATTCACCTTCTCCTTCAACATTAACACGAACTATCCTCATGAGCCTCCGAAGGTTAAATGCACACAGACGGTACGTCAGGCGCGTTCCATTCCTATGGCGGAAGACTGATCGGTCTCGCGATTGCTTAGATCTATCATCCGAACATTGACTTGGAGGGGAACGTCTGCCTGAACATCTTACGAGAAGACTGGAAGCCAGTGCTGAATCTCAACTCCGTCATGGTCGGCTTGCAGTACCTTTTCCTTGAGCCAAATGCAGATGACCCATTGAACAAGGGTACGTTTCAAGTTCGCTTCGCGACCTGGACTGGTTCTAATACGATAGTTCATTGACAGAGGCCGCCGAAGAGCTACGTCGGAACCGGGAGCAGTTTATGTACAACGTCAAGAATTCTATGCGCGGAGCGAACATCAAAGGCGTGCAGTACGATAAAGTACTTGTATGATACTCTGTCCTTCTGTTATGACTGTCGGACACGCCCGGACGCCGTGACTAGTGCGGTATGCACGTAATGCAGGTCTGCCAGGTCGGGCTCCTCAATGAGTGTTAGAGGGAAGGGGCTGGTTATATCACGTAGAATAGATGCATAATTTCTTGTTGTCTTTGCTTGCTTTGCATTGTCCATTGTATCCACACCATTGTACATTTCTGCAGCAGGGTCCTTTTGCTATCGGTTGTTTCCCCGTCGTTTTGCGAGAGAGATCCATCCTCAACTTCCTCGGTACGTTGTGTAGGAGTAGGGACTGATCAGCAATGGGATGTGATAATGTTCATCTGGTGCAGGAACTTCAAAGGTGATCTATGGCAGATCACAGCAATCGGACTTCATATATGAAACTATTTCGTACCTCAACCCAAGGGTAGAACGTCTTGCGGCCACTGCCTTCGAAGTAGGGCTTCGTTTTAAAGGTCACTTTGTAAAGCCGGCCCGCAACAAGTGCCGCATCCTCTTGCTTTCCTGACGCCGGGAACAGGCTCATGCAGCGACCATCGCAGTTTGTGACTCTATTGATGGACATTATATGCTCACATGTCTCAATATCTGCAGTCTGACTATGCCTACCCAGTTGCAAGCTCCTTGAAATTGGACCCATCAGCCTGGTGTTCAAGAAGGACTTCGACGCCCGCCGCGGGTCTCCCGATGGATGAATCGAGAACTAGTGGCAGCGCAGAGATAAATCAGATACGCAGCATATATTAGACACAGCGTCTAACTACCAGCGTACCGTGGCATGTGATGGGTGACTTAGACATGGCAGGCACGCTTGGATACGCGATCGGAAAGAAGCAAAGCCCTGGCGTTGAGTTCCCAAAATGGCAATACAAACTTTTGGTCATTCCCTCCATGGCGTCCGATCCGAGCGCAAGCGGTGCGCCGCCGCTAGCCAAGTTTCTCGCGTCCACAGGTGCGTATTCGGCTACAAATACACATTGCTGAGGTTTACAATTCTTAAGATAAGAAGACGCGGGATAAGGCAACAAAACAATTAGCCAGCTTTCTCTCGAATTCTTCACCGGCTGAGCTCTCGAAGACCGAGCTTGCAAAACTATGGAAAGGCATATTCTACTGTGCGTTCCACCGTATACTGCTAGGTGAACTTCTGGTCGACTCCGGTTCTGTCTAGGCTACTGGATGTCAGACAAGCCTCTTGTCCAGCAAGCCCTGGCGAGTGAACTGGCTGAGCTCTTGCTCACGAGCACGTCCACAGAGGCTTCGTTAGCTTTTCTCTCTGGGTTCTGGGAAGCGACAGTCCGTGAATGGAATGGGATTGACCGCTTACGGTATGCACATATCTGCTCTTCTTAGGCATTTAACGCTAAATGTCCACTAGGATGGACAAGTACTACATGCTTATTCGTCGATTCACAAATGCGTCCTTCAGACTTCTCATCCGAGCGAAGTGGGACTCTGAGACTGTAGATGCGTATAACGGCATCTTGACGAGAAAGGGCGGGCCATTGTGGTACGGTCAGAACATCTTCCAATTCGTTACATTCTAACTCCCATTCAAGCCCGGACGATATTCGTGTTCCGGCGAGCTTGTCGTACCATCTTTCGGATATCTATCTTGAAGAGCTTGACAAAGCAATGGTCAACTCACCTATACCTGACCCTCAGCCAGCCCCTCTGTGTACATTACTGTCGCCTTTCTTCATCCTCGCTGCCCGCACGCCTTCAAATATTACGTATCAGCGCATACAGTCTGCTCTGATCGACCCACTCTTTGCTGCCCTCAAGCCAGTTCGTGTAGAATCCGAATCCGAAGATACCTCTCGAAGAAAGCGACAACGTCTGGAAGAACCGGACTACTCAAATCTTGTCTCGAATGCTTGTTCAGCCGATCCGGAGAAGGAGAAGGCCCTACCCGTTCACCGACTCCGTAGCGCGATTCTGCGGAAGTTCTTTGACGTTGCTAGCCAGGAAGATTCACGAGACGCCAACAGACGGAAGATGTACGCCGTTTGGAAAGTACACAAGGAAGATGAAGACGTCGATAGGCCATTGGATGCGAGTTGAATAAATACTATATAATACAGTAGAGTCAATGTTCTTCTTCCTTCCTCTCTTCGTCCTCCGTACTCTGAATGAGATGCTGCTTCTCTCCGATGATCATTATGCAATATAAGTTGGAACCCAGACATTCTGCCACATGTCCGCGCTGTCGATTTTTGGTCTAGAACGACGCTGATTGGCAGGTGTGCGATGCGTGGGCTGCTCAGTGTCTCCAGTTAATGTGCGCGGGCGGGATATGCGATTTCGGGCGGCTCGGAAGAATGCTAGCGGTAGCAGGCTGCGGTTAGTAAGCATTCAAGGATGGGTAGAGGACGTGATACCGTACCTTGGAGTCCTGTATTGGTACCAGACATATGACCACATCATAGTCTCAAGCGTACCGAAGAGAAGAAGAGACTATGGAAGATGCGCTTTTAGCGGAGAGCTACGATGTGCGAGGTAGTATAACTCACAGGCTTGCGAGCTGCGATGACCATAGACAGCATCTTGATTGTGGGGTTGTGAACAAAAAGGTGTTGTAGACGTGTGTGCAAGACCAAAGTGCTTTAGCTATTTAGCTGAACAGGCGATGACTGTTTGTGCTGATGACTCTGGACGCAGTCCATGCACGCCTTATATACCCCATCGCGCAGTGGTACCACCGCCGTTATCTCTGCGAGCGTCGAAATCGACGGAAACATCAGGACGCAGCTGAGGACTCGAGCCGCCTCGACAGAAGCCTGGTCCCTGAGCGTCTCCGAGCGTGGCAGGTCAGGAGCGGAGGGCGCCTTGCTGGAACGGCATGATGGATAAACGGTTGGAACAATTCACGGGTCGAGAGCGCGAGCGAGACTTGGGCAGCTGGAGCGCCACTGACAGGTGCGATGTCGCCTCCTTTCCTGCAGCGGATGCAAGCTTGATAGCGCTGTGGTCGGAGCGACGGAGGCTCGCCTGGAACGCCACATTCTACAAATTCAAGGCAAGGGACGGTAAACGGTGGCTGTGCTATTTAATCTAGACGGAGTCCGGAGCGAGGTCAGACCTCGTTCCGATCAGACACGACATTCTCTTGCCGCGTTCCGGAATGTCACGAAGTATCTACAGTCGTCAGTGGGCCCCCAATCTTGCCACAATTTGAACAACAGGAAGAATTGCATCGAAACATCAGTGACGCAATGAAGAAGACTACAACACTCGAAAAGACTACAGCTACAAGTCCGGCAACTCCCTCTGTATCAACCGTGTCCATGTACTCTCCTTCCACCAATCGTCCATACCATTAATCCGGTCCCACAGCGTCTCCTCGTCGACCCCGTATATCTCGTACTTACCACCATCCAGCGGTCGGCCGTCTCGCTTGGCAACCTCCAACGCGGCTTTGTTCTCCCCTCTATCATCCCAGTTCAGCGATAGAGATGGAGCACGGGATGAATTCGCTTACTTGAGCAGCTCCAACAATTCACGCCTGTCAGGGAAGAACAACCTTGGTTCGAGTACCGCTAGGATTGCCAAGGCCGCCCGGTAGAGAAAGGCGTCACCCTCTAGGACCAGAACGTCCCATATTCGGGCGCACGCTTCGAAAGGGAGGTGATCTAGGAAGAGGGGAAGCAGCCAGTCGGGAAGATATGCGGCGGGAGAGATTTGGTGTTGCTTGAAGTTGAAGTAGACTAAGAGAGGTAAATGCTCAGCCACGAGAGAGGCATCAGATCCCAATAAACTCACTTTTTGGCATGCCGTCGGCCAGGAGAGTATCGAATATCCTAACACAGCATCTGAATGCAGGCCCTATACACGCTAACGACGAGCATTACCTGTAGTATGCTTCGACCTGTCCAGCACGCATCAGATACCTCGTGTCTTAGGGGCTCAACGGGAACTCACATCATCCTTAGCCCCAGGCCCACCATAAAATGAGCGCAGACAATGTCGTTCAAGCAGATTCCGCATCACCACGAACGCTTGCGGCGGAGGCATATTTATCAAAAACATGCCTGCCACCTTCGCAATTCCCCGTGTATACCCTAGACCTTCATCCGAGCGTGCGACTACCCATGCACACAGGATGTCCTTAAGGTCTTGATACAGCGGCCCCGTCTCCGGGTGGAATATATGCAGTGACGGCAGGGTACTCCGGATGTCGTCCTCCAAGAGGCCCATTGTGGCAGGAGGAAATGTACCCCCAGAGATGGCGCGTTTTGCACGAGCGAGACATGATCTGTAACTATCTACACACTTGTCAGCGGAAGTGATACATTGTCAGTGCAAGAAGTACAATACCCTTGCTTAGTGCAAGCGGATTACCGACCGCCTTCTCCCACATGGTGGCTCGCAGCTTGGTCGGAATGCCGCTCCACCACAGTTTCCTGAGATCAGGTCTGCGGTGTACGACCCGCCAGTCCGGCAAGACCTCCTTCTCCCACAAATGCAGGGACTCTTCAATCCGCCGTTCCCTAGCCAAGCGGCGCTCCTGCAGCGCCTTCCGTCGCTTCTCCTCTAAATCGACATAAATATGTTTAATCATCTGCAGTCGCGCACACCCGGACGAGAGTACTCACAAAGCGGAAGCGTACTTACCAGCTTGGCGGCTCCGCTTCATCATCGCCTCCCAGTCGGCCATGTGCTTCTTGTCCTCGTCGCGCGGCTTGGGCGGGAGGAAGGGCGGGCGCGTCTTGCTGACGACTTTGTCGAGGATGCTAGGGCCGGCGGCGGAGCGGGCTGGGCGGTGCCCAGAGGGTTTTGAAGGGGAGGGAGGAGCGGCACTGGATGTTAAAGAAGGGTTCGAGGCTGAGGCTAGGGATAAGGGAGGGGGCTGCGGAGACAGTGTTTCGGGATGGGACTGAGAGGTGGAGGGGGCCGAATGCGGGGTCGGCGGTAGCGATGGGGACCGGGTCTGGTCAACCTGCTCTTCATGGTGGGGTGATAGAGTCTGTTCTGGATGAGGCGACGTATCCTGAGAGCTGTTAATGACGACAGTTGGGTATGGCCGAGGCTCTTCCTGCTGTAATTGCTGGTGCTGGGTAGATTCCTCCCTCTGAGACTTTTCATCGTCCAGAGATATTTGAGAAAAGTTATGGTCAGATTCTGAGAGACCCGGAGTAGACACACTAGACTGCTGCGAAGGTGACGCGTCCTTGTCAGGACCGGGGTACTCGGTAGGCGGGGAGAGTGTATGCTGATTCTCGTCCAAGTCAAGAGTCGATATCGAGGTACCAGGGCCTACAGAGAGGCTGTGTACGCTGTGCGAGAGGTCCGCAGTGTCCTCGTCTTGTATCCAGTGGTCGGTCACCGGGAGGTTCTTGCTGAGCTCTTCCCTGATCGCAGCAGAGTCGAGTCTGAAGGACGTTATGTCCGGATCATCCCCGTCGGAGAATGCGTCGTCAAAGTCAAACCGCGGGGCGCGCAGCTGCGGCGCGCCTCCCGGCGCTGCCATCTGGACCTCGTCGTCGTCGGACTCCATGGCGGGAAGCGGGCAGTGAAGGTCGTGAGGCCTTGAGGGACGGACGGGGAGCGGTGTCCGCGGTCGGTGGCTGTGCGTGTAAGCGCCCGACGGTAATTGCCCGGCGCGTCCGACGCGTCCTTAGGCCTTACATCCAAAGGCCGTATTATAATGCAAGTGCGATGATTGCAGAAGTCCTGCTGGTGCTCGCCGGCCACTCGTCGTCCCTCTTCCCTGCCGACCACACCGTGCACCCCGCCTTCGTCCCGCTCCTCCATCCTGGCGAGCAGCAATGTCTCGAGTCCCTGGGACTCATTGCTCTGCGCTACCGCAAAATACGGGAAGCATGCGACGCGCTCTCCCAGTCTCCCTCGCAGTATATATGTGCTCTGAGCGCGACTCTCAAGCAGATCCTGAAAGACGAGTACGAAAATCTCGTCATCGAGACCGAGGCCAAGGTGCTCAGGCGCGACTCTGAACTTGTCGGCCGTGGCTCGTTCGTCCCGCTGTCTGCCATTCGAGCAACTTTTTCTGAATGGGAGGCGCCCCTGGCCGCGCTCCAAGCTCTCGTGGACAAGCTGCAGGCAGAGCAGCACTGGCCTCCCGGAACGCTCATCGACATGCTCATGAACAAGGCGCGCACGGGCGTGCACCGCATATCCGACATCATCTCCCGTCTCTCCGAAGCCGTGCAGCGAGTCTGGCGAACACAACTCATCGCGTTCCTCGTGCACGGCACCCTCTCCCCAACCGACCCCTTTGTCTCTGACAAGTACGTCCTGCTCGATGGTGCCATTCCCCGCTGTGTCTCAGCTCAGTCGCGCGAGTCCATAGTATACGTCGGGCGCGCGATCGGCACCGTCAAGGCGGCTAAATGGCAGAAGCAGCTCCCGCGGAGCCTGGCGATGGAGCATACGAAGATGCTCGAGCGCGTCCTGCCGCAGGATCAACACGCCTTTGACCATATTATTGCGGACATCCGCACGAATGTCAGCGAATGGCTCTGGCTCAACGTCCTCACGCGGAAAGATGTCGAGGACGCGGTCGACTCTCTGTACGTCGCACTCATACGCTGGCGTGCATCTGTGACGGAGCCCTCTTGTGCACAGCGCAAATTATTTCCTCTTACGCAACGGCGAATTTGGGCTCGCCGTCATCCGTGAAATTGAGCGGCTGAAGATATCGCGGTTGACCGCTCGGGCGGGCCCTTCTACTATGATCAGGGAACAAGACCTACACCTAGCCCTACTCCGCTCTTCTCTAGGAACAACCGCACAACATGACCCTTCCCTCTCGCATTTGCACTTCCTCATGCCTTCGGGTCCCCTCCGTCCCCTCCTCCCATCCCTCGCAAGTACAGCAGGAAAGAACGTCTCCGCCTCCGGCCAAGAACAAACCACCTTCGACGACCTCCTCCTGGGCACGCCGCTCATCCTCACCTACACCGTCACCTGGCCGCTCGATCTCTTCCTCCAGCCCTCCGACCTGCACATCTACGCCGCGCTCTTCGCGTACCTCTCCTCGATCCGCAAGACGCACACGCGCATCCACGCGTGCTGGACGTCACTCTCGAACGCGCAGAGGGCGCGGCGGCGCTGGACGGGCCTCGGCGAGGGCGGGACCGCCGAGGACCTCGAGGTGCGCCAGGCGCTGCTGAGGTGCGGGTGGGGGGTGGTGAGGGAGATGAATTGGTTCTTGGAGACGCTGCTGGAGTATGTTATGACGGACGTGGTAGATGCGGAGTTTCGCAGGTTGAAGGTGCAGCTTGGGCAGTCAGGCAGTAATAAGGATACAGCAGGTGCTGGAGGCTCTGGTGTTACGCCCTCTCAGTCGACTAGCTCACAAGTCGCACGGGGCGTTACGCCTTCTCACTCGGTCGGTTCGCAAGTTGGGCGCGGCGGGCTGCCAGCAAGCGCAAGTGCTTCCGGCAGCACCTACTTGGACTTTACCACCTTGCGGAATATTCACAGCACATATCTGGAGCGCCTCCTGGTGGGCAGTCTGGTGGCGAACTCTGAGCTGACATGTATCATCCGCCCCATCTTGGAGGTGTGTGAGCGCTTTGTCGCCCAGGTCGAGAGGTGGGGCGGAGATGTCCTCCCGGCGCTGCTGTTCGAGGGTAGCATCGGGGCTGATGATAGCACAGTCGGCGGGATGGTGAGGGAACGCTGGGCTGTCGTGGCTGAGATCAATGATGCAAGTCAAGTTCGTTTCCAAGTGCCTGAATGTGCTAATACATCCTGCAGACTCTACATTCACTCCTAGAGTCATTCTACGAGCAGCTGTCGACGTCAACGTCCAAGCAGCCGTTTAACGTGACAGGAGACGCGTCCAAGTCCATCCTTATGAACAAGAGTGTCGCGAATACTACCGGTTTTCATACGACATTCGTGCGTCCCAGAGCGGGGAGAGGCAATGCTGACGGGGACGGAGACGTGAGACGACACGTCGAACGCCTGTTACTACGCCTGGATTTTAATGGGGGGTTCTCGGGCCCTAGGATTAGACAGCGGACGGCGGCGAATGATGCGGAGGATATTCTAAAGCAAGGAGGGCTCGCGTAGGATGTCAGATATTAGTGAATATATCCCCGCGAAGGGAAACTGTAGACAGCGCGAATTCCATAAGAGCTGTGGCAGCCTATAGCAAGGGAATGAATGAGCAGCCACTGCCAGCTAGTACTATCTAGCCGATGGCGCGATAATCGTGATGGGGCGAAGTGACAAGGGAGGACGTATATAAGAAGTCAGGCTCTATTCTGGCATGGCCAAACCGTCCTCCTCGGCGCTCAATCGATTAGCACAACAAGCCCGCTTCCTCTCTTCTGGTCCTGCTCGCTGCATGGCTTCCCGTCCGTCCGTTTTCCCTCCTGCGTCAAAGCCGAGCTGACCGTCGTTGCAGAGTACACCCCTCGCGTCATCGGCGCTCCTAACACCCTCGGTCAGTCGAATAACGGTAGGGAAAGAGCAGCGTATTGACATCGTCGCGTACAGAGCACCGGGTGTACATCGAGCAGAATGGCCAGGTCGTCTCGCCCTTCCACGACATCCCCCTCTTCGCCGACCAGAACAACGGCATCCTCAACATGGTCGTCGAGGTGCCGCGCTGGACCAACGCCAAGATGGAGACCTCCAAGGAGGAGCCGTTCAACCCTATCAAGCAGGACGTGAAGAAGGGCCGCCTGCGCTTCGTGCGCAACTGCTTCCCCCACCACGGCTACATCTGGAACTACGGCATGTTCCCCCAGGTGCGTGCAATCGCTTATCCGACTCTACTTGGAAAGTAGTTGAGGTTGGATGGTTGGAAGACTTGGGAGGACCCGTCCCAGTCTCACGTGGAGACCAAGGCCAAGGGCGACAACGACCCCCTCGACGTCTGCGAGATCGGTGAGCAGGTCGGCTACGTCGGCCAGGTCAAGCAGGTCAAGGTCCTCGGTATCATGGCTCTCCTCGATGAGGGCGAGACCGACTGGAAGGTCATCGTCGTCGATGTCCAGGATCCTCTGGCGTCCCGCCTCAGCGATATCGAGGATGTCGAGAGGTACTTCCCCGGCTTAATCAGGGCCACGAACGAGTGGTTCAGGTGCGTGATACCCTTTTGCTTTTGTCCTTGCCATCTCATCTCATCGTTAATGATAATACCAGGATCTACAAGATCCCCGATGGAAAGCCCGAGAACCACTTCGCCTTCTCCGGTGAGGCCAAGAACAAGCGATATGCGACCGAGATCATCCACGAGTGCCATGAGGCCTGGCACCGTCTCATCACCGGCGAGAGTCCTGCGAAAACCGCCTCATACGATATCTCCATGTACGTTACAAATTATCCCCCGTGCGAGGTTTGTCTGACATAGAACGTCATGCGCAGTCGCAACCTCACTATCCCCAACTCCCCGGGATACACCAAGAAGGACGACCCTGTCTACACCAGCTTGCCTCCCGACTCCAGGAAGCCTCCTGCACCCATCGACCCTGCCAGTCAGTCCAAAATCAATTTTCTCCAGTATGTATACCTTTGTTAACCCTCGCTTCCTTCGCTCTGCAGTCTCCAAGTGGTTCTACATCGCTTCCACGCAACTATAATGCGTTCCCTTGGCATGTGGGCATGGGACCGGGTCTGTAAAATGGCACGCGAGTGTCATCCAGTGAGATAGCAGTATGATTAGTGGGAAATCGTCTAAAGCTACAAGATGCATTATATGGCATAAGTGTCGAAGCATACGTGACTTCTGTGCTCCCGCCTCTCGCAAGTGAGGACGAACATGCTTTTATCTGCCGACTTTCTCCACGGTCTTGTCGACCTGCGCTGGAGGATACCGGCAATATTTATCCGAGATGAATGTGACCGTCCAGGTACCTGGGCAAGGATTAGATTCGCACGTTGGAGAGGCACAGGCAACGTACCCTCCAAAGCAGAAAAGACAGAATATTCTTTGCTTGTGACGCCCGACACGGTATGCGTCTCGAGGACCTTGCCAGGCTTTCCGCCTTTCTTTGCAGGGGGCTCCGCTCGCTGATAAGTGAACGTGAATGGCGGCTCGCCCACAAGGGTGAAGAGGATTTCAGCTTGGTCGCCTGGAAAGATACCAGTGATTAGGCAACGACCGTCGACCAAGAGCCATTTACGTACCTTCATGGATATCCTGGAAGATTCTCTTGCCGTGCCCGACTTGAGCTGATGGCAGTGGATGAACCGTATATCGTAGATCTGACACGGTAGTCTTGCACATTTTGTTCTGGTGTGCCACTGAGGTGATGGAAAATTCTCCAGGTTGCTGCTGGATGATGGAGAACGGAGACACTCGGGCGTCCTGAGTGTAGCTTTTACCGTTGACACGATATCTGTGCGAGTGCAAAGCATAAGCTGCAGGGCATCATGTACAGAACATATGCGTACCCGATGGTCCAGGGAGGGGTCCCCTCGAGCGTGAATCGTGATGTCTCTCCAACGCAGAAATATTCTCGTCGGTCGAAAGGAATGATGGCCGCACTTTCTGCAACATCCACCCATATGGACCTTAGAGACGGCTCCACGACAGCCTGTTCGCAGCGATTTGCATCCGAGACGGACTCGATCGTCACAAGATGAGGACCAATAGACTTGAAGGTGTAAGTGGGGAAATTGATCTTCCACGAGCGCTCCGTGAGATCTACCGTCTCCGTGTGCGTTTCGCTCGCAGCCAGATTCTTGATTGACAATTTGACGTGGAAGGGCGGCGTGCCGTCTAGGATGATGAACCCGTCCGTGGAGAATTCGTCGTGAGGAACGAAAGAGTCGTAGAGACAGTAGGTCATTCTGGATGAGCTCTGGAATTGAGCCAAAGGACGCATCATCACCTCCTGCTCGAAGAGTAAACGCTGAGCACGGGGTATCGCGACATGCATGTTTTTAGACAGGGGGTACGCGGTATCTCCGATTTGCTTGACTTCGTAGTACATCCGCCCGGCAATACCGGTACGCAGTTGGAATCTTGTACGGTGTTGGATACTGCTGAATGTCGGTTGCTCGAGGAGTGTCATGGCACCAGTCTCGCTGTTCTTTGCAACATTGTACGTCAGTTGGAAAGGAGGCCGTCCTACAGCCAAGCTTAGTCTTGAACAGGCATGGCAGGTCTGAATAGTCTCTTACCAATTAGGTCTAGATCGACGTGATCGTCTATGCCCTCGCATACAGAAGGTAGGATATATGAGTTATTGTATGGCTCATAAACAGCTTCCGTCTCAGGAGCAAGCCTGGCGAATGGTCGTGGTATCCAATCGACACGATATGTAGCTTCTTCCTCGACAACGGTTCCCGGACATTGTGAGTCAACGACCTTATATTCGGTGTGGCGTTAGTCTCTCAGTACTACTAGCAGTGGAGCTAAATTACCTCGAGAAGCTCGTATAAACCTCTATTGGTTACATTCAACTGATCATTGGGGTTTTTCAACGTCGCAGTCATCAGGTTCTGCGGCTCTTCACGGCGGCGATATTTGAGACGCCAAGGCTATCGCTACTTCAGTACGTTATGTATGGTATTAATAGAAAACTGGCGACTTACACCATCGCCCGTAAGGCGCAGCGGCAAATGAGCAGTCTCGTTTTCCAGTACTGTGATATTCCGTTTCCCCTGTTTGCCATAGAATCTCGCGACGGGCTGGCACATTGCGTAAATATAGTGCCGTGAACAGAGAAAATTTTTGCACTGACTTTAACTCTCCGGACGTTGACCGACACACCTTGAACGGAGAGCGTGCGCTTGCACTTGTACTTATCTTCGATACTCGCTGAGAGAAGGGACATCAACCATTTGTTTCATTGCAGTCGCCAGGGTGTTCACATACCCAAGTCAATTTCGAAGCTACCTCCTTCCTTATCAATAGCTTTCGGAATTGGTACCCTTATGGTTCTTCGAGATTCCCGGATATCGGTGACCTTTATGGTTTCTGTACCCCTTGGAGAAACAACTTGGACATCCAGATTCCAAGGCCCAGTGCCCTAAGCGTACTCCAATTGGTCAAAGTCACACACAGCAGAAGCCACGATGCGCACCCTGAGTTCCACATCCACATCGACAGTGTCACCAGAGCAAGTGTTGATAATCGTCTTACCCCGGCCGGGTTGTCCATTCTGCACGAAGTCGGCGGACGATAAAGGATGCACAACTTGGTCGATGCTAGGCCCCTTAAGGTCAATTCTCTTGTAATTCGCATCGCTGAGCTGCAGGAAACTGAAAACGTAATGCCCACTGCGGTCGGGCTGCAGCGTGAGCTCGCCTCTGGAACCATAGAACGCCGTGTGCATGTCACGAGGCGGTTCTTTGTCGCGCTGCATACGATAGTACACTTGGAAAGGAGGAGTGCCGTGAAGGATCAGAGAAGCGGCAACGCCTGTGTCGCCGGAGCTATAGCCCGAAGAGAATAAGTGCGTTAGCCTATGTTCAGTCTGCATTCTAGGGTGTAAGTACCATTCATGTATTCGCCTCCATTCAATATCCGCAGACGGCCGTGGCAATTCAACTACCTTGCAAATGTCCGGGCTTAGTATATCACCGTCGCAATACTTGCCTTTGACGGAGACGATAGAGTATTCGCCAGGCGCATTCGCCTGGAATGTGAGGTCCTTCCTGTCATCCTGGGTGCGAAGAGTACGGGTCCAAGGCTTGTTCCTTCTGCCGCCTTGCCCACTCTCCTCAACTGGAGACGGCAGGTATTTCATTTTGATCTCCCATGGCGAATCCGCCGCATCCGCTTCCTTGGCTGAGACAGTCAATGGAAACTCCGAGCCAATGAGTAGAGAAGCAGGTCTTCCGGGTCCGCAATGCATGAAAGATACTGCGGGCCGTTGCAAGACTTGCACAACCCGCGTTGTCTTCGTGTTCAAGGCAGGTGCTGCAGACACGCGCGAATCGGGACCAACACTCCCCTTTCGACCTTGCTGTGAAACCAACGCTTGGGAACTAGTTTGGATGAGGTTCCCGACGCCGTCTGCAACACTCTCAAGCACGTATACGTGCGTGCCTAAACTATCCAAGGACGCAGTCAGCGGAACCTTCAACTCTTGAGGTGAATCCGTAGTCCGCTTGTGCCTCGGGTCACCGCGGGCCTGAGGCGCGTCATCATTGTGGCCGCCTTCGATGCCTTCCACCATGAAATGCTCTCTTTTGCCGTTGACGTCCCTATACCACCTCAAGCTCAACGGCGGCACGCCGTACAGGCCAATCTCGAAATTGATGTCTCTATCTTCGCCCGCGCACCGTATGTCGCTCCCGCGACGGGAAATAATGTCATCTGTGAATTCCACCCGTGGACAGGGCGCCACGACCACCTCCGGGGCATACAGCACACGAGCATCTACTTTCGCCTGATCAAGTACTCGGTGGAGGCGAACGACACCAGGCTTGTCTATGGCGATGTGAACCAGGGACTGAGTCCTCTGGAGCCTGGATTTGAGTAATTGGCCGCTTTCGTCGTCTTCTGCGTCATCATATTCGTCGTAATCATCCGAGTCGTAATTTTCTTTCCGAGGGACAGCGGCGCGAGCTGCACTATCCTCCCGGTATTTACGTTCCATGGTATTAAGGTCCTTGACAGTCAGATTATATGATGGCACTTTCTCAAGCGTTTCGAAAGGAACGCCCAGCGGTGTGAGGGAGTACTGCAAAGCGATTGGACTGGTGTTGTTGAGTAGGACAGGTACAAAGGCTATGTGACCTGGCCCATCCAGGCAAAACATTTGACCGTCTGGATTAAGGCGAGCTGTGCTGATCGGAGACATGCGTACTGTATGTTGACCGAGCAGATGGCTGTCATACTGAGATCCCCAGGATATCAACCCGAGACTCAATGTGGATACGAGGTCGGAGAATGTGTATGTTGTCGGGGTAGTGGGAAGCTGTTGGCGACCTAGAAGACAACATAGGAATTCATCGAAGTAGCAACCTTATGATATCGTGACATACTGAGGAGCCCAAGTTGAGGAAGAATACCCCCTGCGACATTGACATTGATTCCCCCGAATAGTACTCCGTCAAGGAAGCCAGCAGTCAGGATTTGCAACGCAGTGACAGCTCTGCTGTAATTGAGGCGAGGAATGCGCAGTTGCGATAAGGCCATAAAGTAGAGCGTATCCACCAAGAGCCATTTTCGACAGTATGACGCGCTAGATGCATCTTGCGGTGAAAAATTATATTGCAGAGCATCGAACAGTTTAACAGCCTACAACACAAATGAGTAAGAAATGCAATTCTGCATCGCGACGGGGTTCAGAGCCCTAAAACACTCGCACCTGGCACAGCAAACCAAGGCTTAGAAAGTACAGTCTTTGGGTAGGGAAGTCCAGATATCTCTCTGGAATCAAGGGTGGTGCAGTGGAAGTCATGGTAAGATGATTTCACGGCGCGTCGTCAGACATGCAGAAGAGCATCAGCTGTCCAGAGGAAAGTTCCACAGCAGAGACAGCCGTAGTGTCCAGCGAGAGAGTACGAACTGCGAGTAAGCTGGCGGCCGCCCCGAGGATGTGTGGCGGTCGTGGACAAAGGCTGTAGACGCGTGAAGTCACGCTTGAACATGTGACCGCTGCTCCGCTTATGGGCGGAAATTGCTGGCATAGTGTTTCTTTTACCCAAACATCCGCGCACGGGTTTCGCGTTGGCTTTGCAGCTGTGTCGGACAGCATGTCGTCTCCTGGTGAGTGCTCTGCACCCGTTACTGCTGTGAGGACTGCATTCACTGACTCAGCCGCAGAAGCCGCAGAGGCCAGCACGTGGTCCAACCTGCCTCCGAAGATGAGGGGTGGCCAGAGCTTTGCCCCCAAGCGCTCGATAGCAGTCTCCTCTTCCATGGCCAATATACCCGCTCTTCCGAAACTTACTGGCGATATTATCCTGGAGGTCTTCACCCACAAGTCGTTGCGCTTCGAAGGTGCTCCTCGTAATGAGGAAGTGGGTGACAGTGACCGACTGGCGGAACTGGGCGCGAAAGTCCTTGAAATGGCTGTCTGCTATGCCCTCTTCAACAAGAGACCTATGCTCGAGGCGGAAGAGATTGAAGTAAGCCGCTAGTGTTCCGACCATTCCCAACTTGCTCTTATGCCACACACAGAAGCAGACGAAGGAGGCTCTGTCGGACGACAAGATAGAGGGTTGGATCACACTATACCGCCTTAGAGAAAAGCTCCGATGTACTCCAGATGCCTTTCCGAGTCTTCGCACGCCCAAGGTACCGTCGTCGTTGAGGATCCCTCCGGTCTTCACTGATGTTCTATTAGGAAGTGCGCCACCTCTTCAATTCGTACGTAGGTGCTGTGTTCGTCACGAGTGGACTTCGTGTCGTGCAGAATTGGATCACCAAACTCGTGGATCCAGAGTCCGAACCTCCTCCCGTCATAGAGCTCGAGTCGGATCAGAGCTCCAACGCCCCTGCCGCCAAACGACAACGAACTGATCCCATTGCCATGAATATGTCTCCTCCTCCTCCCGTTATGGCACCACCGCCTCTTCCTCCCTCCCAGCAGCCGACAATGTCCTATCTACAGCTATTTAATCAGACGGCAAACCAGCGCCGACTCGCCGTCGAGTATCCCGCTACGTTCGTCGGCCCTCCTCATGCAGGTTCATGGACTGTAACATGTCGCGGTATGCTCATGGTAGATCTGACAGCTAGTTACTATATGACTGACAGTTTGATAGTCAATGGTGTTGACCGAGGTCATGGATCTGGTCAAAGTAAACAAGTTGCAAAGGAAATGGCGGCACAGCAAGCCTTCTTCGCCTTAGGTTGGGGACAGCCTCCCGGGGGTCGCAGCATGTCAGTAGACTCCGAGTCTCATTTTCAGCCGAAAGTAGAACCAGCCGAGTCTCCCTTACATTTCCCCCCACCTCCTGCTATGCCGCCACCTCCATTGCCTGCCCAACCAAATCCCCTTGCACCTGCTCAACCATCTGTCGCCTTCTTACCTATTTTCAATCAAACCGCTGCACAGCGCCGACATCAGGTGGAGTACCCCGCCGAGTTTGTCGGCCCTGCACATGCGGGCAGCTGGAGTGTCAGATGCATAGGCATGCTTGCCCTTTCATGCCCGTCGTTGAAAACAGACCGTACTGATCACGCGTTATAGTTGACGGTATTGAGAAAGGTCATGGAACAGGAACCAGCAAGCAGCTAGCCAAGGAAGAGGCTGCAAAGCAAGCGTACTACAATATGGGATGGGCTCCTCGTCAGTCAATTTGCTGTTCACCTTTGTTACTCAAAGCTCATTTTGCAAAGGAGGGTAACCATAATCAAGCAGAATACGTGTCCAGCCGCCTCAACCTTTGGGCAACTCCCGTCAAATGCTGTTATTCTGCGGTTCCCGAAGGGAGTCTCCCTCTCACGTTGACCCTCAATGCGAGGGGTTGTTCAGCAAGTTCACAGCTTTCCGCATTGAGGGGTGACGTGTAAGCGAGACTTTCGCCGGGAACAGCGGACCAACATCATTTTGCAGAGCTACCTGTAATGTGGTGTTCTGTTGTAGTCTAGCGCGTATGCACATGTGAAAAATCCCCACCGATGTAAACCAGACTGCGGTGCGGATTTTTCTCAGGGAGCTAGCACGACCATGCTTGCGACCGGTGTGGGTGGTTTTGCTTGCAATCGAGTTGCAACGGACTCCTCCATATTAGTGTTGATGGTGTTGCTATCTGCCGTTACAGCTCATTCCTTGGGAGCTCAGGTAATTGCCCACCTTTCGATTTTCCGAAGACAACTTCTAATACAAGCATGATGACTAACCCTAGCATTACACGCCTGTCCTCATGTATGCTATACGACAGCAGAATGTGCACTATATTGACATACGTGCTCGGGGCGGACCTCCTAACTCAAGTACCAGAAAAGTAGATAGGCTCCCAGCAGAGCGAGGAGGACCTTAACTTGAGGGTCCAAATTCTTCACTCCGGCAATGGCATCGCCTACATCCGGTTTCGGAGTCGAACCGCCTAACGTCTGACCTTTGCCCGAGAACGCGGATGCTGAACCCGACGATGAGGCATGTCGGCGGACTGCGCTCTCCAACCCTCTTGTGAACATTGTCAGTGAGACGATGGCAAGATATACCAATGAGCAGGGACATACACTCGGTTTGCCCCTCGCACTTCATCCACCTTGGTCTCTCCCTTCAAGAAGATAAATGTAGGCCTTCCATGAGGCAAGTCATCCATGCGTGTTTAGTCAAGGCTAGGGTCGACAAGTGAATGAGGTCCTCACATTGCGCCGACGCGATATAAACTAGCCACGTCCTTCGCAGCGTCCACGTCGCACTTCAAGAAGTTCACATTCTTGTATTGCTTCGACAGCGCCTCGAATGTGGGTGCTATTGCATGGCAGGGTCCACACCTTGCTCGACTGAGTTTCCTCTACGCCCGCCGCGGCAACAAATCCACATACCATGTCGCATGGAAATCAATGACCTATACCCGATTGTCAGAGCGGGCTGACCACGAAGTGCAGTGAAGAGTGGACATACTGACAGAAAGCTTGTCCTTCGATTTCGAGAGGATGCCATTGAGCTGAGGTACAGATGTTATGTGGGTAATAGACATCGTTCCGGGGATCGAATGAGGCTTTCAATCACAGACTAAGACTACAGTAGCTGTTTTGCGTAGAGTTAGGTGTAAACAGCGAGGTCGACGTGTGCAGTGCGAGTTTCACGCGCATTATGCCATGATTCTTCCCGATCGAAGCCGGCCTTCACACTTCCATCGGGGGAAATCCCGGGTGAAATCCAAGGTCGCATAGACTGTTACATACCGAGATACATACATGAAGAGTTTTTTGTAGATGTACACTCAAGGCCGAAGATCGTCCTAGTACCCCCCCAGATCACACATGGCCATAGTTCACCTAACCCCTCGTACTGGGCCGATTTCTCACTCCTCCTGACCTGCGAAGAGGCACAGTCAGTCCCGAGAATTCATGCGTTGTAGGCGCCAAAGTATTCAACTCCGGTGGCTGGACAGGACGAGCAAGTAACCCCTGATATGCTCGTGAATGGTCGAGTTGGAGGCTGTGACGTCTCCCCTCAAACATCGTCAAGCTAGGTTCCCCTACTGAGGCGGCGCGCAGCCGTCTTAGAGCCTTTGGTTGCGTTTCGCTCTCCACGGCGCTGTCAGGAAAAGGTGGTTTGGTGCAGGGGTAGCCGTCTGATGCGCTTGACATAGGTTCAGCCGGGTGGACGTTGCCGCCAGAGATCCCGCCGTTCTCGTCTTCACAACTGGACCTAGGATATTGGGACCACCAGAGCTGCAAAGGAATCTTAGGAGGTTCCAGCTTCTCCGCCGTAAGCTTGGTGGCGACGTTCTTCCTCAAGACCTGTATGACACTGATCTTGTGACCGGACGATGGAAGCAAAAGACCTGGCGAACAAGAGAACCGTAGAGGAGTGAACACTTTCTCGCCGCACATAATCTTCCCTGTTGCTTCGGCTCTCCGATCTTCCACGAAATATTCAAAAACCCAGGTAAATGTCACGTTGCTCTGAAGTCCTTTCGCCCTCCTGTTCCGACGAGTCTCCGTTCCATGCACGACGTATACGCCATTGGCCTTGATGACTAGCGAAGCTTGCCGGGAGATGTAATCCCGAGACTCGTCCCCGTTGACGGTCAGACGCCGCAGAACGGGAGGACTATCCAGGGCGGAGTGATGAAATGTAAAGATTTCTCGCTTTGACGGTAGGAAGTCTGCCCTTGCGGTGCGGGGGTCGATCTCATCGCTAGCATAGTTAGATGACGACATGGCATTCCGGCTACCCGGATGAGGTGTTGCCCTAGAATATCCCTTGAGCCGGAAGACAGGCCGTACGGAACGAAACCCTTCTTGGTCAATCCAGATATCGATAAGGATATGCTGCAGGTATGAGAAGCCTCGCCGAAGGGATAAACTTTTAGAGGTACCACTCGACATGGAAGAGGCGGTCGAATATGAATCATAAGAGGAAGCAGAATGAGAAGACCGCAGCGAGCTACAGTAAGATTGACAGCTATAGTTGGGACTTGAGGGGCAGGAATTAACATCTGATATCGACGTTGTCGAGGAAGCCGAACTCGCGAGCCATGGCCCAGAGATAGAAGGCGCCGTCTGTGTCCGCCAGCGGGAGAAGGAAACACTATCAGCAAGTCTGCGGGGCAGAAGACCGTGAAGGGCATTATTCGCAGATTGCGAGGTTTTCGAAGTCTGAGTTAGGCCTCGTTGAATAGTCGGAGTGTCCATAGGTGAGAGACTCGGGGTATCATATTGATGGCAACCTGGCGAAGGCGGCGCAAACAAGACTGTAGATAGACTGGAGAAGGAACTCAGAAGGTCAGAAGGGCTTGAAGAGCGAACGGGAAACGCTTCTGTCAGTCCCTGTCTTTGTGAGAGTGACTCTGGGGAAAGTGGTGATCCTGGAAGGACTCCGAGGAATTAAATAGGCGCGTGCTAGGTCTGGCAGCGGTCCTTCATTCTCAATGACTGCAGTATGAACCGTGGCAGCTGAGGGAGCGCGTCGTCCTTCAGCATCATGGAGGCGTCGAACTTCAGCTGGCCTCTCATTCGGTAGTACGGGATAGCTGCTCTCGTCCGTTAACCCAAGTCCCAAGGGAAACGAAACATCTTGAGCATTCGCCGCAGGACCAAAGTCATTCTCTCGTTTGCGAGCAGGCGAAGGGCCAAAAGTACCCGCGGAAACGGAGGAATAGACACTAGCGCTTGAAGAGGTCTCATCGCTGCAATTCGTCAGCAGTACAGGCTCCAGAGAATGCTTGGAACTTCCGGAAGCCAACTGCAGGTAGATCGGTATTTCGCCAGAACTCCAGGTACCAAAGACTTGAGAGGATCCAGGACTCAAAGCCGGAGACGGCGGAGACAAGGTATCAAGTAGGTCGAAGACACTAATCGGGGAGAGAGAACGCAGAGACATGAAGAGAACGACTTAGGTAGAAATACAAATGTGAGAGGGAGTGCAGCTGCAGAACACCGGCAACGTCGCAGCGGCAGTGATTATCAGTATCGAGGCTTTGTGGAAACGCGGACAAAAGTTGGCCATCTGAGACCCCTCAGGCCTGACTTTTCGCGGACAAAGCGACCGATTTTGGGAGCCCAGCGGCCAACCCTTATTTTTCCCGCGGACATCACCTGCCCATTTTGGGCAGGATTTCTCGGCATACGCCGAGCGCGGGAAGATTTGAGCGTTACCCACGCCGCAATTCCCAAATATGGAAGGCAAATCGAGCTGGCACCTGATTTTTCGCGGACAAAAGGGCGTAAAATCGGGAAATTTGGCGCGGACAAAGACGCTGAATTTTGGGCATCTAAAATAAAGCCTCGATACTGATTATCAGGGGTCCTGGCAGTGGTCGTTCAGGAAGCCTCTGTCGGAAATTTCCAAATCGCCTTACGAGGCCTTGCAAGGCTTCCCAATGCGGCAATGTCGGAAATTTCCAAATCGCCTTACGAGGCCTTGCAAGGCTTCCCAATGCGGCAAGGGCGGACCGCCTTACGAAACATCAGTAAACCTTACCATGGACCTTGCCATGGACCTTACAACGGCATTGCCACGGTCTTGCCGGGCGGCAGCACGGGGATATCAGCGGCTAGTCTGAGGACCTGTCGTGTATGGCATAACCAAAAATGGAATGCTGTTTTCAGAAGTGTGCACATGAGGATTCGAACCTGGACCCTTTCAAATACTGGATGAAATAGTACCTATGTAGTAAACAGACGCAATAACCGCTCCGCCAGAGCTGATACTAAGTTTGATACTTAGTATAATATATTGTAATAGTGGTCGAGGACTTTCCACTCCCCATGTTCCATGTCTGCATAGGAACAAATATATAAGTAATATAAGTAATATACAATATCAAGGAGACAAAGAGCAAGACAGAAACGATGAAGAAAGCGAGAAAACTGGTGCCTATAGTGAAAGTACCGGCCATGGGTGCCTTGCCATGCAACGATAGCCATCTGAGCCATGTCCCTCGCTTGCCATATAGGGACATGCGTGGGAAGGTCGTTGCCATTGGCTGGCAAGGCCGTGGTAACGCCGGTCCCTTGGAAGGCAGTTTCCGAATTTCCGACATCTGGGAAGCCTTAGCCACATTCTGAATCACAAGTGAACGTTGAAAGTTGAACACCGACACGCATGGCACTTGCTTGAAGCAAGTATGAGCGACTGCACACTCGATCATGTCACAGATACTGATTCATAGATGAGGAACCGTGCATTAAGCCATTACTCTAAGACTGTAAAAGCCGAACATTTTGAGAAAGATTAGATGATACCCTCTACGCCCCAGCCTGGGCAGCTTTCAACATCTCCTGCTCCTTCCTCCGCACGGAATACTTGTTCCTTAGCAAGCAGTAGTCCCCGAACGAATTCTGGCTTCGCCACTTCTCACCGGGGAACCACAGCGCACGCGAGAGCACAGGCGAATGCTTCGCATCTAGGAACGGTGCACAGTGTATCCGCTCCCAGGCAAGTTCGTCAACTGCATATCGAGGCTCGTGGGGTGCTTCCGAGGGGTGTTCGGGGAAGTCCAAGTCGATAAGGTAATCGCACGTATGCAACGGAGTCTAAGGAAAACGATCAAGTCAGTGCCTTGTGCACACCAGTCACATATAGAAACTACTGACGTAGTGCGAGTGTTCTTCTTTGTTCAGGTCGTTCAACCCTTCCGGGACCAATCTGGTGCCTTCCCTAAGCCAGAGACCCGACCGACCGCTAGGAGGGAAGTGTCCCGGCAGCAACCCGTCGAACTCGCTCTTGACGAAATCCACTCTCACCCCATCGGGTACGTGGAAGTGGCTAGGGAAGCGATGCCACTCCTTGCCCAGACATAATCGCAAACCGAACTCCTTTATAGGCGACAGGTCGATCCGAGGGAGCTCCTCTTCCTTGACATCTGCGGGTCTTGGCGGTAAGAAGCCAGTGACATTCAGCAAACGCGGGAGCTCCTGCCCCTGCAGTTGATATGTGACGGATATGGGAGCGTGATAGTATTGATAGAGAGCCACTGTCCGGGAGAGCGAAAGTATGATCGCGGCGAACACCACTGATGAGGTGAAGGTCCGGAATATGGACGTCGTGGACGCCTTCGAACTTAGGTCAGCGCATGAAAGTGCTAAAGGATTGACGGTCAACCTTACCCGATAAGGTGAACCTGTGACCTTAATAAATGCAACCTCTATCCAGCCTCGGATGAGATAAAGAGCGACCGCGGCGTTGAAGCATATGAGTGGATAACCCGGGAACATAAATCTTTCTTCTTTATGCGGCTGGAGGGTGAGGATAGCTGTCCAAACGTACAAGGGTGCCAGTCTTAGCGCAAGGACCGTGAAAGGGGAGCTCTGCTCGAGAGATGGCGTATAAGAACCCAACCGCCTACGATCTGCGACATACGTAATCGCCAACGCAGGTAAGACGGCATAGGCGAGAGGGACTGCGACGTTGAAATTCAGAAGCAGATTTCTGAAGTAGAAAGTCCACGGTTCCGTGCCATACAATTCAGGACCACGGATGGAGCCGCCGAAAATATTGTATCGGATAATGTTCCAAGGTACAAGGGTCAGGCGTCCGTAAGCAAGACTGTCGATGGCCACAACCGGGACCTAAAACCAAGTTAGCAATGGATTATAACCTCAGAGAATGTAGGACGCACGAATAAGAGTGCCGAGGTAGCCACTGCACTAGCGAAGTTCGACCATCTTCGCTTAAGCCATGTTTGGTACATGTCTGCCGGAACACGGTCACCGCTGAAAACGAACAGTTCCTCGACCACGAAAGGCAGCGAAAGGGCCAGCGCGAAAGGCCAGCCAACGATAGCTCCAGCAGCGAAACAGAGGGTAGCATAAAGTGTGCGCTGCTTGCTCTTCGTGCTGGCGGGCTCCATAGCGTACGAAAATGCAAGCATGCTAGCATACATAGCAAAGGATGATGGTAGGAAAGCTATATATCGGTGATGAGGATGGGACGGGACTGGTGAAGGGCGGGCTCGTACCTATTGAAGCATTCCACATCCCAGTGCTGAAGAGCAATAAGAAGAACAGGTATCGACCAACTTTCCGGTTCACCTTCTCCACGACGGTCCTGTAGAACTGGGTCTCGCATAATGAGGAGATGACGGCAAGGAAGATCCTAACGGCGAAAAATGCCGCTCTCTAACGTCTTCATTCGTCACCGAGACACATTTTTGTCGGAGTAATTCACTCACCTTCTCTCC